TATCATTTTTTAAAAATAATTTTTTATTTAAAAATAAGTAATTAAAGATTTTAAATATAGACCGTTCAAATAAGATATAAATAATCTAGATCTGATAAGTTTAGAGTGCTTATTAAAGTGATGAGCACTGAAACTGAGTCATATCCAATTTATAGTGTAAATTGCACTATAAACTATATAATAAGGAGGTTTTCAGGTCAAAAATAGAAGAGTAGGGGTTTGCGTGTAATTAATGCATTTGCCCAGTATATTCACTGCAAAATGGCAATTGAACCTGACGATTCACGAGCCTTAATTCTTCTATTTGCAGGGGATAGTAGAACTCATGATAAATACGGGTAAGAGTTGAGGTATATGAACTATGAGAATAGTATAGGACTTACTTGGGTAAAAGCTAAGTAAAGCGGTAAATTATAAAGGAAAGGTAAATAAAACACACAAGACTCTTAATATTTACAGCTGTGTGTGTGTGTGTGTGTCATTCTTCCTTCGAAGACCTCTTTTTAAGTATTTCTAAAGATCAACTTTCAACTTTAGACTTTGCAGCCGAAAGATGAAAAGCCTACCAAGATGCTCCGTCCGGAAAGAAGAGAAGAACGCAGTCCAATAACGAATTGAAGGCCAGCAAAAAGGGCAGGAAAAAAAAGAGAGATTCCTATTTATATATAATTAAATTTGAGAGCCAATGAATATTGTTGGTCGTGTGATAAGGATCAGACTTATAGCTTAAAAAGGTGCATGGTCATATCATGCACGTAGGGCCTCGTGTGATAGTCTCGATTATGAATAATTTATGAGTATATTCATATAAATGATGCTCTTTTAAGTCATCAATATATGGGAACCTCAGAACTTAACTCGTCCAACTTTTCATATTAAAAAAATAAATTTAATAGAACTTCAAATAATTTTAAGGAAACCTGTTTAAGCTTCACACAACAAAATTTATAAAAAAGAAAAAAAAATAAAGCCCTTTGCATTTGATTTTAATTCTTCCATTTTTTAGAAGGGGCTAAGAACGAAGCTACATATCAACATGGAATCAGAGCTATCAAATTCAACAGAGACCAGACAAGGAAGGACACAACCATCAGAGAAGGAATACAAATGGTTTTGAGAAAGTGATCAAACTTAATTTAAATTGATTTTTATAATCACTGAAAGATCATCGAAATAATAAAACAATAATAAATATATCACTTTAATTTGGTGAGTGGGATGCATGCATGCTTGCTGGCTATCGTGAACAGCAGTAAGCAGTACTGAGTAGTGATGACTATAGATATGTTTAATGTTAAAGTCTTTAATTAATCACCTCAATTATTGCTTCAAGGTATATTAATCAATTCCAATTCCCAACACTTTGCCTTGTTCCTTTAATTTAGTCCAATGTTCATCTACCCAAGTTTGATGCGTACAAGGGAACATGCACATACATGAGCTAGATATATACTGTTCTCTCCGGTCCGTTATACTCCTTTGGGTTCAAAATATAAGCTAAATTTTTTTTAAAGGATTGGTTTTTTTATAAGATAACATTCACTTTTATCCAAGCATTTAATGAGTTTTTTTTTCCATTTTACCCCCATATATTCTCTTTCCTCGTTAATTCATTTATTACATCTTTTACTTATTATCTTCATTAATAAGGGTATATTAGGAAAAACAAATATATACCTTACACATTTATTGTTTTAAATTGATTTTAATCAGTTTCTTGATAAACGTAATTGGTAAAATTTAGCTTATATTTTAAACCGAAGGGAGTATATAGTATAAAATTAACATTTTATTAGCAACTTTAATGAAATTAATTAAAAATAACTGATTAATTGAAAATACATAGCTAAATGTCAAGAGTTTTAACAGCTTTTCAAAAATAACCCTTTAATTTGTGTCGTTAATCGGGAGCACGATGATAGGGTGATGATGTAAAGGCCAAGAGCAGTAAATTAGAAGAGATGAGTGTTCTTAAAAATGTGTACATGGTGAATGTTTCATTAAATTTTGTAACGACTTTGTATTAAAGGACGGATAAATAAGACCATATATGCACAATTCATATGAACTACAACCATTTGCTTCCTCCTCCTTTGTTTTTTAGATTACTAGGTAGGAGTAGTATGATATATATATATATATATGCACACTATATAATTTTATTCAATAACTTGACAACCGGCAATAATCAAATCTGTTTTTATTTTTGGGGGTTTCTTTTTAGGGGGGTGTAACTAAATAAGGGAAGAGAAAAATGAAAAGAATGAAGGCGGGGGAGGAGCGGGCGCAGGGCAGAGGCCATGAAGAGGACACAGAACGTCACAAAGGAACACAGATATGCATTATTTGGAAGCAATCATGTAGGATTTTAAAAACACTGATCAAATTGTGCCTCCACAAAGGTCACCCAAGTCCTACGTCTCACCTAAATTAGTTGGGTGTTTTTCAATTATTATTAAAGCTGATCGATGAAGAAAAGTTCCTGTTAGATGCGTGTGCGTGTGTGTTGCAGTCAAGAAAGTTGCACTACAGTAGCCCATAAATAAATAACACCACAACTTGCCGTGTTTGGTATTCCCTCCGTTCCTTATTATAAGAGACGAATAACCGAATTACGTTGATCAAAAAATCAGTTAAAATTAGTTAAGAACAATCAATATAATTTTTTTTCCAAAAATACCCTCATTAATAAGGAGAGAGAGCATGAAAGAGAATAATTAAATTATTGAAAGAAAGAGAAGTGAGAGGGAGAGAGAGTGTGAGTTGAAGACAATAAATATGGGTAAAATAAGAAATCAACACAAAAAAATAAAGACAACTTTTAAGTGTCTCTTATATATAGAAACATGCCATAAGCATCAAATGTCTCTTATAATAAGGAACGGAGGGAGTATCATTTAATGGTATAGAAAAAGCATTGAATTGAGGTATACTGTGGCGGCCCACTTTCGCCGCTCTGGTTAATTAAATAAGATTGCGCTAGGAATGCACGTGCTGGCCTAGTTGTGTATTTAAGTATTAATTAGACTATCAGTGTACGAATCACAAAGTCTTACCCATCATCATCAACATTTTGAATCTGATTTTCCTAGCAGTCTGTCTACGACATAACTGTGCCTGTTTGCGGTCATGGTAAAAATTTTCTATAAGTACATTTTATGTAAATCTAAACAAAACTCCTCTCACATATTTGTTTCGTATTTCGTAAATTATTATTAAAAAGTTACTTATAAACTATTTATAAGTTGTTTTAAACAGTCCCGCTATTAGCTATTAACTATTGCTATCTATATAATGAATGGCCTTGACGTGCATGCACTAGCTCAAAGCATTTTGTCCTCAGAATTAATGAGTACGGATTAAAACTGTACGGATCATTAGCATTATTGGAGACAAACCGCATCCCCATCATTATATTGGCTATGAAATCAAAAAAACTAATAAAAAATTATTATACTCCCTCCGGTTCTAAATATAAGAGTTATTTTATTGTGTAAATTACACTACAAAATGGTTTTTATATTTAGAATCGGAGAAGTATTATGTTCTTCCAGTATGGTTTAGGGGGTTCGGTGAAAAATCATGTCATCTTTTTTAATTTAATCAGTTAATTTGATTTAAGATGGCAGCTTGTACGTATTTTTGGATGATGAGGTAAAAACTGGGGCAAAAAACAAAGGGAGCAGGAGACACATGTGGGGATTTGGCGGCGACGGCCGACGGGGACCTCAACCAGTCTGGCAACCCTGCCCCTTAGACGTTGTCGTTTTGCCATGGATAGGGATGGCGACTAGAGACCAGAGTCCGTTGTATTCAGACGAGTGAAGCCTCCACCTCTGCTTTCCCATTTTCCACGTCGCCCACAGAAAATAAAATTGTCCCACATTTTATTTTATTTTTATTTCATTACTAATTATTGGCTATTCCCATTGCATGTTTGCATCCATGACCTTTCCCTTCCTAATGTTCCCTACGCCTCTATGCCCATCCTCCCTTTCTGATGCAACGACGTCGTAGGAGGCATGGCCGGCTCCACTTTCTTATTCTTCCTCATGTGATCGCGATAGGACATACTGGTATACTGTAAAATGGACTAATGGAGAGGAGCAGGTTAATATTCATAAATCACAATTACTCCTCTTTTTTTTCCTTTTACTTTCTTATTTTCCCTATTTTATTTTTATTTCTTACTCTGCATCGGATCCAAATTTTGATCCTCAGCAATCCCTTTAATTAAAAATTTTAGTGCTTTGTACGTGCTTTGGTTCTTGATGTGTTTTCTTTTCGGCTTTTTTAAAAAACAATGATTTGTGAATAAAGCTTAAATTTTGTACTTTAACAACTGTAGAAGCCACGCAGAATTACCTCTTCTTTCCCACAGAAACCATAAAAACCGCAAAAGCTCATATCTGCTCGTGCCTCTTTAGTTCGCTGGTCAGACACTGCCAAAGCACCAACGCCAAATACATACACGAGATAATATAAAATCAGTAACTCTGACTGGTTCTATGTGTTCCTTTAAAGCAACAGAAAACCACTAGTTTAATTATGGAGTGAGCCAATGAAGCAGTCCTCTTCAATTTTTTTATTTCGTGGAAACGAAGTATTTTTTAAGTTCAATTCTCCTATACAGAAAATTATCAAACTTGTCTCTTTCTCACACAAATGGTAAGTTGCTAACTTTTGGCCATTACAGTGGAAGAGGTTAAAATGATGCATCCTAACTAATCCAAATAAGCGATCAAACAAATTCATTCAATACAGAGGCCAAGTCAGACTCAAAACTAGTTGGCCCTTGGATGAATCTGTCGCGGACAAAATCCACGCTTTGCCCATGTTTGTATCCGATTCATCTCCATTTGTAGTGGAACAATCCAATAGAAAAAGAAAGCTTATTTCACGCAAGGCGACAACAAAAAGATAGCCATTTGATATTAAAACAAAATTTGCCAAGGAAGCCACTCACCCGCCCATCTCTGTTGCCCACATGCAAATCAAAACTTAGAAGTTATAATATGATCCTCCCCTCCGCCCCCACTTCTCAGCATAAACAAATCAAATGCTTAATAAAAAACTACCCAAAGTTCGATTTCCCTGTGCATAACATCATGGCCCAGTAGCTGTTCTCGGATCCGGAGATTCTGGGTTTTTTTTTTAAACTCACATATATATATATATATATATGTATATGTATCTTTTATTTGAACATTGCACTAGTTCACAAGACATGTTTTGGTTCCTTACAGTTGCTCCTCCCTAGGTTCAAACTTTTCTCCCCTGTTTTGCGTGTCATTGGAGTTCGTAGCGTTGTTGTGATGACTGTAAATCCATGGACCCCCTTCTTCCTCTGCTTCTCTCTTTCACTTCTTCATCATTCTTTTGTAGCTTTTGCCGTAAACTCGCAAGGAGAAGCTCTTCTTTCATGGAAGAGAACCCTCAAGGGATCCCTGGAGCTGTTGAGCAATTGGAACCCAAATGACAATACACCATGTGACTGGTTTGGAGTTAACTGTAACTCCAACGACGAGGTTGTGAAATTGGATCTGAGGTATGTGGATTTGGTTGGGACACTTCCTTCTAATTTCACCTCATTGCTTTCCCTGAACGAGCTAGTCCTCACGGGAACGAACATTACCGGTTCAATTCCGAAAGAAATAAGCACTCTTAGCGAGCTCGACTACTTGGACTTGAGCCACAATGCCTTGACGGGTGAAATCCCAAGTGAACTCTTCTTCTTGACAAAGCTTAAGCAACTCCATCTGAACTCAAACCAGCTCGTTGGTTCAATTCCGGATGCAATCGGGAACCTCACAGAGTTGACGCGGCTGGTTTTATATGACAATCAACTAGGTGGTGAAATTCCCAGAACCATTGGTAACTTGGGGAACCTGCAAGTGATCAGAGCTGGAGGAAACAAGAACCTTCAAGGCATCTTGCCCCCCGAAATTGGCAATTGTACCAATTTGGTCATGTTGGGTTTGGCTGAAACTAGTATCTCAGGTTTTCTTCCTCCGACTCTTGGCCTTCTTAAGAAGCTTGACACTCTTGCAATCTACACTTCACTTCTCTCTGGCCAAATTCCTCCCGAACTCGGAGATTGCAATGAGCTTCAGAACATTTATCTGTACGAGAATTCTCTCTCAGGATCCATACCAAGTAGACTGGGCAATCTTAGAAACCTCAAAAATCTTCTACTGTGGCAAAACAATCTCGTTGGCAGCATCCCACCAGAGATTGGAAATTGCTACCAGTTATCCGTCATTGACATTTCAATGAACTCGCTTGTTGGAAGCATTCCCAAAAGTTTTGGAAATTTGACGCTGCTAGAGGAACTTCAACTCAGCGTCAATCAGATTTCGGGTCAGATCCCAACAGAGTTGGGGAACTGTCTGCTACTCTCTCACATTGAGCTGGACAACAATCTAATCACGGGTACAATACCTTCTGAATTTGGGAGCCTTAAGAATCTAACTTTGTTGTTCTTGTGGCACAACAAGCTCGAAGGAACTATACCATCTTCGCTTTCGAGTTGTCAAAATCTGGAAGCAGTGGATCTGTCACAGAATGGATTGACCGGTTCCATACCGAAGGGGATATTCCTGCTCAAGAATCTGAACAAGCTTTTACTGCTGTCTAACAATCTCTCCGGGAATATAGCCCCTGATATTGGGAACTGCACGTCTCTGATTCGGTTCCGAGCCAGCAACAATAAAATCACAGGGACCATTCCACCAAATATTGGAAATCTGAAGAACTTGAATTTCTTGGATCTTGCAAGCAATCGCATTTCAGGAGTTATTCCAGAAGAGCTCTCAGGCAGTCGGAATCTTGCATTTCTGGACTTCCATTCCAACTTGATATCAGGAAGCTTGCCGGAAAGTCTCAGCCAGCTGGTCTCGCTCCAATTTATTGATGTCTCCGATAACATGATTGAAGGTAAACTAAGCCCAAGTCTTGGAAAGCTCGGCGCACTCACCAAGCTCATCCTCAGAAAAAATCATATCTCCGGGTCAATTCCCAGTGAATTTGGTTCATGTGCGAAGCTGCAATTATTGGACCTCAGTAGCAATGAACTCTCAGGCAAAATCCCGGGTAGTCTAGGTAACATTCCAGCGCTCGAAATCACAATGAACCTCAGCTGGAATAAGTTCAGTGGCGAGATCCCGAGGGAGTTTTCTGCATTGAGCAAACTTGGAATTTTGGACATATCGCACAACAATCTCACCGGTGGCCTCCAGTATCTCGAGGACCTCCAAAATCTTGTGGTCCTCAACGTCTCATTCAACAATCTCTCGGGTCGCATGCCAGACAAGCCTTTCTTCTCAAAGCTTCCTCTCAGTGTCCTCGATGGGAACCCATCGCTCTGCTTCCCTGGCAACCGATGCCCAGGAGATGTTTCAGAACGATCAATTCGGCGGACAAAGGCGGCGCGTGTAGCCATGGTGGTACTTCTGTGCACTGCGTGCTTGCTTTTCCTCACAGCCTTGTACGTCGTCGTTGCCGCGAAAAGACGTGGGTTCCCGGAGGACGGTCTGGACCTCAACGTTGGGGATAGCGACGTGGAGATGGGCCCACCCTGGGAGGTGACACTCTATCAGAAGCTCGACCTGTCAATCTATGACGTGGCAAGATGCCTGACAGTTGGCAACGTAATCGGGCGCGGACGATCCGGCGTTGTTTATAGAGTAGACCTCCCGTCGGGATTAACCATCGCCGCGAAAAGATACAGATTATCAGAGAAATTCGCAGCCTCCGCATTCTCCTCCGAGATTGCCACGCTGGCAAGAATACGGCACCGGAATATTGTACGGCTACTCGGTTGGGCGGCGAACCGAAAAACCAAATTACTGTTGTATGATTATTTACCTAATGGTAATCTAGATACGCTCCTGCACGAGGGTTGCACAGGATCAGTGGAGTGGGAGACACGGTTCAGGATAGCACTGGGGGTGGCTGAAGGCTTGGCTTATCTGCACCATGACTGCGTGCCGGCTATCTTGCACCGGGACGTCAAGGCGCAGAACATTTTGTTGGGAGACACATACGAACCGTGTTTGGCAGATTTTGGATTTGCGAGAATGGTGGATGATGACGATCACAGTCCGTTTTCCGTTAATCCACAGTTCGCGGGTTCTTACGGCTACATTGCGCCGGGTACGTGCATTTTCGTTTTTGTTATGATCAAGAGCAATCAAGGGTACATAATGAGCATGCATAGAGCTTTCATATATGCATTATGATGCAAAAGTTACAAATTTTTTTTGGCCAAGAGAAAGTTACAAACTTACAATTGGATAAACTAAACTAATTATAAGTAAACTTTGATTTGACAATCGAGGCACGCATGTAACTATGCAAGAAGCGATCCGCTCTAACAGTATTCTTCATCTTCATCTGACTACTGGACAATTTTGTTTTGTTTCAGACCGGTGATTATATTAATTAATATTTTTTTATCTTTTTTTTCCCCTCTCATTTTGCTCACGTGCTTCATTAACCTTTTTAATTCTTTTGTTTAATGAAATGAAAAATACACGTCAAATTAAATTTTATAACATTTCTTTGTCAACTTGAGAAAATTTATTAATTGTGAGTTTTTTTCTACGTTTTAATTGACAGTTTTAGAAACTGTATATGTAGTTTGTGAAATATAAATGATATTGTTAAAACTGCACGAAAATTATAACTTTTATATGCATTATAATTTTGACTTACGAATGATATCAGAGTTAAATTGAACAATTAAAAATGAATATGAATAGTCTTAAGATATTATTTAAAATTTTCATTGTAAATGTTATTAAATTACTACCTTCGATTTTTAATATAAGATTTCGTTTGACTTTTGTTTTGATCCTATTATTTATTATTTTATCAAGATAGTCATTATAATAACAATAGTTCTAGCCAATACACTTAATTAATAAAAATATTTTAAGAAAAACAGTATTTATTTAATACAAATAACTAATTTAATTAGTTTTTTTAATCTATTTAGATTAGTTCACTAGCTCTTATATTAAGAACAGTAAGTATTATAATAATTACAATATACGTATGTGTGTGTATATATAGAGAGAGAGAATGTTGTCCTTTTTTTCTTTTTCTTTCTGTTTTGTTGGGTTCACATGAAGAAATGCGATAGATGCATGAACCATAATACCATATGCTTTGGAAGTTGATGAGAAGTGGGACAGGGAAAGTGAAGTTGAAAGGAGAGAGGATAACATAATGGCATGATGAGAGTCTGGTGGGTCGGAATATAGAACCATAATGGCGGGCACAAGCTCCAACTTGACCGAAACACATTCCATATGCAAAGCATAATAATGACACACAATCTAGGCTTTTTGAGAGCCACCACACACGACAACCTCCCCGTTTCATGCCCAAAAGCCACACGCACACATTATAATACAGTCATTCATAATTCATGCACGCACTAACACTCCCACCTACATATCCAAACTATTTCATGCCTCTGATCTGATCCTTCCATCATAGACTTATTCAAAGATAAAGTTTAATCACATTGCACGATCTATATATGTAGTTAATCCTACCTAATAATATAAGACTTTGTTATTAATGTTATAGATATGATTTGGTTTGTATTTGCAGAATATGGATGCATGGTGAGGATTAGAGAGAAGAGCGATGTGTACAGCTTCGGAGTGGTGCTGTTGGAGATAATAACGGGGAAAAGGCCGGTGGACGCATCATTTGCGGAGGAGGGGCAGCACGTGGTTGGGTGGGTGAGGCAGAGGCTGAAGAGCAAGGGGGACCCGGTGGAGATTGTGGATTCTAAGCTGCGGGGGCTTCCAGACACTCAAATCCAAGAGATGCTTCAAGCTGTGGGCATTGGTCTCTTGTGTAGCAGTCAGCGTCCCGAGGATCGCCCCACTATGAAGGATGTCACGGCATTATTGAGAGAGATCAGACACTGCGATCCTCATGATCATCACCCCCACAAGCCTACTGCTTTTGCCGATTCCCTTTCCCCGAAAACGACGCCTCACCCCTCGTCGTTTTATTATTCCTCATCCTCCAACTTGTCGTTTCCTCCGCCCCCTCCTCACTTGCTCCTGCTTCACTCCTCTTCCCATTCTTCATCCAACTTCCCCGCTTATTCTTCTTCTTCTCTTGCCGCTTACCACCCCCAACCTCCCACGAATAAATAATCATTAATGTATTGTTACTAATATATATATATATATATATATATATTAGAATTGTAAAGCTTCATTCCATTATTTCTTATGGATGCTTGGCTTCATGAGTGTACAGAAACTTAATTAGTAGTTGTCGTTATTATTCCATATTTATTCTCGCCTGCTAAACCAGCCTTCTTCGCTGTGCACTGCCAAAAAAAAAAATCCCATTTTTATGAATGCTTGCCTTTCTAGTTATTTAATTCAATTAGAGACGGGCGGGAGAAGAACATGGTTGCGGACGGACGTATTAAATACTCATACATACCTGCTGATGTGACCTTGAATTAATGCAGTAACAACCTTGGTACGTCCTGCTTCATAATTAAATGGGCGTGAATTCTTAATTACTAGTCTTGTCACGTCTCTGTTATGAAAAGAGGAATTTGATTATACATACGTACGTATTTGGCTCTCCTTTAGCTGATTTTCATTACCAGACGTTGGCTTGTTTGAATCGTAAAGTACAAACTGAGAGGGTTATTCTGTGCAAGGCATTGAGCCAAAGCTCATGAAAAGTGAATATAAACTATGTGTAGGAAGACAAACAAATATATTAACTAAAAATATAAGTGGTGGAATGATTTTTGGGAAGTATATGTTAATTAACTTAAAAGTTTAAGAAGGTAGCCGGGAAGAGACAAGTGGAAAGGAAGACACATATTATTGTATATTTATATATATATATTGGTGTCCTCCTGTTAAAAACAATCATATTTAAATTACTGTAAGACGCTAAATATAAATACTTGTCTCAGTAAGAATTTAAATTTTAATTCACTACGTTGTGACGGACTAACTCCTTCTATTAAATCTAATTTCGTTAGTTATGTTATTGAATATTTGATGGAAATAAGAAAAGGAAGGTAGGTGTGGCCAATTGCTGATTGTCTTGGGTTGAAGCAACCGTATTGGCCCGCCCCATGTGACTTGCGAAACTTCTTAAGCAGCATTCAACATTACCATCCACATCCAACCCACTCCCACAAACCTCTTTCCGCATTATTAGCGCATGGCCTCATCATATTAAACCCGACCACCTATCTCTCCTTCCTGTCTTATGAACGAAGTTTGCATAACATTTCCTTTTCTTTAAAAAAAAAAAAGAGTTAAATTCACTCAATACTGTGACACTGACACCCACATATTTTGCCCTTTTCATTAATTTATTATATAACCCTTAATTACCTTTAATTTTTACAAGCCTTTATATGTTGCTTTTAATCAGTATATGCTTTCACTGATTCCTGATACAAGTGCTATACATAAAATGGTTGAATTTGATTCCATATATAATATCTCAGTTATTTTTGTCTTTTATATTTATAAAATTTTTTCCCAAACTTTATTCATATTAATTAACAGCGCACGAGATAGTTCCAATATAAAGGATTAAAGAGAGTGTTTTAGGTAAATTAATTGACATTTTTTACACATAACCTAGCCTAACTAATTTTTTTAATTTCTATAAATTGGTTATTTAGCTTCTGTGTTAAGAATAAGCAGGAATATTATAATTGAATGGAGTTTACTGGCTTCGGCTGGGGTCACTGTGCCTTTGCGTTTTGATCATCTGGTGGCCTCCTCATCGCTCCCTCGTGTAGCGCATGTGGATTTAGTCATGTGATTGGACCCATTACCTTTTTTTCTTTTTGGAAAAAAAAACTTAATTTTAATAAAGAAATACTGTGAAATTTGGAGGTAGATAAAGGTAAGCAAAAATGAAAGATTCCATCGTAACATTGCTGACGTGGTTCCAACTTCCATAGCGAAATCACATTCAAGTCGCAGAGAATGATGTGTAACTTTATGGGAACACCGAACAATGTCACCTTGGAAAAGAAACACCCAAACCTTTGCCTCCGTAACGGTAAATTCTATATAAGATATTTGTCGGCACTAAGTTCAAATAATCACAAAAAGTGGCTTTTTTTTTGGGCCAGAAAATTGTCGTCATTGATTACTCCCATTCCTCAACCTGAACAGGATTTTCTAGGCCCGAAATTTCAGAAAGCCCAATAGAAGCATCCCACAGTATTCTGGGCCCAATACCGTGAAGGAGAGATGCGTGGTTGTTCGTCCTCCCCGCAAAGGCCAACGACCAGAAGGTTCAGTTTCCGGTTCAGAGGAGGACGTAGAAACCGTTGAATGAGGCCGAGACCTGGCATGGATATCAACATCGGAGGACAAATAGAGAAGGTGAATGGAAAAGAGTTGACTTATCGGGAATTTGTGAATCGTTACATGGAGAAGAACCATCCCGTGGTGCTCACAGGACTCATGGACGACTGGAAGGCTTGCAGAGACTGGGTCACCATTAATGGCCAACCCGACCTTCATTTTTGTTCTTCCCATTTTGGGAGTTCTAAAGTTCAGGTATTCGTCTATCTATCTTTTTATCTTTTTCTAAGGCCCGAAATTTCAGAAAGCACGAAAAGTTTGTGTCTGTGTTTTGCCTCCCTTTACTCTTCGCTTTCCCTCTCTATTCTGGAGGTTGACTAACAAACGGCCTTTGTTGCTACTGAAGATTTTACATGAGCAAATGGCATCAAGAGTCTGAGATACTGCATTCTACTATCTTGATCGACTGTAACTTGGAACTCATTCTTCTGCTGGCATTCCTGCTTCAACGTTAGCAATTTGGAAAAATAAATTTTATTAAACCAAGGAAGTCAATGTTTTGTTAGTCCTCTGCATTGTGAAACGTATACCGTTAAATACTCAATTCCTATGTACTATTTCCTTTACTCACTTCACGATTATCATGGTTAGAAAATTTGGTTGATTAAAAAAAAAAAGAGAGGCTGTTGTGCCTTATTTTGCTTTAACAATATAGTTATAAGCTTCGGTATATAGCAAAACTAAGTATCTTACTGTTCATTAATATCCGTGTCACAAAGGTTGCAGATTGTGGCACGAGAGAATTCACAGACCAGAAAAGGGAGGAGATGCGTGTTTCAGATTTTATAAGCCGTTGGCTAGAGGGTTCACCATTAGAGCCTAATACTGAAAATGATAATAGCAATGGTCATGGCTCCGTACTGTATTTGAAGGATTGGCACTTTGTAAAGGTATTCGTGCGAGCTTCTCCCATCATCCTTCCCTTTTTTCTTCATTGATTAATGATTATTGAACTTGATGTGTTTCTGGCAAAAAAAAAAAAAAAAAGGAAAAAAAGAAAAAACAACTTGATGTGTTAAGCATGACATTGGAGAAATTCGAATCTAGAAGTAGGAAGTAGGAAGTAGGACAATAGTCAAACATCACTAATAGATGCAATTCCAGGTAAAGGTTTTGAGTCCTGGATGGCTGATTTTAAGGCACTTTCCAAGTTTCTCTAGGGTGATAGCAGGGTGTGTGGCTTAATGGAAATTTGCAAAAAGGGTTCTGGTTATAATTTCCAGTATCTTTCAGTGATTGATGATGCCTTTAGTTGAAACACCTTGTATTGGTATTATTTTTAAAATGAAACTTACTATGAACATAGCCTAGGAGCTCAAAACATGTTTATACTAATGAGTTTTTGGTTGTTGCAAATTTTGGCTTTGTTTCTTGAATTGAACTATTACGAATTGTTTCATTTCCAATTTTTTACTGGTGTAAGCTTCCTACCTGGCGGAGCCCTGGCTTCGTTATATAAATTAAACTATTGAGAGACACGTCAATACCATTGATTTGTAGTTTTATATCCAGTTTGGTTAACTTCTATTTGGCTTACATATTTATGGTTGGTTTTCGAATATGGTTAGGAATATCCAGAGTATTTAGCATACATCACTCCAGTGTTCTTTCATGATGACTGGCTCAACCTCTATCTCGACTGCTACAAAATGCATATAGATCCTGATAGTTACCAACAAAATAATGAAATATGTTGCTCTGACTATCGTTTTGTTTACATGGGGGAAAAAGGTTTGTGCTTACTCATGATGACTATCATTCTGAACTTTCTTTTAAAAGAGTGGTCTGGTATCGTTTGATTAGTTTTATGGACTACTCACCAGTAGCCCCTAGTTTTCTATTCTTCTGGCAGGATCTTGGACCCCTCTTCATGCTGATGTTTTCAGGTCATATAGTTGGTCTGCAAATTCTGTGGGAAGAAGAGATGGCTTTTTCTAGCTCCTCCTCAGAGTCATCTTGTATTTGACAGGCATGAATTGATTTGTTTGTCCATATAGAAGTTAAGAACTTTGTTTCTGGATCTGGAGTTGGGCATTTTGGTCACTGTTCAAATCACTGAGCCACTGGAAAATCACTACTAGATCAATTAATTATCCAATGTCTTTATTTCCCGCGGCAACCTTGTCCTAACTTTCTGACTAGGATGATGCTGTCCCTCCATAACTCCCTGTATCTGCCACCTTGATAAGTACCCCCCCCCCCAAAAAAAAAAAAAGGAACTTACATATTTATCTTAAGAATGCATGTATTTCTTTGCTTGACTTTGTTGTCTCAACTCTGATTCAGGAACATGAAAAGCTGTGTGTATGATATCTTTGCTGAAGTAAGCGAATCAACTTTTCCTGGCTTTAGAAAGGTAACTTCCAGCTTTAATTTTGACATAAATTTTCTTGATTCTTATGCTTCTTTGCTTCAGTGGGTTTTTTTCACACGCAGACTATCTGGTTAGAATGCACGCAAGAAGCAGGTGAAGTTATTTTTGTTCCCAGTGGATGGTATCATCAAGTTCATAATCTGGTATCTTCTGGTTCCCCCTGTAGATTGCTGTTATATTCTGATGGAATCAATCTCTGATTAAGTATTGTTCTAGTAGCTAAGCTACCTATTGTGTCCCAGCTAAGCCAAGCTCGTTGCATTTTTTTTCTCCTAGAATAAGTCTGATTGGCCCACATCTGTTATATTCTAACTTGATTTTTGAAAGGCTGCCCTACATTAGGATCATTGACTGACGGCGTTGGCATCCTATGATTTTTGAAAGTCTAATGGCTAATTGATTGGTCGCATTAGATGTTATTAACAGGATATGGTTAGGAGAGAAATTGATATATCACATGAAAGTGGGGACGTTCACAGCCACTTTTAGATTTTGATCTACACTAGATTTGTCAGTTTAGCTGATTCTGTCAGCTATATCAGATTTGACCCGAAAAATTGATGATACCTTCTTAAGCTTTCAGGAGGATACTATATCTATAAACCACAACTGGTTCAATGCCTATAACCTTTCTTGGGTGGTAAGTTGCGCATTAAGCCATTTTCCTATAGTAAAAATATGATAAGCACCTTAATGATTAAATTTTATTAAATCCATTTTGTTAAATAGGGTTTCATGTTGTGACAGTGGAACTTACTTTTGAGGGACTACAATGAGGCCAAGGAAAACATTGAGGACATCAAGGATATATGTGATGATTTTGAAGGTCTCTGTCAGCGCAATCTTTTTGCCAACACAGGTGCACTGTATGGTTAATATGTTTGACTGAATACTTATATGAATTACATGTGTAGGCAGTTGGATTGCAGTTGTACATTCAATGGTTTAGCTGACTTCTACTGTGTTTCCTTTTAAAACAGGGATGAACTTTTATGACTTCTTTACTTTCATAACATGCTTTACCCTGGCCAACTTAGCGTTGCTTTGCCATCTAAGTGGAAAATATGGAAGCCCCACTGAAAGTTCACTGGCAATCACTCAACATTTAGTTTTCAATCTTGGATCAGTGAGGAAGGTTGCATTGGAGATGAAAAACATGCATGCTCTTGGAGGAAATCATGACTGCTTCCTGGACATTATCAAAACATCTGAAGATCCTAGGTTTTCTAAGTTGTGTGCACGTTTGAGAAGAACATATGTGACGATACATGAGCAACCTTTTTTGTCTTTTGAATTTGAGAAATCTGCAGTTGATTATCTGATGGGCCTTAATGTTTTGAAAGCATGTTCTTCTTCTCGGATCCACACACCCGAAGACCTTATTAAACTTATAGATAATGCTGTTTCAGAGCTTGGTGACAGTTATACTCAGCAGCTGTCTGCATTACATGTCAATTGAATGTCCTTTTGGTGATTCTTGTTTGGCAACTCATTGCACTCCACCTTGACCCGTGGCTACTGCATTCTAACTTTTTAAGAAGTTCCTTGCCACCTTGATTTCTGTGTTCTATGCACCATTACTGGAGTTCATCAGGAAACCCACCATTGTATCATGAATCATAATTCGTTCAATAATATTATCGCAGAGAGAATGCAGGTTGAGCTAAAAGTCCCATGAATACTTTAGTCTTAAAAAACTCGTCTTCCTTCGTAGTAGTTCGTCCAATTTCCTCTGTGGTCCATCTGGCTGCGCCCTATCCAATACCTCTTCTGATATTAATTCTCAAGCTTTCTATATATTTAGCTTTCCCCTCCATTTCCTTCACATTATGATTAAACCACAACCGAGAGTAACTTTGGCGGGACTAAAATCTTCTGCTGTGAATACGGCCAAGCTGTATCAAGTGCAATACTGATGTGGATATTGTTGACAAATGATGGGGAAACTTGGGAGTAGGTTTCATTGGGAATCATCATGACCAACAGGGACTGTCTTGGACGCCTTCTTTGACTGCGTAAAGGAGATTTACTATGTCTCCCACGCCTAGTACTGGGGTCTGGAAGTTCACTGGGACCTCTTTGACGTTTGCCTTTCACAAGACGGGAGACCTTGGTGACCGGGGGTCCCCACCTTCTGCGGTTCGGTCCATTTAGTATTGTTTATCTATATGCATGATGACGGTGTCCTTCGAGTTGTAACCTTGTAGGGTAAATACATTATTGCTTTTATTTGTAATGTCATACATTATTGTTTTTTAATAATCAGTATCAGAAGGGACCATTTATTCCTTGAAGAGGAAGCATTTGCTTTCGGTCTGTCATCAACCTCAGTGATTCTGTGCAAATGAGGAAAATAAAGAACGATAATGAGTGAATAATATGTCCACTTCCGCTTTTTGTCAGAATGATTACTGTATCAGTGGCTGCTACTTGCTTGTTCAATAATTCACTGGTAGAGCTGATCGTGAGCTGTGTGCCTCAGAATTTGAAATGAGATGAAATAAAGCACCATTTCTTGCCCAAATTATTTTACTATTTTTGGTATAATAAGACAGTGGTTGCTTATCTAACAACGAGGAGAGCTCTTTCTCTTGCTTGATGTGCGGCAGTATCTTTTTCCAAGACTTTCCAGTTTAAGTCAGCAGAATCCCCCAAGTGCGTAACTACTTCTGCTACACGTTTCAGGACTCTGTTTAGACCAAACAGCCATAGGATTATAGGTCAGTGTCCTTTACTCTTTAATAAGGAACCTCTTATTCGTTTTGGTTTCACGCATAGAAGCGTCAATTCCAGGGTACGGTTCAATTTTTCTCCACTTCTTCTCCAAAAAACTTGAGGGTATCTTGCAGTCGCTTCACTATACTAACATTCGTATGCACACTAGATGCCACTAGCGCCAGCACTTACTTTTGCCTACCACTTTCTTCTTCTGAAAAACTTTTTTTTTTTTTTTGTGCTTCTCTCTGTGGTAAGCTGCTTTAATACTGTTGGTGCGAATGGCAGTAACATGTGAGATTCCTTTTGGTTGACATAGAAAACTTGGTATGCGGGGCAAAGTGCAATGTACCTACGTAAATTGAACGTCAAGGAAGCAGAATTTATTACCAACGTAAACTCTCGACGTTAAGAAATATTAAAATATAAGCTCGCTCCACATTAAGGAAATAAAATAATCCTGTCATGACTCGCACGATGCTGACTCTCAGCATTTTTCGGTCATTTGGCTTCAGATACACGTTTCTACGTATTTTTAAAACAAGACAATTTGATTTTACCTGCTTAAATATTATTAATTTCAGTGTGTTTTTCAAAATTAAATCTGCGAAATTCTCTTGGCTAGTTGTATCCTTGTTGGAAAGCACGTGCCCGGTGAGAAAATCCATTGTTGCCATAAATGGTTCTTGGTTTTCGATTAATCAAGATCGTTTTTCTTTGTTACGCTGCTGATATACAGCTAATTCTAAGATTTTAATTTTTATGCTTGATATTGTCTTGTACTCACTCCTACCTTTATTATAAGTTTCAAATAATTAATTCATAAGTAACAAATAATTAGTTAAAATTAGTTAACAATAATAAATATATTAGAATTATACTTCTATTTTTTCTTAAATATGTCTTTATAATAAATGAGAAAAAAAGATGAAAGAAAGTATGTGGGGAAATGTGATAAGAGAAGAATAATTAAGAGCAACATTGAAAAATATATATATTAAATATTAAAACAAATTCAAATTAAAACTTATATAATAGACTATATTCCTTTCTAAATTTGAAACTTATAAATAGGATGGGAGAGATTTTTAAACAAATCATAGAAATGTGCAGAACTTTTTTTTTTTTTTCAGTTTTTCATTGCTTTCTTTTATACACACCGGTATATTTAATTCACAGTATATTCCGTTTTCTTATTATCACTATTTGAATTCCTAAAAATATATTCTATTTTAAATTTTTAAGATACAAATGTTACTTGTTTCTGATAATGAGATGGAACATGTCAATTGTCAAATGGAAGTGGCTAAAATTTAAAATATGGTGTAACATTAAATGGAGGAGGGGAAATTAAAGAATGCTTACGTAATGCGTAGATTTTCTTCTTCTTTTTCCCCCCTGGTCCATATGTTTTCTCGCATGAGAACAAGTAAATAGCGATGAAGACACTACTTAATACTCCATCTATCTATTCCTTATAAAAAGGGGGAAAAAATAGAGGAAATGAGTTTGAATTGAATTGGATTGAGAGTTCAAGATTTGTTTACAGCAATATCGGCGGTTACTGACCACATGCAAAACCGCACATCAAGCTCAACCTTATCTTTTAGAAGTTCACCCTCCCGGTTTAAACACATGGGCCATGGCGTGCTCATAAGTCAAAGTCAATTTATTATCAATTTATTATCCAAAAATCCTTAATAGATATACAAGACAATTTTGTTTAAAAAAACATTGGAGTATATTAATCATGTGATTTGTTGTTTGTTTTTCCTTCTAACTTATACATCCATTATGGATTAACGTGATCCCAAACTTCCAGACCATTAAAAAATAATTTCTAGTTTAAGGGCGTGTTTGGAATCATGTTCTCATACGTGCATCTCAACCGGAGAAGTAACAGGTAGGTTGAAAAATAATATTTGGATCTACGTTTTGTGCATCTGACTTTTGCCATTGAAATGAACTTATCCAATAAGCACAAAGAAGTTGCTTTTACTCAATCTGACTTATGTAAAAGTCAGATTGGAAAAAGTTACTTCTGCCACCACTATCCCAAACACACCCTAAGTTGTTGCTGGTTTTTAGCTTATGGCTTCTTTATCTTCACTTCTTCTCTTTTTTCCTGTTTTGAGTCTTCATCTAAACAAGTCCTTGTTATATTGATTTTTTTTACAAAATCTAATCTAAACATAAATTATATTACACTGTTTGATTTTTATTTAATTTCTTTTTGTAAAAGTAAGATTAAAAAAAAATTACTTATGCTATTGGCAATCCAAATACACCCTATACCTTGGACTACCTTCGGTCCTTAATATAAAACCTCATTTGATTTTTATTTTAGTTTTAAATATAAGATCTCAATTCATTTTGTTTATCATATTTATGCATTTTTCTAAAGTAGCTTTTTAATAATGGTAATTCTGGCAAATAAACTTGATTAGTAAGGATATTTTAGGAAAGACAACACTTATTTGTTATAAATAACTAACTTAACTTATTTTCTTAATATTATCAAATTAGTCAACTAGCTCTTATAACTAAGATCGGGAGTAGTATAAAGGATTTGATCTCACATTCCAAAAGCCTTAAAGCATTGGTGTCATTTTAGGCCGTAAGGTTCCAATACACTCATTAATAATGTGGTTTGTTGTTTATAATGGATGAAAAAATGTGTTTAATTTTCAATAAAACTCAATCTTAACACGCAAGTTTATTCATAGTTTGAAATGCATTTATGGACATATACTCGCCTTTCATAAATTACTTGGACGAAGGAAGGGAAAGAAAATACCACACAAAATTCCTGGCTTTCACTGTTGCTGACAAAAGAAATTTACATGGAGCCGACGGGAAAATCCAAACAAACAGCCTCCAACTAAGCCATTAGTGAGACATGAAAGGAAAAGAAGAGGAATGGAAAGAGAATTCAATCGTAAAATGAGTGTATAAAAATTATATATTTTATAATAATAATAATCATCTATGGCAAAAAGGAGATGAGGTCCGGTCAGGGGCACCGGATATTTCTGCCGGGGCCGCCGTAATAGAAATAAGTGCCCCAAACATTGTTGCGGCCCTGTCGGATATCGTAGCAATTGGAATGATCGGCGAGCTGGTGAATGTTGGTGAGCGGAAGCAAATTGTTGTCCCAATCCACCACCTGCAAGTTCCTGAAGTAAGCCGCTTTTCGGAAGCCTTCGCCGGCGAAATGCCCGCTTCCCATCTCAGTGCCCGTGTGATACCCTCTCGATCGGGTGTTCACTATCTCTCCTCCGAATTGCACCATGCTCGCGTGGCTTCTCAGGTGACTGAACAAGTACGCCGGCCAGTATCCCACCAGCAGACCCGACCCGAACTCCAGCCACCAGTGCCCGTGTTTCGGATCCTGCGTCCACCAACGCCACGTGTCTCTTCATTAATTACACTGTACCACTTGCAGTACTGCCCCACCTCCTCCTAATCTCTCCTTTTTCTCTTTAATTATTCTCTCAATATTATTTTGAATTTATTTTCAAAAGATGTCTTCATATATTTTATAATTTTGAAAAATTAACATTATTTTTCCATTTTAAGATAAACTTGTATAAATTTATGATAATTTCATATTGACTTTTCTGATTCTCGGAGAAGCTAGTTACAGCAAACTAAAGTACTAGAAGACTTGAATGCCGAAATAAAATAAAAGGAAGCAAAGCAGGAAGAGTTGTGCTTTCAATTCAAAAAAAAAAAAAAAGAAAGAAAAGAAGCGTTTTGCTTTAACAAAGAAAAAGGCAGGGTCGAGTCGAACCCACGAAGAACACTGGTCCAAGGAAAGCAAAGGAATCTCACATTGTATTTAATAACCAATAAAAAGCTGTGTTGAAAATTGCAAAAGTAAACGAATTATTCTTTTACTCTCGCTCACCTCTCCTTTTTTGTTTTTTTTTTTTTTTAATGGAAACCAAACTATCTGTGAAATATCGCAACAAATAACGGTTTCAAAAGCTACAAAATGGAAAAGAAAAAGACTTTGGAAATCAAATTAAGCCCCGCAAGTGAAGAAAAAGAAAAAAAAGGAACTCACCTTCCAGACCATTAAGCCAATATCAAATTGTCTTCCATTGTAAGCTGATCTTGGAGAGATTGCCGCTCCTATGGCTATTCTATTGTTCGTTTGCACAAAACCTGAGCACAGCAAGTTGTAGCATCCAGTGGCTTGATATGCATCTGTCTGTTAAATAACAGATATTCCTGTGAGAAAAGAAAGCGAAAGAGAAAAAGTTGACAAGCAAAGGAACAAAGTAAAAGTCGATCAAGAAATCTTACGGTCCAGTAAGTGAAGAATCTAGGATAGTTGTCCCCGTATAGTTCTGGGCTCACCTGAGAAAGAAAGAAAAGAGACACATCTTAGCCACAAAGCTAACAGGAAATAGAAAAATTGAACATTGGGATTATATATTTGATTAAGTATGGACATGCCTGCCAACCAGCTTCGATGGTATTCAAATCATGGCCAAAGGAGCCTGCAATGACCCATATCTGTGATAAGCTGAATTCGTATTGATCGGTTACCCTGGGTGTCCACACGTTGATGCTTGCCTTTGCTCCATAATATTGATCTCCGTTCACAAAAACCACTGCATGCTGCAAATAACATTTTGAGTTGGAAGGGAAACTGTGGAATCACTTTTATCATAAGGAGGCAAACTTTTAACACGTGTTGTCCCTTCATGTCTGTTGTTTATGAATTCATTTTGCACTGTTTGGTAGACACAGAAAAGCAGGATTGCTTTTCTTTTCTTTCTGGCGAGGTAAAGCTTGTGAAAGAAAATGAAAGAAGCCTGTTTTGATTGAACTGCAAGAAGAAAGACTCTTTCGTTTTTGTAGTACCAACCTCATGACCAGAGCCAGTTGAGTCTCTTCGTACGTTTCTTGGTTTTCTTCCGAATCTACGAATGGAACTTGCTCTTAGGATGTCTTGTTCTGTTGTTCTTCTGATAGGAACAGTTCCTTCTGGGCATGATTCCCCAGAATCAGTCCATAGCTGAAAGCTTTCAATCACTTCTTCTCCATTGTCTTTGTGGCCCTTCGGCCTTTCTGGTGGATCCTGTGAAAACCTTAATCCTCTTAAAATTCAATCCTTAAAATTAATTAAAGCCTCAGACTAAAATATATTAACCTGCATTTCAACTTATGAATTCTGGGGATTCATTGAGCTCAAAGAAAGAGTCTTTTTGTTTTCTTACCAATGGCTTCTTCCCTTTAAGCTGAGGATGGTCAAACGCTGGCTGCTGATGCGATAAAACACAATCTATCAAATCCCCATCAGGGCTCTGCAAATAAAAACCTAGATCATTAATTTACAGCTCAAGGAATTACCCAAAAAAAGAGGGGGGAAAACTGTGAAGCAGAGGACAATCGTATGAAATGAAATGCCTTTATTGTCTTGACAGAAGGCTTGTTGATTTTCTTGAGGTGAGCTCTGATTCTCTTTAGCTTGAGCAACTCAGGACCCGGTCGGAAGGTTTGATTGGTTGGTGAAGAGTGAGACAGAACAGGAGTGATGAAAGAAAGAAGCAGAAGGAAAGCAACAAAAGCATGAAACAGAGGCAGGCTTGTATTTTGGCTATTCCCAGAAGAAGTAGAAGAAGAAGAAGAAGCCAATTTCAGAGAATGATTCGGTGGACTTGTTTGTTGTGAGGCAATGTGATTTTCTTGTATGCATTGTGGTTGTCTTCTTGTGCGGTGTTGATGACCTGAAAGAAAGGGTTCATTCCTATGATTTGTCCTGCAACCTGAATATCGCTTCATATCCATACAAAACACAAAGAGCTTCCCCAGAAGAAACCAAGTTTTATTCACTGCCTTCACGTTTTCAAATTATAATATATCCTCACGGAAGAGAGAGAGAGAGAGGAGGAAGGGGGGGTAGAGCGAACTAACAGTGGTCTTGATTTTGTGCTTCCCACGCCATGAAAATTGAAGAACCAGCACATAAAATAGACCCCGGATAGGTGGGGCTGTACTTTACAAGTTTTATTAGTCTCTCTCTCTCTTCCTCTTCTATTTTACTCTTTTTTTAAATTTCTTCTTGGGAGCTGCGACTCGCCTCAGAGTGACTCAACAAGTTAGATTCATTATACCCGGTCATTGTGCCCCAGCCAAGCCAATTTTTTTTCAGAGAAACAAACTCCTCTATATATTTATTTTATGTATTATAAAAATATTTTTAAATTATAATTTGGTTTCTATCCAAATATCTTTTAGTTATTTATGCTCCAATCAAACTAATTTTTTTGGGCAACTATCAAAATCTCTTCCCCCTAAACCACTTCTAATAATTTCATATAGCTTTGAATTTCCAACTCTTCTTACTTACGTTTCAATCCAAATTCTCCAGGCCTCGCAAATCTATTGTGTACTGTTCCTCCTATTTATATCTGCTCGAACTTGGGGAATGTTGTCTCACCAGCTAATGTCAGCCTTTAATTTTCGCTGCTTCGTATATTTATTGCAATACATACGGCCGAATATAAATGACACAGCCCAATAGAGATTGCTCAACTGTAAAGTGGAATAAAATAGATACACTGGACAGCCAAAAAAATTATATGGGCCATACCTAATTATTATATCCAATAGGGCATCATGATGAGAACACAATCATAAATTCTTGTTGGTGTGGCTGTTTTTTTGACTCTGTGGATAATGTGGTTGATTAATTATCAAAAGGGGTTTTATAATTATTTCTGTGGTAGACTCTGCGAACCTGATTTAGATAATGATGTGGCTGTTTCTTCTCCTTTGAAAAATTTTCAGCCTTGATAATTCTGTTGGGCTGATTTGTGCTTTGAAACTACGACATTTATCTCTAACCCGTCAAAAACATAGCCTGCACGTGGCTTGTATGATTACTTAATATTCCATTTCACTCTGGTTTTTAGTTTTTAATCTCATCTTCATGGAAAGGCAAATCACCTCGAAATCCTCACTTATTTAAGGCTTACCGAAGGTAGTTTGAATTTAAGAATATGAATGTTCTGTCACTAATCTAAGTGGTCCGTATATGAAGACTTTGAGGTAGATATTAGAGTGCGTTAATGGCTGCATGTGCCGACAACTTATAATGCCCACCTGCAAGTTGTTAGTTGTTTCTTGATAGCTGAAATTAACACACTTTCGCCAAACTCTGTAAGGAATAAAAGTAGAAGTCTTCAATGTTGGGTAGCAGGATTCATAAATTTGATGTGGCAATTCCAAACCTCAGTTCTATAATGTTACATGTCGTTGAGTAAACACCACAAATTTATTGTAATTGGATCGCTTACTACCTGAAAGAAAAGAACAGGAAAAATAAAATAAAAATAACAACTACTATGTTTAAAGGATAAGAATAATGACTCACGAATTACAAGCCAAAGAGGGAAGCATGTTACCATAGAACGTTTTGATGTATAATTAAATGGACAAAATGGGTTTAGAAGAAATATTCCTATCTAGAAACCTATAAAGTTTCTCTTGGGGAGTGAGTTGGCCACTAAGCCTTATAGTTTTTGTGAAATTGTGAGGCACAAAAGTATGGGCCCTCTTCGTCCTCCATTGTTATCACAGTTCGTCTTCTTAGCTAGCTGGCTATTCTTTTATTTCTCTCTTCTTTTCACAAACTTCCACTTACTCTCTCTCCAAACCTTAGAGAGGGAAAAAAAAAAGCTTTTTCTGTTCTAAGCATGGACATCGGTCCACAGTAAAAATCCCACATGAATCCTAGAGAGATTTATATTTTGAATGTGGTTGAGTTCCCAGAAGTGCATGATCGGTTCATTTCATAAAGGCAGTGTGATTTTATGGCATTAGCTATATAAAAATCATGTTCTTAAAAGGCTGACACAGCTGGGCGTGCTTTTAAAAGGAATCAGCATCTCAGCAGTTTCAAAAACAATGAACACAGATATGAAAGAAAATATTAACATTTAAAAAAATTAGAAATCTGAAAGTGGGGCTCATATTTATGACAATGGCCACAGGACCCTTAAGAATGGCAGTCACAATTGCTTTGATTGTTCTTGTTTTTCCCCATAAACAATGAATAAATGGACCCCTTACAGTACTCATTTGCTTTAATGAAACCATCAACCCATATCAGCATTAACCAAAGAAAGCAACGCAACATAATCCAAGAAACCCTCTTCCACTTGGGTCTTCAACAGATCAAAAATTAATGTTAAATGGTATTAACTGAGGTTATATATTCTATAAGAACGAAATTTATATATGGAAGAAAAAGAAAGTTCCTTCCTTTACTTTACCAATATTGCCCAGAAGAGAGTGCATACAAAATCTGAATACTGAACAATTCGAATAAGTGCAATGCACTTGTGACTGAGAGGCAAGAAGATTTCAGATCTTCACCTTTTTTTGTTCCTTTTCTCTCTTTAAATATTCCTACGTTTAGAGGGAACTTGTCTTGATTACCAAGTGAGGGTTGATACCATTTAATTGAGAATTTGTGCTCACACATCATGTGAAAAGATTTGCACTGTGTGGGAGAACTGTATCTATTCATCCATAACTAAAATATCATAGAAGCATGGTGCAACTATAGGAAGGGAAATGAGTATATAGTCTCAGAGGCATGTGAGAGTGCAGAATGTGATCCACATAGGCAGGCCACTAAGCTCTTAGTGCCTACTGTGAAGGATGAAGATGGTGATGGGTCATCGGCTCTGGGGGTTGTGGAAGCCATGTGATGTTATGTCTTTCAAAATAATCTTCACTGCTTCCTCCATTCTTTACGAATTAAAAAGCTGATAAGTCATGAACTTTTTAGTTCCCATCAGAATACCAACTCTCCCTTTTCTTTTAATTTTTTTTTCCCGTTTACTGGCTGTGCGGTTTCTTGTGAATTCCAAAAAGTTATAACAAGCAATTTCTGGCTTGGTTTAGAACCGACCCAACTTGAATTGTTTATGCACAAACTTTCTGGGACCTGCTCAAAACCACTCGAGTATCAATAGCACTAACAAAAGGGCCTTTGTCACCACATTTGACTATTTAGAGCGACAATCAATGATGATACTTTGAAGAAAAATAGGAAATAGACGTCAATTATGGTCTTATTTTTTGACTTCACTTTGACTAAGTTGAACCAGATGTACTTATTGGATAAGCAGGCTTAGAAAGTCGGAGATGTTTAGCACATACATAATATTAAGGGGGAAAAAAAGTCTGGGGCTTGCGGCCTTGCAGGTTCCCTATCCTCCACCGCGAATTCCATTAGTTTTCACTATGAAACCAAACAAGCGCTTAGAATAGTTTTCCAGACTGGACTAGGTTCTAATAGTTAGGTACACTGCTCTGCTTTGGATTATCGAAAAAAAGAAATTAGATGAAGAATGTCCAGACTAAAAAGGTGCTTAGGTAACCCTAGAAGTACTTTTCAGAAGTATTTTTTCACAAATCAAAGTAAATTCCTCCATTTATTTATTTAGTATATCGTAAAAACATTTATGAAACTATAGTTTTGTTCTTACCCAAATACCCCTAAATCGCATATATACCTCGCCATATAAAATTCTGAAGTAAAAGACTTGTCCTTGTTCAAACAAAATGGATCCTTTAGGTGGGGCTAATGACAATTCTACAAAGAACAGAGGACGTAGTAAAGCTATAGGCATGAAAATAAGATAATAACAAATGTTCAAATAAATAGACAAAGTGTAGAGCAGCTAATTTGAATTCATTCCAAATACCTAGGAAAAGTTCAGAAAACCATGGTCGACAAAAAAGAAAAAAGGAAAAAGGGGCAGTTCAGAAACCAGCAGAGTAGAAGCTCAAAATGCAACAAATTACTATAAGGTAAGAAACAATTTTGTGTCACCGAATAGCATGGTAATGCTAAGTGAATTAGCCTACCACTGCCAGAGAAAACAAAGAAAATGCAGAAAGGCTAAGAGAATCTCATACCATATTGGTATAAAAGAGTAAAGATGCGAGTTTCCAATTTTCTGCTTCAAATTTTGACAAGAATCCCAAATGGGGAATGTTATGCTTTCCTGATGTGGAAGAATAAAACTTCAAGTTACATCAATGTGAAAATATCAAAAATATTAAAATTATGAGTTACTAGAAAGCACCAAATGGTTGAGGGTATACTCAAATAATTTTTTGGACTTCTTTTCTATAGCTTATCGGAGTAGTGGCTCACAGGAAATGCATAAATTCTCAGCTGAGTTTGCGTTCCAGATGCATAGATGCTTTACAACACCATTTTAGGATTTTGGCCTTTAACGTCCAAATCAGAATTCGATTCTTTCTTCCAACCCCTTCACAATATTCTTTCAACATTGATCTCAGTGAACCTCATCGAAAGGCCACGGATAGGAAACCGTGACCATGTGATAGTGACGACTCCTGACTCCATGAAAAAAACAAAACAAAACAAAACAAAACAAAGTATTACCTCTGATCCTAATTATAAGAGCTAGTTGACTAATTTGAGAAGATTAAGAAAATAAGTTAAGTTAGTTATTTGTGATAAATAGATATTATCTTTCCTAAAATATCCTTACTAATCAAGTATATTGGTTATAACTACCATTATTAGAAGGACTATTTTGGAAGAAAATGTATAAATATGATAAACAAAATAGATTGAGGTATTATATTTAGGACAAAAATAAATATCAAATAAGGTTTTATATTAAGAATAAGAGATAGTAATAAGCTTTAAGTTTGGTAGTTGTGGCTTCTGCAGTTTATTCTAAGCCCATAATTTTTTGTTAATATTTTCTGTTGAAAATAATGATAACCATAATGTATCATTGTTATTATTATGATTTATTGTCATTATTGCTATTTATGGCTGTACGCCTGCTTAGGTCCGTCTTAACCCCCATGAAGAATTATTATTTTCATGTTTTGAAATCGAAATGGCAGGTTACAACTTAGAACTTGGAAGAATAACCCATGTTATTTAAAAAAAAAAATACCTACATCAAATTCTTTATATTCATTATATCAATTTCTCCAATTAGACATGATCATGTATCTTATTTTTAAAATATTAGCATCTAGCTATAATGAAACAAAAAAAGACGCCTGACTATGTATGATTAAAAAACTTTACATAATAGATATAAAGAATTTAACCTGAGTTTTTTTTCCCTTTAGAAAAAGCAGCAACGAAGGACACATGTTTTGCCGTAGAAATATTATTTTATTATTTCAGTTTAAATTGAATGAATTAGTAGTTAATATAGATCATAACGGTGACAACGGCACCTGACATAACAATAGCAGTGAGGAGAGGAGGGTAGTACCATGACAGTGACGATAGGGGAAATAGCAATCAAGAGCCATGGTCAATGACTCGGTGGTATGGGAGTTGCCAGGTAAATGATAATGCTAGTACTGACGACTATTTGACGATTTGATAATAGATAATGAAAACTGTTTTTTATTTTTTAATAATAAAAATTAAAAATTATATAAAATAACTTATCATAACTTATTCCTCCCTGGTGGAATAGTGTTGCAGAAAGAGATGTTATCAAACATATTACTAGATCTTCTCGATCGCATTTCAGATAAAGAACCCTTTTTTATAGGTGCCAAGAGAGAAGACCAATGTACAAGCAGGGCAAGTAATTGCAGAACAATAAGCTTGTCCGAAAATTGAGTCACTAACAATATATAGATATTGAATAGCATAACCCAGCACACTTTCAAATTCTCTAAAGCCAAATCCTGAGACTTTTAAAGTTGCTTGAGATACAACTCCAGTGACTTTTAAGTAGGCAAATATTGTGCTTCAGATGATATCAATCAAAAGAGCAGCGGGTATTATAATAATAAATAGAATTGGTCAGGGAGAAAAAAGCAGTAAAATACCTTCGCAACAAGTTTGCATCATACGTTATGCGCAATTGGCACCAAAACTTTTGCTATAATCAACATTAATTTATGAAAGTAGTATTCTTCCAAAGGGAATCTATGTGCAGAAGAGATACAAGAAATAAAGAATACTAACTAAACACACTGAACAAAACTTTATGCAAAAGCTAACTAGAATTTTGACCATTGTCTCGCTTGAGTATAAGATGGCAAAGAAATGCCAGGAGCAGAAGCCCTTCTGCTTGGCACAGGAAGTTTAATTTGACTACAATAAACAATTAGCAAAAGGAGTAGAAATATAGAAAAGAGAAAAGTCGGCGAAGACAAGACCTCAAAATTTTTTAAAGTTGAAATGATGGTCTGCACTTTGCTGGCTGCAGTATTTAACCAAACGAATTTCCCTTCAACTAATGCAGCACCTAACGTCCAGGAAACATCACCTGGTCCAAATACCATCTCTACATCATCAAGATGAAGAGTATACTCAATTAATGATGCCATATAAGCTGCCCGGAAACAAAATTGTCCAGCATAATTTGGATCGTCAGAGATACTGCTCAATCCAGCCCACAAGGCAGAGCACAAGCGCTTGCTTGATCCCCAAACCTTTGTTATGTTGGCTCTTGGGCTCAAATTTAATTTGCTGTGCACAAGAAAGAAACCAGATAAAGCATGGAAGTGCCTTGTTGGGTGAGCAACGGCTGTTAAATTATATATACCAGAGCCTGCATGACACATGTCGAGCATATAAATGACTTTTGACCTTCATATAAGTATTAGACACAAACGAGTTCTCTTGTGCTAGGAGTAACTTCATTTACTATATTCACTGTATTTAGACAACGGTGTAGTTTTCAGTTTGACCATACGTGCAGTGGATACAAAGAGGGGGAAAATTCATCAGCCTTTACCAATGAACATGCATCTTTATATTCAGAACAGGATAAAGTATAGTTACAACTACCTAAAAGAACTACTACTAGGCATTTCTTACCAACTGTTGGATGCGGTGCACTCAAATCACTCAAGTTTAAAGCAGCTGCAATTGCAAGATCTTTGCACCGCCCCCAATCCGGTTCTCCAACAAGATGCAAATAAGAAAGTTCATCTTTTGGAAGCTTACTATGATTTTTCTGGTAACCGGAGCAAGAATAGCAGGTGTAGTTTTGCAAAAAATTAGATCTGAGACAAGGATGTCTGATTTCAAAGCTAACCCCAGTTTTCTCTCTACTTTGATTATTTGTGAGCATATAGACAGTCCTGTCGAATGCTTCATTTAAGCCAAATGCTGGCAAAGAGTATGCAATAATCTGATGTTCAATTGAATTGAGCTTTGATCTCATTGTGTGTATGCCATCATCTGTGTCACCTACCTCCATCACAATCTGCAAGGAAGAGCCACCCAAATCAAGAAGGCCCAAGGTGGGAGACCTAGGATAACCAGCAAAGCTCCCCATTTTGTAGTTCAAAGCAACCCAACCGTAATATGCTTCTTCAATTCCACTCAAAACTCTAATCCAACTATTCTTATACATAAAAGAGTGATCCTTCACAACAGCCTCCACATCTTCCAAAACTTGCTCAGCATCGCTACTTGCCAACCTCCTTAGCCCAGCTGTTGCTAGAACAAAAATGGGGGTGTCTTTATGCCTTTCACGTGGCACCACCTTCTCTGCCCATATAATCAATGGTTCCAAAGATTCTTTTACACCTGATGAATCATTAACAAACTTGTCTAACCCCGGCTCGGTTTGCATGCAGTGATACTGACAGGAACTATTCCAGAGTGAACTCCGGGTTGTATTATCAGGATAAGAATGCAGCAAAATAGGCAAGTTTGAAGTACTCGCACTGTCCACAGTCCATTCATGTACATTTACCCGCGTTCCCGTGCTCCCACAGTCAACAACCACAGCATAATATGACCCCTTGAATACAGTATTAGCTTTTCTGTGATCCAATTCGAGATAAAAACCCAGTAACAGCAGCATCACGAGAAAAATAACAGTACCAATCATTAACATCCATCTGTTTTTGGTAAATTTCTTAACTTTCGAAGGTGATTGGGGGAATTCCATCAACAGAAAGCAGTAATACCAACAAGTCACAAATCTTAAGTCTAGCTCCTTCTAATTCTGTTGGCTTTCACATTTCCCTTCGCAAAAATCAACAGATCCCAAAAGCCGGCAGGAATACAAGAATACTACTGAAAATCATCGAATTTTTGGAATTTCAGCAAAAAGAATCTGAGCTTCAGTAATTTTTATCACCTTCGAGCAGTTAACTATAATACAAACTAAGAAGGAGTTCGTGAATTATTTCCATTTCGACAAAGTTCTGATAGTTGTAGGAGGTGAATGAGGTGAATGTACCTGAGACTCAAAATTTGCCTGCAGTCGACCACAACACAGGGAAGAGCCGATAAGAGCACTGGTTGCGCTGTCGCGGAGACAAGCCTGTGTCTACAGCTTCTCTTCCATTCTACGGATCATTCTCCCTCTCGCAACTCATCTGTTGTGACTGTGGATCCCTGCGATGGAGATCCGGCGATGACAACTTCCGAGTATAGAGAAATTTAGTTTTCGGAGATTAACATTATTATTACATACTTGACGCGAATTTAACGAACTTTGCAACCCGCAGATCCTCCCTTCCCTTCCGCATGGTTTTTCTCTCTCTGTTTTTTTTTTAAAATGTTATGAAGTTTTATAAATATGTTAATATTTTTTATGACATGATATATGTTAATATTAATGTTACACGATGGCAAAAGATGAATTTGAGGCTAAAACTCATTAGACGATTCCAAAAAGTATCGCCGCAAATAGATGCATCAATTTTTTTGATAAGCTCACTAAATCACCAAAAAATAAAAAACTAGGCTGGGAATTGTGGCCAAGCTTATTGAATGTTTAACAACCTTGAAACCATGGAATTGTGGCCAAGCTTCTGAGAAGCACTTTTTTATAAAACGAGACAAACTCTTTTATATATTTATTTCGTAAATCATAAAAGCACTTTTGAAACTATGATTTGGTTTCTGTCCAAACACTCTCTAAATTGCGTTCTTGATGATTTGATATGCACAAAATGGATCGAGTAATTGACTCCTTTGTAGGAATATGTTGATTTTGGCACATCCTAATCATTAATCTATATTTTGAAATACGCTAACAATTGGGCTTTATAGTTTTTCAAATAAAGAAAATAACTTTTTTTCCCCAGAATGTAAACCAAGACCAATAATTTTTCAAACACGCTGGAATTATGAAAGTTAGGCCACATGTGTCAGTAGACGAGCCCACTTAGCGTATAAAACCCGGAATCCATTTCATTCCTTTTCTCCTGTTTTCATGCGCTGTCATGTGAGGCAAATTCTTTATATTTATTATGTTAAATTTTCTAATTACACATAGTAATGTGATTGGCGAATTTGACATCATGAATACACATAACTTGATTTAAATGTTATTTTTATATAAACTAGTTATTAATAGTAATTTATGTCTTTGTCGTCATTATAAAAGATAGAGATAGGATAATAAATTAATTAAAAATGATGTTTTATCATCGAAAAATTCTAATATTATTATTATGACGATGATGACGAAATACTTTACTGTTTACATTGCGAGGCTATCTTATATATATATATATCTGGATACCAATAACTGTCTTTAAAAATTTGTATCCGTTCAAAAACTATGATGAGCAAGTAAGTTGGGGGGGGGGGGGAAGGGTTGGCCCACCCAACTTAGGAGTTAATCCTTGCTCAGCTTCTTAGAAGGAAATTAGAGGACAAATTATGCTTAACTGGCCAGCCTTGTGATCATATGGACGAGGGTAAAAATATGTCATCGCATAGTTGGAGACTCGGAGAAGCCAGTTGATGCGTGCCAGTCTCGCCAAAGAAGCTTAATAGGCTGGACAAGAATTCATGATTGAGTGGTTGGCCTTATTTAGGAGCTTGTTTGGATGACATTCAAAACCTAAGGTAAAACTATGACTTAGATAAGATGACATCCAAACAACTTCAATTTTTTAAAACCTTGGTTACACCTGAAACTATGATTTTGAAGGCTGAAATCATGATTTGGTAAGAAGTGAAAAATTGTTGCTTCTGAAGAGTGAAAGCTGAGTTATTAAAGTGATAATTAGAAGTCAAATGGGAGCAATAGTATATTTTGACCAAAAACACAAATTAATAATTTTCACAGAAAATTAAATAATTTTCTGTTCACAACAAAGTAATTCATCTTCTCCACAAATATTTTTACTCTTATATTTTATAAATATATATACATGTAGTAACAATTAATTAATTAATTATATCAAAGATCGGAGGTAGTATGTTGTTACAAAAACTAGTTGTAAAAAAATGTTATGGGATTTCATGTTTAAAATCTTTAAAGAAAATTAATACTTTTCTGTTAGCAAAAAAAAAAGTCATTTTTCCCTAAACATATCTAATATTATATTTTATAAATATTATATATACACATTAATTATTTATTAATTATATTATCTTATATATTATTAATTATGTTGGTAAAAAATGTATTATCAACAATTTTATTCCTTCAAATTAAAATATATTATAAAATCTATCTTTTATGTAATTATCATATTAACTTATACTCTTTTTAGTAATTTACACGTGTAAAAGGTGTTTCTGATACAACTATCCAAACACTTTCACTTTATCAGAGTCACTTTTTCACAAAATCTATTTTTCCATAATTTATTCTCTAGAAGCTAGTCTTTAAACCATAGTTTGGTTTCATCTAAACACCTCCTAGATTTATGTTGGGCAAGATGGCTCTGTATTCCAATTTATTTTTATAAACTGAAATTAGAACAAAAGTTAATTAGAGTAATATAATTTATATTTAGAAATATAAACTTATGTGAGTAATATATTGAAAACTTAGTTTTAACATGTTTATATTTGAAGAGCCAAAATAATTTTTTATCGAATTATTTTTTTCCCTGTTTTTAACTAATTCCAACAGTATCTTAAATATGCACTTTTTATGTTATGGCTCAGAGGATTAACCTTTCTATGGTTTGTTACCTTTTTTTTTTTTTAAGCTTCTTGTCTTTTCTTTGTACACAAATTTTTTTGGATGATTTTTCTTGTCCCTCTCTCTCTCTGTTTTCCCCCCCTTTAGGTAGCCAATTCATGCATGGAGTTTTGAAGTTGAAAGAATCCCATTTCACCAAATGGACCAAACTAACTCATCTCAATTTTTACCAATAGGATTGAGTTTAGCGGAAGAAGTTAGTCCTTCATGACATGATGAACTAATATTCAAATTTTTATTAGAATATATGTTTATATTTATTACACGACAGTGTTCTGAACAATATTACTTCTATCTAATAGAAAGATAACTGTGTCTAAAAAAAACCTATCTCAATTTTTTTTCCGGGCGAAATTCTAAAGGCCAGCCCATTTAGCACGGTATAATAGTATGGCCGAGTTTGTTGTAATCGCCCTTAGTGAGTGAGGAGAAATAAACGTGCTGCAAAAATTTTCTTTTTTGGGGTTAAATGTGTAATGTAATTGTCATTAGTACCAAACAAGAACTAAACAGAGACTCGATTTTGCAACTAAACAGGCTTTTCCTTGGGCCATAGAACACCATCGTAGATCACAAGCAGATGTTCTTCTGTTCTTGGTAGGATATATATGCTTCAATGGAGTCCTCAAACAAAACTCATGTAAGGAAAACCACTGCAACTTCTTTTTGGTTCTATTATTATTAGTTTTACATTTTTCAATTAAATTAAATTTAAATTTAAATATTAATTAAAATATATTTTCTTAAAGGGACCTATATTTATGAATAATTTCTCACAAGGCAATTCAACTGGGACGTCCTCGAGCTCTTTCAGCTGTCTCCATTCTCCGCTTCTTCGTCTCTTAACCCAAGCCCACCACACAAACCCGTTGCCATCAACGCCTGCAGATCTCCTTCTCTGAATTCTCCTCACGATCATTTTCGATAATTCCTCAAGCCTTCGATCATTTCCCCCTTATTTCTGGAAAAGCTTTCTGTAATTGATGCTCTAGGGTTTCTACGAACCTTCCTACGCTTGTTTCATATAAGGCAAGATATTTTGGAGTTATGCCTGGCATGCTTTTGCTTCCACTTCTGACTTTTGTTTATCCACGATTGATTCCCAAGAGAAACAAAGGGGAAAGTAATTATTACGAGTGACGATGTATAACTATAGCATTTTTCTGAGTGTGTCTTTGCGCCTAATATATTAAGAGATTTTAAGATATGCCCCTGTGTTTTGTTGTTAACATATAAAAAGGAGTAGCGCAGAATCTGTTTTATCTGCCGACGCCAAGAAAATTTACTGATGCTGCTTTTCTGCCACCTCCAGTTTTCTTTCCAAACAATGATCCAAGCACGTCCCTATTGTTGATTATGTTTCTTACCTTCATGCGTAGAATCTGAACCCAATTTACGATTGGAATGCTTGCTTATGCTTTAGTTGGTTCCTTATCGTTGACAATTTCATTGTTCGAGAGCATGCTCATTTTTATAAGGCTTCGGTTGTTTCCTTCTTGGATCTATTGCCTGTAAATGGTGACAGGGCTTGTCTACAGTTGGAAGTGAGAAATAGTTTGATGCTGAGATTATTGCTAGCCAATATGGGGAATATTGGTTATTGGTGGAGGTTGTGTTTGATTCTTCTGGAGTATATATTTGGTGGAACATGGGACAGCACATGGCTTTTTCTTCTATCTGCTAGACAAAATATAATTTTCATCAATGGATTAAGAACACTGTTTTATACAAGTTGACTAGTTGCATGAGGCTTGTGCCCTCCATTTTTTTCTGAGAATGTTGACCGGTAAGAACGAAAGTTGTTCCTAATGAGGAATTTTGTGGACTACGATGAAGACATGCATTATGTTGAACATCAACTTATGTAAATTAAATACACAGAATGATTCAATTTGTTGCTTCCTGCCTCCTCAATTTTAAAAATAGTATATATGACACTCGAATTCTCTGTGAAGTTTTGAAAGAGATAATATTCATGTTTTTGTTTTCAAATTGTGTTGTCTTTGCATGTATTGTAATATAATATCACACCATTGCCCTTATCTATTTCTTTCTTGCAATAGGCCTTCCAAGTGGCTTGAATGATTGTGTGGCAGCATCTAGGGTATGACTTCAAGCATGTTGAGTGGGGATCGAAGGTATCTTTTGATTTGTTGCTCTGGTATCCATTTTGTATAGTGATATGATAATGTAGGAAACCAAACGAGATTATGTCAAAATTATGGTGTTATCTCTAATCCTTTGTCTTTACCAATGAGGCGGCTTCAAGTTTGAGACTAATGCTATTGCAGGTGGGCCTCTTCAAGTTCCAGAAGAGGTGGCATGACTGTATTAGGCAAAGTTGCAGTTCCAAAACCTATTAATTTGCCCAGTCAAAGGTATTTAGTTTCTTGCTTCACTTGTTATCTTTTCAGCTTATTAATGTGGTCAGTTGCCTTCTGAAAATTCCCCTTTTGTTCTGTATCTAGGTTAGAAAATCATGGTCTGGACCCAAATGTGGAGATTGTTCCCAAGTAAGAAAATATTTATTGATATGAGTGATATGATATTTTATCTATTTGCATTCTTTAATTGATGCTTGTTTTGCTTGAAGTGATGTAATCTCTTTACTGTCATTAGGGGTACCCTCAGCTGGGGCACTAAATCATCTTCTGCACCGAATGCTTGGGGGTCATCTTCTCTCTCACCAAATACTGATGGTGATAGTAGCTCACCCAGTCGTCTCAGTGCTCGTCCATCATCAGGTGGAAGTGGCACAAGGCCTTCAACCGCTGGCAGTGATAGGGCTCTTGAACCTACTGCAAGTGCATGGGGTCCAAATTCTAGGCCATCATCAGCATCTGGTTCACTAACATCGAATCAGGCTTCACTGACATCACTGCGTCCTCGGAGTGCAGAAACAAGACCTGGTAGTTCACAGTTGTCTCGATTTGCTGAGACCTTGAATAAAAATCCTACGGCTTGGAGTGACGCAAGGACTGCTGACAAGCTGGTAGGCAGTAGACTTCAGTATTATATGTGCTTAAAAGATTACAATATATTATTTGTTGTCCTGTCATTAATCATTTTGGTTTGAGGGTTGATTCAACTCATGCATGATTTGTATCTTAACTCTCTACATATGCTGTAGGAACTTGTTTGGGATGGTAATTCCTTCTTTTCTATGCAATGATGCACTCTTGGACTTGGTGTCAATCTCAGTTTGCATGCAATTAAACATATTAATATAAAATATACAGCAAACTGGACTATTTGTAAATCATGAATAGTGTAATTCACTTTAGGCTTTGTCCAACGCTTGGGTTAACGTGTCTATTTTGTAGGTCTAAGTTGGTATTTATTTGTGAGAGGAGCTTTTATCTTGAGTGAATAACAGAATAAGATCTGTGGCATAGGAATTTCAAACAACTTGCATCGGTTATGTTTCAAGGGAAGAAAGTAGAATTCATTGTATTTTTATTCCATCAAAGTTTTAATTTCCCCCAAATACAATCCCTCTTAATTTCAGTACCAGCTGCCTGTGGCTGCTTCTAAGTTGTTTTATCACTAGCCCTTCTGATAACAGCATTTTTTTTTCCCTTGGGTGCAAATGCAGGGAGCCAAGAATGAGGAGTTTTCTCTTAGTTCTGGAGATTTTCCAACTCTTGGTTCTGAAAAGGACAAGTCTCTAAAGAATTCTGAGTTGCAAGGTAGCATTTTCTGTGCCACGTTTTTTTGGTTGATTATCCAATTTATCCTGTTATAATTTAATTGTTCTATGAGACACGGAAGATACTAAGGAGAGGAGGCTTATGTATCTTATCCTTTCAACAAAAGAAAATGAGAAAAATTCAGACCAAGTTAACTGAAACACAAGAAAGTTAAATATGAAATGGAGCTGTGCTGTGCATCTCCTCTCCATGTAAAAGAGACCAACTGAATAAAAATTCATTGTGTGGCTCATAGTTAAAACCCTAAATTTGTGCCATATATTTTCCGTCTAGGATTGGTTGCTGCAATTTCATTGGTTGTCTTGGGGATTTTTTTTAATGTTGCTTGAGTATATTGTCATCCCTCCCCAGTTTGTCAATTGTACTTTATTTTCATTATGAGTGTTAATTGGGTGCTTGGATGGCAGTTCTGAAAGTATGGTTGCCTGTTCCTTTATTTTATTGAGATAACTACTGTTTTTTCAATTAAGGAGTAATTTATCTGATGTTGGCAGTTATTCATGTAGAATTCATTGTGTAACCTCCTAAAATTAGACGAAAGATGTGTTATATTATCATTTAGCTTAATTAGGTTCTCCCGTGAGTGGTGGTTTCTTTATCAATTTTTTGCAGACCATAGTTCTCATGGTCGTCCTGGCTCATCTTCTTCTGAACTCGGGAAAGAAAAAGCTGAAACCTTTGGTTTGTCTGCTTGCTCTTGCCCCTACATTTGCAGTATTACTGCAAACTTGCTTCTTTTTACTACTGATAGGATTTGGTGTTCTTTCATCTAAAATAATGTTGTATTTTGGTAATTTACAGATGATGTTTCTGAGGATGCAAATGTCAAGGGTGGGGCAGTAAATTCTTGGGGAGGAGACTATCGGGGACACAGTGATGATGGAATGAAGCCTGGCGTGGAGAAATGGCAGGGGAATCCCCAGCCTTACCCTAGTGCTGGGATTGGTCCTCATCATTATGATGCTTGGCATGTTCCTCCTGTAAATAACCCTCAAGGTGGTGTTTGGTTTAGAGGACCGCCTGGCGGCCCCCAATTTGGTAGTCCTGTTGCTCCTGGTGGATTTCCTATTGAACCATTTTCTTATTATCGTCCACATATTCCTCCTACTGGTCTTGTCAACCCACCACCGGTTCCTCCTCCTGGGGCTGGTCCACGAGGGCCCCATCCAAAGAATGGAGATGCATACAGACCTCATATGCCTGATTCATATATTCGTCCTGGTATGCCTATTAGACCTGGTTTTTATCCTGGTCCGATGGCCTATGATGGGTATTATAGTGGTCCAATGGGCTATTGCAATTCAAATGATCGGGATGTTCCTTTCATGGGAATGTCAGCTGGACCCACGGTTTATAGCAGGTACTCAGGTCAAAATCCTCCTGAGCCTGGCAACTTGCAAGGTAGATCTGGGGGCTATGTTTCTTCTGGAAAGCAATCCTCAAAGCAAGGGGAATCCAGTCATTCTCCTGATACTGGTGGACCATACAGAGTTCTTTTAAAGCAAAACAATTCATGGGATGGACAAAATGAATCACCAAACTGGGAGGACTCAGAGATGGCGAATGCATATGCTGATGGAAGGGATCAAAAGAGGCCGTCTGTTTGGGAAAATGAGCAGAAATCAGATTACAGAATGAATGAGGAGATGAATTCAAGGGCAGGTGCTTGTGGGGAAGAAGTTTTGCAGACTTCAGAAAATCAAGGATCTAATTTTTCTGTCAAAGCTGAACATTCTGATAGTTCTGGAAATATCAAGGCATCAAATGACATTTCAGCAAGAAAATTGGATGGTGCTGCCTCTGGTGTCGAAGAAGTCCCCCTACGACCAGTTGCCCCAAAACAATCCAGCCTAATTCAGAAGATAGAGGGCTTGAATGCAAAAGCCCGGGATAATTCATCCACTAAAAGCAGGGAGGAGCAAAGGAATAAATCTCACATTGTTTGTGCTCCAGTAAATCGTGTAGAAAATGGTGCCTTTGCTGGTGATGTGCTTCCTGAGAGGAAATGTGCCCCTGAAGTCTTAAATTCACCCTTTCGTGATCTGAATGCCTCTGGTGGAGAAAAGAATCCTGAATCCTTGTCTTTCAGTGGAACAGCAACATCCAGGTTTGTTTGGTATCAATTGCAGTAACCGTGTCACCCCCACCTGATTTTCTTCTTTCCTTCGTCCGTTTCTTTTGATAATTTTTCCTGCAAGATATGAGTAGATTTTGCAAAGTTTTTTAATCCTATAACTGACTAGAGAGAAGGAAAATATATAAAGATAAATAAATAGGTGTAAAATATTTATAAATTTAATCAATTATATTCCAAAATCTCCACCTATTTAATGATAAAATGTGCATTTATCTCTGTGCTTTTAGCATGGGGAAAGTATTGAAATGCTTGTTTACAGGCGAGCCGGTCATGTCTTTCACGGCAGAGCTGATCATCGTAACAAGGGAAGATTCAATAGTGAAGATGCTGATGAGTGGCGAAAGAAGTCTGTTGATGGTGATTCCACTTCATCAAGTTCACAGTTGGAAGCATCTAATGTCCACATTGGTGACCATCGAATATCCATTGAAACCTATGACAGGTCTGGGTCCTATCACCAAGCTAGCCATGATGGAGAATCAGGGCATTTGATGTCTGATCCATCTGGCGGTCAGGCACAGGTAATAATATATAAATCAAGGATGTATTTGCTATCTTCTGTGCGTCAGCGCTTACACAATATGCTTTGGAACTCTACAGCGTTCTAAGATGAAAGAATTAGCTAAGCAACGTACTAAGCAGCTGCAAGAGGAAGAGGAGGAGCGCTTAAGGAAGCAAAACGCTAAAGCACTTGCAAAGCTAGATGAGCTTAACAAGCGTGCACAAGTAGTGGAAGGATCAAATAGGAAAGAGAACGCTACAAGTTCTGTCCTCCAGAGTAAGACACAGGAATCGCTAGCTTCTGAATCAGCAAATTTGGCTTGCGAATCTGGGGCATCCATGATGTGTGGCACCAATAGTCAGATAAGTGTGAATAGCACTAACAAAGTTGGAACTTCACCAACCTTGTCCGTTGAGCTGTCGTTAGAAAGACTAAATGCCGGGAAAGAATCTGTTCCTAATCAATCAGAGACCTTGCACCCAGCTGTTAATAGTGCTGAAGCTACTAGTTCCATGCAGGTTCAAAAGAATATTGCTACAAAGCAGAGGCGAGTGGGCTATAAACAAAAGCAGAATCTTCCGTCCAATGAAAAGCTTAATTCTGTCACCCCAGCTGCCCCAAAAGTTGAGAATGGCACAGTGATTGATGTTACTGTGTCTCCTGGGATTGTAACAAATGAAGCCTATTCTGCTGTTGGCTCGACTGTTGTGGCTGAGTCTTCTGTAAACCAGAAAAAGAAGAATAATAAGAATGGAAAGAACAAACACAAAGTTGACGAGAGTTCATCTGCTGTGGCATCATTACCATTGGCAACTGCAAAGGAAGCCGATCTATCTAGAAGTTCCATGGAAAATGATCAGCCCAAGGCTTCTAATCTTGAGTTAAATCAGGACTCAGTTCAGCCTAGTTCCTTGTCTAAAGATCCAAAGCAGCATTTAGAGCAGCCCAGAAATTCATTAAATGAAGAATCCCATGGTAGGGTGAGCAGCCAATGGAAATCTCAGAATTCTCGAAGGATGCCAAGAAACATGCAGGCTAACAGACCAGCAGATAAGTCCCATGGGAATGATGCTGTGATGTGGGCACCAGTTAAACCACAAAATAAGGTGGAGATTGCTGGCGAATCAGTTGACAAAAATAAATTTGAGACAGTTAACTCTATAAAGGGTGATCAGCAAGTGCATAATAATTTGAAAAGTAAGAGGGCTGAAATGGAGAGATATGTTCCGAAACCTGCTGCAAAAGAAATAGCTCAGCAAGGAAATGTACAGCAGGTGGCTTCATCAATCAATGAGGGCCGTACAGATGAGCTTGTTGGAAGAGTTGGTTCTGCTTCTCAAGGTCCTCAAATTTCTCAAAATGCCAGTTCACCTATTGTAAAAGTGGCTAGTGGAATGGAATCCAAGAATGGAGATGGCAGGCAAACTAAGCAGGGAAAAACTCATGGATCATGGCGGCAACGGGCCTCAACACAATCTACCATTGTGCATGATGCAGAAGAGGGACTGCATTCTGGTCCAAACAATGGTCAAAATCTCCAAAGATCAAGTGGACGTGAACAGGCTCAAAAGTCTGACTTGAGCTTAGTGGAAGGCCAAACCAAGCATGTTAATGACTCCATTGATCCTGATGGGACATACCACCTCAACAATCAGGATCCAGCTAGTCAGCTTTTTGCTCCTGCTGTTAAAGAGCAAGCAGTAGCAGGCAGAGGGAGGCGGGGACCTTCCAGAGGACACAAGGGCATGGGGATGAACTACGACATTGATCACAAGAAACCTGATCATGAAGCTGAGAAAATTGAATCGCAAATCTCATCATCTGAGCATGGTCAACCAGATGTTGGTGCTGCTTTTAAGGAAAATCGAAGTGTTGGAGAACGTTTGACAGCTCACTGGCAGCCTAAATCCCAGGCTTCTGGTAGTCAGCAGGGTAGCAGACCCAATTATCACAATGTTGGTTCAGAGGCAAGTCAGGCTATTAAAAAGGATTCCCCTCACGGGAGTTTATCTCATCCAGGAGGCCCCAACAAGGAGACCAACACGCATGCTGCCCGACCTCACCATGATCAAGCAGTCTTACAGAAGGGCAAGGCTGGGGAAGCTACAACTATAGGGAACCAAGAAGCCAAAAGAGAGAGAAGAAATGCTCCACCAAAGGGTCGTTCCCATTCCCCAAGTCAGGTAATTGGGAGCTCAGTAGAGGCCCCTCCAACAAATATGGATTTCAGACCTGAGCAGCACTCATCACCTGGGTTTCGCAGAAATGGAAACCAAAATATTTTTGGAAGGGGACATGAATCTAGAGGAGATTGGAAATCATCTGGGCAAGACAACAGACATTATAACCAACCCCGGGAAAGGCAAGGGCATAACTTGCAATATGAGTACCACCCTGTAGGGCCGCATGATAATAGCAAATCAGACAACTTGGAAAGGCCTAAAGACAGCCATCACAATCGAGGAAGATATAGGGAGAGAGGTCAAATGCACTCTAGACGAGGTGGGGGGAATTTTTATGGACGTCAGGGTGGTTCTTATGATTAAGTGCTGTTAATTAGTGGAGAGGTACTATATGATGGTCTGTTTTCCATCAGGAGCCAAACCTCCGTTAGCTGTGCTCAGATGGTCAGCCATTTTCAGGTATATGTAGCTTAGGTTTCAGGTGCAATTGAATTGTTAATCTACATGAATATTCTTCTGATGGTCGGTGTATGCATTGAGCAGGGCTGATGGCAATGATGATGGTGCCCTCAAATTTTGGGGTAAGGGGAGAGAAGGGTTGGCTGCTAGTGCCCTGTGTAGTTGGTTGTTATTTTCCGCTGTATCTGATTGGAAATATTAATTTCATGGCATTTTGTTTTTGTTTTTATGGAATCCTTGACAATTCAAAGTTTCAACGAGCCTAATTTCTAGTAACCACAACGCGCTTGCTTTTGGTGCTGGAGAAGTTTCACAGGTCTTATTTTTGTTGACCCCCTGCACACGTTCATATGACCCATTTTTGCTGGACATATGTACCGACGTACAGTATTTTTATGTGGTCTGGTACTGATGTAGGACGAGTATACCTGTGACTATAAATCTGCTTTTTTGGCTGTTGGTAGATAATACTTTCTTTTAGTAATGATAAAATAAAATTGTAATTTGCGCTTCCACAGTGCGTCAAAGTTGGGTTTTTTCAGGTTCTTTGTTTTGTTAACCAGCAAGGTTGAAATCCATTTTCTTGTTATGGTGTTCCTTCATCAGTGGGTCTAATGACCTGGAAAATTATTATCATGTTTGGAAAGAGTTAACAGTTGTTGGCATGGTTTGTTGCCAGATGCTCCTATCCTTGTGACTCTCGTTAGCGGTAATTGAGGGGTGCTTAGATGAAAACCAAATCATAGTTTTAAAAGTGTTTTTATAATTTACGAAGTAAATATGTGAAGGAGTTTGTATGTTTATGCGGAAAAGTACTTTTAAGAAGCATTTTTAAAGGTTGTCAAACATTTCTCGAGTCTTTTATCATTATAACATACACCGACTGAAAAATTGAACTATAAAGTCAACGAACATTGATTTTTATTGAACTACGAAGTCAACGAACATCGATTTTTATTAAACATTACCTCTCTAGTTTGGAGTCTAGCTCTTCGAACTTGGCTTAGTAGTTGTTTGATCAATTTTAACAAGTATAATTAGTGTAACTCTTGTGTGTTGTAAACAAAAATTTGAAAAATAAATTATATCATTCATGATTGAAAAATAATAAGTTTGTTATATTTTTAATTTTGCATTTAGACAATATATGAGCAAGATGTCCCATGAAAAAGGTTTTGCGTGGAAGAGCGGTAATAATTAAAGAACAAGAAAATAAATAATCTTTTCTCACTTTGGCCTACTGAAAAACATGTATGAGAAATTACAATTCCTCACGTAAGTTAAATTTTTTGTTTAGAAATTTGCATTTCAAACTTTAAATTTTTAATAATATACTGAACAACAAATTAGATTATGGGTTTTATATTTCACGTGAAATTTAATTCAACAATGAACTGTTCGCGACAGAAGAATAATGTGATTCTATAAATTTTATTTTACGTATATATATTGATTTTTTATTTTGTTATTTACTTTTTTTTTTTAAAAAAAAAAGGAAATTGCACAACCGGTGCCCGGTGCCAATGGGGCCTTTTATTAAGGCTTTAGCTTTTGATTTGCCTTTTTCATTTTCTCCGTCAGAGATCAGAACCGCCTCCGTTCATCTTACCCGCTGTTTTTGTGGCACCCTCCACCATCACCTCCTTGGTGACACAGGTTCTTAAGAAACCCTACCATTTGCAACCAGAACTTCCGTCCCCCTTAATTATACCTATTACCTTCGTTCTCAATCTTTCTATTTATCTCCTTGCAGCAGGGTCGTCGGCAAAATGATTGTTAAATTCAGAAACGGCTATATATTGAGAAGGTTTTGACGCGACCTGTTCATTAATTCGAGTACAAAGGTCTGTTAATTCAGCTGTATTTGTGCTTGTGTGTGTTGTTTTCCTTTTTTTAGTTTGATTATGCTCTATTTTGAATGCGCTGTGTTTCGTAAACCTTGTCTTGTGCCGCGAAAATCAGCCAACAGGAGGAGGAAGCGATTTTGTTTTTTTGTTTTTTTGTTTTGGCTTGCCGAACAAAAAATTCATTCTTTGTTTATCATTCGCTTGAACCGGGGAAATTCTAATCTATTCCACTTGAATAATTGGGGATTTAGCTTTTTTCCTCTGGTTCCTCAAACTTCCAAATAACTTAGATATTCCTTTCTACTTCTAACCTCTTCCCCTTGAATTATTGGCGCCTTCGCTTTTGACCTCTGGTTCTTCAAACTTCCGAGTAACTTGGATGTTTCCATTTCCCAGATATGAGTAAAATTCTATTATGTTCAAGTATTGTTCGGCGAGGTTACATTCTTGAATTTTTGTGTCCGGTGTCTGGTCACTTACCTCTTTTACTTGGTGTTCGTTGAATAGGTCCTTGAGTAGATAATTTTGTGGATAAATACGAGAAATGGCTCTAGTAGCACTTCAACCACAGGTACTTGTGTTTTTTTAACTCTATTATCACCGGGAATCTCTAATTGTAGTATACTTACATCCAGTTTAGCTTTTCCGGTTACAATTAAATTTTATGCCTACTGCGAGTGCAATCAGGACTTATGATGTGAACCTTATATGTGATTTTCCCCCTTGTGCACAGGGTGTCTATTTGACATCTTCGTCAAGGCGTTTTATACTTAGCAAAAGAATGCAGTTGAAGCGGTGTTTAACAAAGCATCACATGGTTGGACGAACTGACTGGCATTGCCTGTTAAAGCGGAATATTTGTTCAAGGTGGAAATATGTTTGTTTGTCTGTCTTGAGATTTAAATATATTTTCTGTAAATCACAGTTTCCTGTCCTGAGAGATGTCCAAAACTTAAAATTGCATGGCCCTGGTTTTATTTTATAATTCTACATTTGCCTGTCTTGACAATCAAAAGATGCTTCAACCACTAGGAGAACTATTTTGACGAAAGTATCCATACATCTATGTGATAAACTTATATTAATTTCATTTATATTTTCAACAAAAGTTCACATTGAAATGAAGTTTTAAAACTATATGTTTAATATGTTATACTTTTAACAGAAGAAATTAATACTATTTTGGAGGATATTCTAGTCATATTTTTGCTTCAGCAGTGTGTTTTATATATATTGTTTTGTTATAGATGGGAGGACTGTAACTCGGGAACATCAAGAAACTGATATGGTAATTTGACAAAACTGTCTTGCCAGCATCAAAATGCAACTCAGCTCTAGGATCTTTCTTGGAATAAAATAAAAAAAACTTAAACGTTTTGATGAATCGGATATGATTGATTACTTTTCCATCCTCTATTAGTTTTCTGCTTTCTAGCTTTGTTGCTGTTGATGCTAAACATGCGTGGAATGGATGTGCACAGCACCATTGTTCTGTGTCACCTAAAGGATTTCTTGTTTTCAGTGTAGGATCTCCTCTTATTAGTGGATCCATGCATAAGCCATTCAGAATTGCAGCTTTCAAAGGCAATGCACAAAATGATGAATCAGTAACGAGAGCTAACGGATTGAAGGTTCCTAAGACCTCTGTTGGACTGGAAGAGAGTGGTGATGCCAAATCAGAATCTCCTAAGGTCCACAACGGTCCTCTATCGTATGCTTCTAAACCGAATGAGAGCCTAACAACATCATCAGCTATTCATAGACTTTTCAAGAGATGGCTTACAATGTTGCGCACACAATCATCAACTGAAGAAGCAGAGGAAATTATAGGAGAACCACCTCCTGGTGTTTCACAAGAAACACCACAGGAGCCTCAAAGCCAGGGAAGAGGTGAAGTTTTGAAGGCAGCATGGTTTCATTTTGCAGCCCTTGATGCAACAATTAAAGTTCCTTTCCTAATATTGTAAGTATGAAGATTTTGCCTTTCTGCATATTATTCTATCTGCTTCTCCCACATCAATTAAGTGCACTAAATTTGGGAAATGGGAAAGTAAAATGTTTGCGCATGCCTAATATGTATGTTTCGTTTCTTGCAGATCTTCAAATTCTCTTTTCTTTCGCCATTCAAATGCTTAATTTTATCTCAATTGAACATAAGTCTTGAGACAAAGTTTATGTTATTAGGCTTCATGAGGAAAAAGGAAGAAAGAAAAGGGAAAATGACATGCTTGGTTAATATATTTTATCAATAACACGTATTATTTTTTGGCAGCACAATCTTTTATACTGTCAATCTTATAGACTAATACATAGATGGCAGCATAATCTTTTATGCTGTCAATCATATAGACTAGTACATCGACTTTACATTGGTTAAGTTTTTAATCATAACAAGTCTAAGATTTCTGTGGAGTTACTTGTCAGCAACTAAGGGAGTAGTTTTCCCTTGTTTGTTTTATGGGGACACCTGGTAAATTTTCATGACTTAATTTGAGGGGAGCCTTTATTTCAACATGTCCAGGACGTTCAAATGGACATAATTATGGTCAACAACTTACTGTTGATTTTTTGTAAAAATAAAAGTTATATCTCCTCCCTTAAGAAGAAAGTTTGAAGCTTGTAAGTATTAATGTGCTATCCACCTTTTTTCCCCAAACAATACCAACAACATTGACTGCTGGAGAATTCTTAAGTCTTTTATGTGTCTTCTCATTTATCTTTTACCTGCAGTGTTCCTTTCTACCTGGCCGTTAATGTCACATATGGTGCTGGAGTTTCGAGGGAATTAACTCCTTTGTGGGTTTTGGGCCCCCTCATTGTGGCCGTCTACATCACGATATTTCGGAAATTGTGGACACTTTATGTCTTCAGCTTCAAGCAGACTATCAAAGTACTCAAGGGCATGCCCTCTTTCTGCGTTCTGGCTTTTAGCTATGTCTTTAGTGGAAAGCTAAAAGAAGACATTGGAGCTCTTATTTTGCAGCCTATAATGGGCCTTAAAAATAAAGATTACAAAGAGCTAAGGAGGAGAAAGTTTAAAGAATTGGAAGAATGGTTAGTGGAGAAGTACCTCGATTTCGTGGAGTCAATTTGGCCCTATTATTGTCGGACTATCAGATTTTTAAAGAGGGCAAATCTCATTTGAATTTGAAAAATTTTCTTGAGGGTAGTCCTAGGAAAGGTAAGAAAGAGGTGGAAGGAGATGATCTGATATTGTGTCGAAAGAATTTTTGAAGAGAGCTGGCCAATCCCATTTTGTTTTTGGGTCTTGGTGTTTGATCGAGTTAATGATCAATGGTAAATTCCTGATTTGTGTCATCTTCCCAGCGTTGTCATTTTATTCTTAGACGAGGTTGTATCGATCATTGAATTGCAGCATATGTAGCGCCATGATATTGATTTCCTTCCGTGTCATTGGCGTGGATTGCCTCCAACGTTGTTGACAACTGAAGGACCCAAGGTGATTTCCCATTTTGGAAACATTAATCAAGGTCCGATTTGTTTGTAGTATAGTAACAGTAAACCAATTCAGTAATAGATTATGATGTTTAACTTTGTTTTACTTTCGTAGAGTGAACTAGGAAGATGGTTAGGAAGAAGCCGGTGTGAATTATATATCTTTGATGCTTGCAGTACTGATTCATCACACGCTTTGCCCATGTCTAATGATCATTCACATTCTAATTCTAATTCCCACGAAGATTGGTGCCTTATCATAAGGCTCGTGGAAAATCGAGTGACGTCGTTATTCAAATAAGGATTTCGCCTATTCTTCTAAACGTATAAGCGTGTCAAGAGGGTCAGCAAGATTGGAAAAACATGACATTAAACAGAAGAAAGGGGTCTTAACAAGTTTGTCAAGAAAAAAAATCAGAAAAATTAATAACTGAGCAAATTTAAATTTGAACGTATGCACCTATATCTGTGAAATGAAATTTTATGAGAAGTTATACTTTTTAATCATGAATAGTATACAACATTTCGATGTTTTCATGCAAGGCAGAAATCACTGCTCAGTTAATCAATGGGATATACAGAAAATTAGAAATCGTAATTATGAATAAACCACAAAATTATTAAATTGATGTATATATAATTAGTAAATCAGTATATGCAATAAAATGTATAATATATCACTCATATATTATATATACTTAATTTTTTTCACTTTATGTGATTTATATATTGAAATTTAAAATGGCATTTTGTCATATTGATATTGATGAGTGCTGACTTTAGATGACGGAGAAAATAAGAATTACCCCTGGCGGATAGGGAGCGAGGGGAGATTCATGGACGAGGTAGAACAGTGCGAACCGCGAAGGCTTCGTCTCCGCACGACCCACAAAATATTAAAAATAGCACACGACCTCGTGAGCAACTGAGCTTGCGCAGTGAAAAATTCTCAATGCTTCTTCAAACCTTCACCGCAGCTTCTCCCAGTTGCCCCTCTTGACCCCTGTTTTCGTTTCTTTGTGAAGAAATTTACACTTGTCTATTTCATAATTACTCCTCAAACGAATCAATTGCTTCTGCGAGAGGGAATTTTTGTATATGGATTGGTTGATTAATTTGAGTCAGTGCTAGTCTTTGATGCTGTTCTTGCTTCAGATATGGCTTCTAAGTCTCCGTCATTTTCCTGTCTAGCAGCTTCTCCGTCTTCTCCTTTCCAACGCCGGAGAACTGCCCAGGTACTTCAAACTATTGTTTGGTTATTCGCAAGTTACATCCTTTTTACCTTCCTGAGAAAATTAATGGTCTTTACCCGTTTGGTTACTCACAAGTTACATCCTTTTTACCTTCCTGAGGAAATTAGTGGTCTTTACACGAGCTTTCCTACATTGCAATTTGCTCGTGGTTGGTAAATTTATTTTCCCGTGCTGCTTTTGTTTCGCTGCAAGTTGAGGAAAATATGTAATCAAGCATCAAAGGGAATAATGTAGTGTGACCTAGTTTTGTTTGTCTGTCGTTGGGATAATATGACTTCTCACGTGGGTACGTTGATGCTGAAAAAGGTTTATCTAAGTTCAAGCCGAATAAATACAGTATAAATAAAAAAAGGTTTATTTTTTCCTAGTCCTCTGGCATTTTGGAAATAAATACTCAAATCAATTGACGCTGAAATCTTCGCCCTGTCTTTTGGCCCCATTGAAGGTTATCTGAACAATTATACCATCAATATAATGTTGGGAAGAAGAAGGAAAGAAAACTTGGGAGAAATCACAGACTGTAAATCCCAATAAACGTTATTTAAATAATGAAAACTTATCCTTCAGTGCCACTGGGGAAACAAAACTAAGGAGGAACAGCTGACTGCACATTTATTAATTTCGTCTCCCAGGATTTAAACTGTAACAGCGTATACCCACTATTTTATCTCCACACATCGTATAAAGAGTGCATATCAAATGAGGAACCCCCTTTTTTTTTTTTTTTTTTTGCGTTTGCTTCGCTGCACTGGTAGTTTTGAAGTTAACAAAATGGACATCAGCTAAATGGACATCAGCTTGTAGAATTTCATAATTATTAATACTCATTGTCAATGGACTCTTTGAACTATCGCGAGAAAAAAAAAAAAAAGGATGTTTTAGAACTTCAGAACTCAGAAAGCGTACCAAACATGCAAAAGTAGAGTCGAATTTTCAGTATAGTATGCAAACCATGACTTGGTTATGAATCTTTCTACAAAGTGAAGATAGGTATATCTCTACTAAATCTTTCTTTTTTTCTTTTTCGAAGGTTGAGCTGATCTCGAGAGATCTCTAGATGATTAATTCACCAATGAAGCAATTTATGTGGCTTGCTATTTCAGTTTACTCTCCCTAGCATACAAGCTATCTTTTTCACTTACATGACTTAGTTTTCTTTAATTTTCAGCTGAGGTTATCACAAAGGTTGTTCAACAGCCAGCAAAATAGTGCGCAGCAGTTAATATGCACTAGAGGTAGCTTGATTAATTATTGGGCATCTCATACAATTTTAATCCCTTTTCAATTCATCCCCTGGATGTAGCAAGCTTGATCTAACTAGTTCCCACTTAGTTTCTTGATATTGCTGTGCAAATTTAAAAATATTTGATATATTTTCTTGTGGAAATATCCTCCATTAACATTCTTTTGCTTCTGCATTATTTTTTTGGACAGACAAGTCAAATCAGTTAATACATGGAATGAGGAAGATAAATGGAAGGATCCAGAAGCAGCGACATCGTGTTTTTGTTGCCTCTGAGGATCAGTCACAGCATAATGAGCTCAAAACAGATGATTTCGTGCCAGAAAACCATGATATGAACTCTGAAGAAATCTCAATTGATAGCAATTCTTCTTTCTATTCATCAAGTGGTGACGGAAAGCTTGGTCTGATATCATTTTATAATCGTCCTTATAGGAAAGATAGTGAGATGCTTCAGTTGAATGGAGAGAGGGATCAAAACAGCATACTGTGGTTTATGGGCCCCGCAGTTCTTGTTGCTTCCTTCATTTTTCCTTCACTCTATTTACGTAGAATTCTTTCTGTCATCTTTGAGGACTCTTTGTTGACTGGTGAGTAATTATTCTCTGAAAGAAAGACTGTCTCTTGGCTTTTCCCTTTGAGTGTTGTCATTGATTGATTAGTCTGCAGTGTGTACAGTTCACTATTTTTGTGAAGTGTGTCGGCTTGCATCTGGATGTGGTTCATTGTGTCATCTCCCTGAATCAATAGGATAAATGGACCGCCTGATAAAAATATCGATGTTTGGTGCATTTAGCGACTAGTGGGGGATAATGTGAGGGAAAACATTCTGGATATCCATTACTTTGGATATGATTTTGATTGGGTGATTGGAATTATTTGTTTTTGGACATAATGGTGGAACAGTTATTGGATGAATGAACCAAAGATGGAACGTAATGGGTGATGAAAATAATCTTGATGTTGTCTCAACATGGAGTGACCACAAAAGAGAGTTTGTAGTTAGTGTAACTCGTGACTTACCTATCCAGGAAACTTGTCGAATGGTCAATTACTTGATTTAAATCTTTGTCTCTTCTTGTCTCTGAAACCTGCTTCCTTATCTGAACTCTGAACTGTTCTTTGCCTCCAGATTTCCTCATATTATTCTTCACAGAGGCAATATTCTATTGTGGTGTTGCGGTATTTCTTTTTCTACTAGACCGTTTAAGGAGGCCAGTGCTAGATGTTGCTGCAAATAATAACGATGCTCCTACTCCTCAACTGGGACAAAGGATCTCTTCTGTTGCTATTCTAGTACTTAGTCTTATAATTCCAATGGTCACTATGGGTTTGGTCTGGCCATGGACGGGCCCTGCGGCTTCTGCAACTCTTGCTCCATACCTGGTTGGTATAGTTGTACAGTTTGCATTTGAGCAATATGCTCGATATCGGAAGTCCCCTTCATGGCCCGCAATACCCTTTATCTTTCAGGTAAGGGCGACACAAAATCCCTTCTGACTTCATCCACTTTTGAAATTGGATTTACTGAAAAAGGGGAGAAAACACTCCTTTTTGCACACTTTTACCTAATTTAAACTATAAATCATCATGAAGATTCAGTTTGTCTCGTAAGTTCAATTTTGGGAAAATTCTTATCAGATCCCCACCAAGTATCACCACTCCAAGATGATGCTTGGAGAAATTGCTCTTTCATTAATTACCTATGAAGTGTTAAATATTCAAATATTCCTTCGTGTAACCTCATTATTAACGAACTGATGTAATTTTGCTATCAACAGGTTTATAGACTGCACCAACTAAATAGAGCAGCCCAATTGGTGACAGCTCTGTCATTTACAGTTAGAGGAGCTGAAATGACCTCACATAACCTTGCTATAAATAGCTCTTTGGGTACTCTTTTAAACGTCCTACAGTTCCTCGGCGTGATTTGTATTTGGTCACTTTCAAGTTGCCTTATGAGGTTTCTACCTTCTGTTTCTGCAACAACGCAATGACGCCCAGACTTCCGTGTAAGATATTATCACCCTAGCCAAAGCACGCCCCAGTTCGTCTACGTGCAGATTTTAATCATCATCCTTTGTATATTTCAAGGATATTAGTAAAAAAATATTCTTTTGAGCTTTCTGTTTAACTGCTTAAATTTTTGAAATGGGATAATCTTTTTTTACGTGGTAATTATTGTTTTTTTGGCACTCTAGTTGAATTACATGAGAGCATGAGTGAGTTCTCCGGTGAGAATGTGGTCATGACATTTAAAATTATCCATGGCATCTCTTGTAGAAACAAAACCTCCTCGTCTATGAAGTCTTTCTCTGATTGCTCTTGGTTGATTGGTTCCTTGTTTGAATAATTGTCTCTTAAAAAAAAAAAAATACTATTGGGATTAGGCTGCCTGATTCTACTCATTTCTTTCCGATCTTTATCCATCCCTGACACCTCATATTGTTAGGCTTTTCAGTTCTTTTATGGAATTCTGGTCCCTGTTACGCTGTTCTTAATAGTTAAAAAAGGCTTAAACCACTAGTCTATTACCTAAACTCCAATATAATATTCCCTCAAGGCACAACCTAAGTCAAGATCAATACAAAAAAATGGGCCAAGTCATACAAATTAAACAAATGAGTCGCATGATAATGGAAAAGTCAACAATTAGCCAATAAATGCCAAACGATTCATTGATCAAAACGAAACTTCATTTCTTTTCCTGCTTTCAATCTACTGTCTTTTTGCTGTTGATGATGTCTACTTAATTAATTATTTACTCTCCAATGGAAACTATCAACTAAATAACTAAATTTATAATACAGGATTTTATGTGCAGCCAACATGAACCACTACACTAACCTGAGAACGGGGCAACTCAAATTGATTCTTTTATGACTCGAAGGAATTATAATGATATTTTTTGGACCATCTTTAATCTTTTCTTATACGATAAGAAACACCTTCTTGTTGTATTATAATGGTTTTATTGCAATGGTCCTCAACGCTACGTACCTTCTCCTTTGGCTCTATCTCTTGCCTCGCATTTTTGTATTAACGGGTTGTTAATCTTCCTCTGACACTATTCCTTCATTTCGTGAGGAAGTTAATTTTAATCGGATTAGGTGACAATGAAAACAATGTTGCACAAAAAAGAACCTTTGTCATTATTTTTTAATAAAAATATATGTTAGCCATGCATTATCGAGTTTTAAATATACCTCAATCTGCTTAAATTTTAAAAAAGAAAAAGAAAACTTTTCCTTATATTAATAGTGATTATGCAGAACGAAGAGAGACTCAATATTAGTTAAGTAAGATGAATGGGAAAAAAATAACAAGACTAATTCAATTGAACTTAACGATACTTAAATTTTAATCAGTGGTACTATCATATTAGATATTAGATAAGATGCTAGAAAAACAAAACTCCCCCCCCCCCCCCCTCATATTGGATAGACAATTTACAAAATCTGACATCATGCAGATTCAAATTTGGGCTTGCGTGTTCAATTGGGTTAGACAACCAATGAAAAAAGTGTATAACAAGGTGGGAAGGTAGTGGAAGAGGCAATTTGAAGTGCTCTAGAGACAATGGTGATGCTAAGTTTTTTCTTCCATATTGACGCAGAAACCAAAACCCTGTGAGTGACCACATTCTTATGTAGTGGTATGGATCACAGAGGCGTGAACAAAAGCATTTTGGGTAACATCTCAAGGGGAAAAAGGCATGGTGAGCACTTGGGAGTAGGTATCCAAAAAAAAAGAGGATATGAGTATGTAACTAGTGGTCCACGTTGATATGTACTAAGGCTAACAATTTTTTTTTGAAAAATTATTTATCTCTATTTCTTAACAAATTCTTTCAAATATGAATTTAGCACATAGTTATATATTTTTTCTTTGTTTCTAAATCCAGGGATATGGAAGATGCAATGATATCTTTTTGAAGTGATTAGCCAAATCCAGCGACATGGACAAACCTTACTGGATATTCACCCATATTCATTGCTTGTGCTTGAATTCTCGGAAACTAATAAGCAAATCTACAGTGGAGGGTTCTATCACAGAGCTATCACTGAAAGCTACTGGTGACTTCTGAACATAAAAGAAAATGAGATGAGGGGCTTTTGTCTTCTTGTGTTTGAGCTTTATGTTAGATGAGGAATCTTACGCTTACTAGTCTTTGAAATGAATCCAAATTATTCTCTTCGCCTTCTTCGATTTTATTGGACCTCATCAGCCTGATTCAACTTAGTTTGCATGTATAATATACCAAACCTCACATGTTTTTGGCTCTATTATATGGACTTGTAACATGCTTGTTGAATATGTTCTATTTATGTGGTTGTTTTCTTCTCATTCTTAATATGGAACTAGGTGGTTTAGGTTGACAAAAAAGCTGATGCCTTTATTCTCTACTCAGCTTAATCATTACAGAAAACATAAGCTTGATCAGAAGATAAATCTTATTGGGCAAGAAATATTTTGATGGTTGGGTCAAGAACTAATGTGAGATCTCTATATATATTTACAGCGATATTGTAATATGACAGAACTTGAAGTGCTTGAGTATGGTTTAAAATGTTGTTGGTCATAAAAAAGGGATCATTTGAGCTGTTGAAAAAAAAAAAAAGAAAGAAAGAAAGGAAAATAAAGTTTTAAGTGTGAAATTATGTTCGTTTAATTTCCAATGCATCATGATGAATTTTCATTCGGTTTCTAAGATATCATAATGCAAGCCTGACATCTTAGGATGTAAATTTCGTTTTCCCGGGGACAGCTTGAAGAATCTTAGCACGCCAAGCAGACAGTAAGGGCTTAATGGGTGTACGTTTGTATTGCTTGGGGATCTTAAATCTTAATATTCGCGTGGCATTGATGGGATTGTACCGATTTATTTGACAATATTCGAGGTTGAATTGCCCAAAACTCTAGTAAAGTCAAATCATACTTGAATTTTCCCCTTATAATTCTAGTGACTTCCACCAAAACCTCTTTTTAACATACTATGAATTGGTCCAGTAATTGATTGTATCTTGTATGAACAACATTTTAAGATCAACAACAACAACCGACTACAGAGTGTCCCACTCGTCACACCTTCTATCTTCACCTGCTTCTTGTTCTATAATTCTCTCAACCACCACCCATCTAATTATTTCATCCCCACAATTTACTAAAAAAGACCGAAAAAGGCTCCAAAAAGTAAAAAAGGGGTGGGTAGAACTTCTTCATTGATAAAATATATATTAAAAATAATCAAAGGGTACTGTTGTTGCTCTGACTGTTCAAATTCAATCTTAATAAACTGTGGTTGATAAAGCTTATTTATATTTATATATATATATATATATATATATAAAATAGCCCTTGACGATATACATGCGTATTTTTGCACGAGTACTGCTGACTTCCTTTTCACAGAGGGCAGGGCTAGCTGCTTCACGAGGAGTACATAAAGTAGGGTCTTACATCCTCATAGCACTTGTTCTGCGTCATCCACTATTTTCCTTTCCTTCATTAACTTTCCATTCCTTGTTCTGTTACTACTTTCCGCCCGTCTTAATAATCTTCTCTTATCTCTTCCTTCTGCATGGAATTGTCCTCTCAAATTATCACCATTCCTAGTTCTTTATCATGAAGCATTTTTTGGTCAGAGATTCTACAATGGGTAGTCTTTGGATATGCCATTTCTTTCTGCTTCTGACCATGCTGAATGCTTCTTTCGTCACAATTCTGGGAGATAATGCCTCAGATTCCTACTGGCTTCTTAAAATGAAGTCACAACTGGTTGACCGATTAGGAGCTCTGAAAGATTGGTCTCCAATGGTTCCTATGTGTAGCTGGTATGGAGTAACATGTTCACATGACCAGTCTCATGTTATAGGCCTGAACTTGTCCGGTTCTGGAATATCAGGTTCCATGTCGATTGAGCTCAGCCACCTCACTTCTCTTCAAACACTTGATTTGTCTTCAAATTCCCTCACCGGCTCTATTCCTTCTGAGATTGGGGTGCTACAGAATCTAAGAATACTTCTACTTTTCTCAAATTATCTGTCTGGCACCATTCCTGCAGAGATAGGTAATTTAGAGAAGTTGGAGGTTCTCAGAATAGGAGACAACATGTTGACAGGTGAAATCACACCAAGTATAGGTAACTTGAAGGAGTTGAAAGAGTTGGGTTTAGCTTTCTGCTACTTTAATGGAAGCATACCCAGTGAGATTGGAAGCTTGAAGAATCTAGTTTCTCTTGATTTGCAGATGAACAGCCTGGGGGGCCACATGCCCAAAGAAATTCAAGGCTGTGAAAACCTACAAAATTTTGCAGCAGCAAACAACTTGCTTGAAGGAGATATACCTTATTCTTTGGGGTCTCTTGTATCATTGCAAATTCTGAATCTAGCCAATAATAGTCTCTCTGGATCCATTCCCTCTAGCTTGAGCCATCTCTCCAAGTTGAAATACCTGAATTTGCTTGGAAACAAACTAAGCGGGGAAGTTCCTTCAGAACTTAACAGTTTGGCTCAGCTTCAGAAGCTAGACTTGTCCAAGAACAATCTTTCTGGACCAATAAACCTCTTTAATACCGAACTAAAGAGTCTCCAAACTCTGGTTCTGTCTGATAATTTTTTGACAGGTAATATTCCAGCCAACTTCTGCTTCAGTGGCTCCAAACTTGAGCAACTTTTCTTAGCTCGGAATAAACTTTCTGGTAAGTTCCCGTTGGAGTTGCTTGATTGCTCCTCACTTCAACAATTGGACCTTTCTGATAACAGCTTTGAAGGTGAACTCCCAACAACCTTAGACAGACTGCAGAACCTTACAGATCTTGCTCTTAACAACAACAGCTTCACGGGATCTCTTCCTCCGGAAATTGGAAACATCAGTACCTTGGAGGGCCTTTTCCTGTTTCACAACATGTTTACAGGAGAAATCCCGGTGGAATTTGGAAGGCTTCAGAGGTTGGAAACCATATACCTTTATGATAACCAGATGTCCGGTCCCATACCAAGAGAGCTAACAAACAGTACAAGCTTAAGGGAAATTGACTTCTTTGGGAACTATTTTTCTGGGCCCATTCCAGAGACCATAGGTAAGCTCAAGGACTTGGTTCTGCTTCATCTGAGGCAGAATGACTTGTGGGGTCCTATACCTCCAAGTATGGGGTACTGCAAAAGTCTTCAGTTATTGGCATTGGCAGATAATAAATTGTCTGGTTCTATACCACCTACATTTAGTTACCTTTCAGAACTTAGAACCATTACCCTTTACAATAACTCTTTTGAAGGACCACTTCCAGAGTCACTCTTTCTTCTCAAAAATCTTAAAATCATAAATTTTTCTCATAACCGGTTCACTGGAACTATCCTTCCTCTCACTGGTTCACATTCTCTGAATGCTTTGGACTTGACTAACAATAGCTTCTCAGGTCCCATCCCTTCAAACTTAGCCATGTCAAGAAATCTCAGCCGTCTAAGACTTGCACATAACCAACTCACAGGAAGCATTCCATCTGAATTTGGTCAGCTCAATGAGCTCAACTTCCTTGATTTGTCTTTTAATAATTTGACAGGAGAGGTGGCACCTCAACTCTCGAACTGTCAAAAGATCCAACACTTTCTACTTAATAATAACAGATTGAGAGGGAAGATGCCTTCTTGGTTGGGAAGTTTGCGAGAACTTGGTGAACTGGATCTCTCATTCAATGTCTTCCATGGAAGCGTACCTTCCGAGCTTGGAAACTGTTCAAAATTGCTGAAGCTTTCTCTCCATCACAACAATCTCTCTGGTGAAATACCACCAGAGATTGGAAATCTCACTTCCCTCAATGTCCTCAACGTGCAAAACAATCATTTCTCAGGCTTGATTCCTTCATCCATTCAGCAGTGCAAGAAGCTATATGAGCTCAGGCTCTCAGAAAACCTCTTTAAAGGTGATATACCAGATGAGCTGGGAGGACTGACGGAACTCCAAGTGATATTGGACTTGAGCAAAAACCTCTTATCTGGGAAAATACCATCATCACTGGGAAACCTCATGAAGCTAGAAAGGCTCAATCTTTCTTTTAATAATCTTCACGGACAGGTTCCTCTTTCTGTTGGAAAACTAACAAGCCTGCACGTGCTGAATATCTCGTATAACCATCTCCAAGGTCAGATTCCTTCAACATTCTCAGAGTTCCCACTAAGCTCCTTCGTGAACAATGACCACTTGTGTGGCCCACCATTGGTATCGTGCTCAGGATCTAAGGGGCAAGGTCAAGTGGAGCTTTCTAATAAAGCAGTGGCTGCAATCATAGTGGCCATTGTCTTTACTTCTACTTTGATATGCTTAGTGTTGCTGTATATTATGGTGAGGATTTGGTGTAACTGGAGGAAAGTTGCGATTTCAAGTGCAGACGGAGGCATGGGTGAGCGAAAGAAAGAGGAGGCTAGATGGATCTATAGTGATAAGAAAACGAGAAATGGAGAGTATTGGAATATGAACACTTTTGGATTTAGTCCTTCACCGGATAAGCAGAGTCCAGGATCAACAGCTTGTGTTTTCAATCTTAAAAATGCAGAAGCAGTGGGAAACTCCTTGGTCTGACAGAAGATTTTCTATTCATTTGTTTGTTATATTTTTCCAGCTCCTTGTCTCTCTACCTCGTATAGCTCTGATGTCCTTTAAGGTTCTATACCGCACTTGTTTGGCTTCTAAATTTGCAGATTGCGAGATCTCAATTGAATGCACAGAAGCAGTCATTCAAAGAGGCAAATGATTGATACTGATTTCAATATTACATGGTTTGGTTAAACATTTTAGTTGGTGATAACTTTTTGAGTTCTGACTTCTGACGTTTAGTTTGAGGAACGGAAGGCCAAAGAGGTCGAATAAAAAAGGATATGATTTTTTTTTTCCAAGCCATACTAAGGATTTGATTTTGAAAAATATAAAATAAAATTGAGGCCAAAAGCAATCTATCTAGATATTGAACAGGCTTAAAGCAAGGCGAGCAAAAAGTCTGACGATAATAATAGACTTAGGGTGTGTTTGGATTAGCGGGGGAGAAGTAATTTTTTTTTCAATCTGATTTTTACAAAAGTCAGATTGAGTAAAAGTCAGATAGGGTAATGTGATGATTGGGTTTTAGAAAAAAGTTAGTTTAAGAAGTTAAACTTGTTTGGATGATAAATGTAAAAGTAAGTTTGGATGTAAAATGACTTAAAAAGACATGAATTCTATTAAATAGCACATATCTAATATTAGATATATATTAGATATGGCGGGAGATGGCGGGCGCACGGCGGGGATATGGCAGCAGACGTCGCGAGGAGTTTAGCTTGTCTTTCAAAATGAGTGCGTGTGCGTCTTTTTTTAATCTTTGAGCTGAAGTGAGAGAAAAAACATACAGGAGGGTCAGTTAGGTAAAAAAATTAACACCCTAATAAAATACTCCAATGGTTTTCTCAACGCAGCTGCGCATTCGGAAAAAAGCATCCAAAATAAGGGTGTGTTTAGAATCACATCTGGACCTTCAAACTGACTTCTCTACTGGCAAAAGGAGCTTTTTTGATTTGGGATGTGTTTGGAATCACATCTGGACCTTCAAACTGACTTCTCTACCCGCAAAAAGAGCTTTTTTGATTTGGGATGCGTTTGGAATCGCATTTTTGCAATCTGACTTCTGTCACTGAAACAGACTTATACAATAAGCTCAAAGAAGCTGCTTTTATCCAATCTGACTTTTGTAAAAGTCAGATTGAAAAAAAAAGTTACTTCTCCACCACTAATCCAAACACACCCTAAGCTTCTCCCAGAAGCCCATTTGTGTCTCACAAGGCAGATAGCCCCATCGCAGATCTAAACATATAAAACCACGGCCAGATTAAAAGTTAGATTGGGACCCACGTTTGGGAGCCCAAACGTGGTCCCAAACGGACCCTTATTTGGACTAAGACGCTCTTTAATAAATGTGGATATGATCACCAGCCGTTATATGATTTGTACTTTGAATTCTTGCATATCATCATGATGCACTCCTTTTTGGTATTGGTTTTCCATTTGGAATTTAGAATTATACACTAACTTGAAGGACTGCCATAGGGTGAAACAAAAATCAAAGGGTTCCGCCACTTAAAAGGACGTTATCCGGAAAGAAAAAAAAATCAAATAATGAGTAAGTTAGTACAGATAGAGTAATTATTAATAATAATAATTTTTACTGAGGCTTTAAATACATGCTTAAGAATCTAAAATTTATAAAACATACAGTAAAACTTTTTCAAAATCAAAATCTTCTCTTACATTAACATATGCAACCACATTCTGCTCTTTTCTCTGTAAATGCATAACGTTATAAATATTAAAGATTCAAATCAATTAAGAACTATAAAATAATTTACACTGTGTTCCAAAGTTATCGTTCATGTGACTTTTTAATCCAACCTTCCCAATATCATAAAGATGTTTTGAATTTATTATTATTGTTCATAAAAATATCCTTAATTATAACTTTTAATTTAAAAATTGCATATCGCGTAATTATTGTGGCGCGGAAAATTTAGATTGGATTGTGGACCTTGGTCTGTGGGACAGTGGGAGATAAAATCAGTGAGCCCAGATAATCTTTATTGGGCTGGATCTTCTACAATTAACGCTATTATTAATTGTTAAATTAAAATTTTGGAGTGTAAAAGAGCTATTTTAAAATGTTAAGAGGCGACTTTGAAATATTTTTTTAAGAAAAATAGCACTACTTCTGATTCTTAATATGAGAACTAGTTTAATTTTTATTTTTTTTTATCATTTTTATTCATTTTTTCAAAATAATCATTATAATAATTACATATGTTGAAGGTTTTATCACACAGTAGTTCTAACTAGTGCACGTAATTAGCAAGGATATTTTAGAGAAGACAACACTTATTTATTATAAATAACTAACTTAACAAATTTTTTTAATTTATTCAAATTAATCAACTAACTCTTATATATTAAAAATCAGATATACTCCTCCGGTCCTAATTATAAGACCCAATTGACTTATTTGAGGAGATTAAGGAAGTAAGTTAAGTTGGTTATTTATAATAAATAAGTGTTGTTATTCCTAAAATATCCTTGCTAATTAAGTATATTGCCTAAAACTATCATTATTAGAAGGATTATCTTGGAAAAAAATGTATAAATATAAAAGAGAAAATGGATTGGGTCTTATAATTAGGACCAAATAAAAAGTCAAATTGGGTCTTATAATAAGGACCGGAGGAGTAGTATTACAGTAAATAAAATGCACAGAATTCTCTTCCAAAAATCTCAAAGCCTGTTACCGTGACAGATTTTGCCATTTTGGGCACCATGAGTAAAATATATGGATGATTATACATACATACATATTTTCTTAAAATGTAGTACGTTTTAATACAATTAATTAAATTGGTTACACAAAATATTTTGTATTTTTGAACTATATTTACCTTTTACTCTCCGCATTTCTAATTTTTTATATCCAAACTCTTACAAAATTATTTTCTTTTTATTTGGTCTCATATTTTCAACCCCATCTTATTGTGCCAAACCAAGCTAGACGAAACATTATAGGCAGACACGTGGATCACTTCATGCGAATTCATCCTGAAATGTCATCGCGCGAAGGAATCACGTATCAGCCCCCAGGAATCTTCATTCTGATGATCTTATAACCTTCTCGTGTTTGATTTTTTTTTTCCCCTTATTTACATAAAGGCAATTTTTTCATGCTTGATTAACTAGGTTTATGTTTTTTTTTCCCCCAATTTTTTGGACAAAGCAAGCTCTGATCTCCAGAGGTTGTTAGAGAGGCTTTACAAATTACAATGGAAAAGATACTGACGGAGAAAAAGACCCATAATAATGTATTAATTCGGACTTAAAGCATAATGTCAATTGTCGTCTAAAAATAAATTCCAGTACTGCTTTCGAAAATTATATAATTCGCAAAATTTTAAAACATAGAATTCCTTGTATTGTCATTTCCAAAAAATGTATTACTATTTACTAACCCTAAGGGCTAAATCGCGTGACTTTGTGGGTACTCGGTAATTTTTTTATGGAAGAAGCATTGTCTAAGTATATTGGAATATACTTGTTCACTTTCCGGGTCATTTTCAGTGGTCGCTGAGCCCAAGTCCCATTTTCCTTTCTTATTTCTGGGGTCCAGTGGCTGAGACCAAAAGGACGCAGCCCTTTTTGCAACGTCGTCGAGCTTCATGGTTAGGTACATAGCCATGAAAGCTCTCGTTGAAGGGAAAGCCAAATCCGCAGAAACAAATTCAGTCGTCAAGAAGAAGGGCACGTTCAAAACCCTAAAAAATAAAACTAGAAGAAGAAAGAGAGAAGAATAAAAGGAGTGTGTGCTTGCCATAGCAAAGAGGCTAATGAATATAAACAATAACCTCTTGAAGTTTTGATAATGAACAAGCAGCTTAAAACACAAGCAAAGATTGTGCTTCAAGACTCAAAAGTCGATCTGTGCAAAATATGGCCGCCATGCCCATCAAGTGTCGCATGCGGATGGAAGTTTTTTGCACCAACCCCAAACCAAACACCAAAACGTACTCAAGAGGTAGAACAAAAGGATTTAAGAACGAAGAAGCAGAGAAAACTACTAAAAATGGAAAGAAAGGGACACGCAGGGAATGGGGAAGAAGATGACATAGAAGGCTATGAAGAAGGAGGGGGCGTTTATAACGATGGCACCGCCTGCCTTCCTAGGGCTTCCACCATCGGGCAAACGGGCAGACCGAGCCTTGCTGGCTTTACTGCCCTAAACAATAAAAGAAATCTGCAACTTGGCCAAGTGGCTGATTCTTCTAGATCTTTTATTTTATTTTACTATTTATTTCTTCATTTTTATATTAAAACTATTTACCATATATAGAAGCAAAATGCATGAACGTGGTAGTAGTAGTTCGATGCCTCTTATCTCCTGCTGCGCTTCTGCATCCAACTCCGTATTCCTTCATTTCTTTAACACTGGACGACTAAGGTGATCTTCAAATTGAATGCCTGACACATTTATTTTGCTATGCTTTGGCTTTATGAAAAAAAATAATTACACGCACATTACGTTTATTTTTTTTTACTTAATTTTAGAATATTTGAATATATTCTTCCTATGCATCAGCTTTCTTTTGGGTGACTTGAGCCTTTATGATTTATATGTGATATGACTGAAAGGAAAAAATTATGAATGATATTTTTGTGCTTAACATGAGTATTATGGAGTAGGAAAAGTATTTAGCATATTGAATGCCTGATACATTTATTTTGCTACATATGCATTGACTTTATAAATGGGGAAAATTTTACAATTCAACTTTTCTTTTCTTTTTTTTTTTAAAAAATGAATATAGAAATTATGCATCAATAAAATGAACACGGATGAAACTGTTCGGCGTAATTCCAATATCTTTCACAAGATACTGAAATTTCCATGGACAAACGGAAGTAGTTGATATGATGTATAATTCCAATATCCGTCACAACTACAATTACATAAAGGCTTTCCCATCATTATTTTGCCCCACCGGCTGGTTCCGTAGAAACTCTCAAATCCAACAATGTCTTCCTTCGTTTTGTTAGAAAAATGACAAAACCTTAGTAATTTGTATTTTGGTCAACTCAAATTCTCATCATTTGTAAGAGTAATGACCCACGAAAAAATCAATTTCAATGAACTTTCTAAATTTCAAAAAACAAAAATCCCACGAAAAAATAGACTCTACGCACGAACTACACGTGATACAATATCAAGCTACTTTGAGCAGCACCAGCTACTAAATTGTATGTTGGATGCCAAGCTACATGCAATAGCTTGGAGCTTAAGTTACCATCATCTAAGTCATTACCTCTGCCACAACCTACAAAACACGAAAAGCCCCCAACATCATTCATAGACACTCACCAAAAGAGATAATCAACAGGAAAAACAAATTGAAAAGGGGGGACAAAATCCAACCACCTTGGTCAAACCCACGTTTTATGTTGCCTATTATGGGCGACCTTCTAACCGTCCCACTAGGTAGAAGAGGCATCCTATAGCTGGTCAAAAAAGAAAAAAGTCATTTATTAACCATTGCAAATTAACAAACAAGTCAGTTTGCAGGACGTTACCTGTCAATATTTCCAATTATATCCAGTTTGATGTCTTCCACACTTCCATTCCCGATGGAGAATATCTTCAAGCGGTTACTGAGATCAAGTGGGCAGATACAGAGATTAGGACAGACATGAGCAAGTTAATGATCACGATAACAATCAAAGATTCAAAAAGACACACCCGTAAGAACCAGTTGCAAAACTAAGTCCGTCTCTACTAAAGCAGCAGTCAAATTGATCGAATATGTGGTCCTTATTGAATAACTCGGCTAGCTTCGCATATGCAAGTTACACCGTGTAAAAATAAACCATCCAATGAGATATAATGAGGGAACAAACACTTATATTCATTATTGGAAGAAGCCTCTTACTCTGGGGCGCAGGTGCTCATGAATTCTGAATGTTGCAACTGGACGAGAATCCATGCGCATATCCCAGAGCTAGAGCAAGAAATTAAAGCGTATTGTTAAATGCCTAATGCATTAAAAGGAAGGCATAAGAATACCGCTGAAAAGAAACCAATGCATGTTGAGTTTTTAGAGTTGAGTATTACAATCTGAATAATTTTTGGGCTAAAAGCGGTAATTATCTATCTATATACCCTCTCACTGTAGTTCACTTCAGAGGTTACGAGGACAAGCCTTTTAATTTAACCTTCCAAACTTCAGAAGTGAACCTATATCCGGGAGCCATAAATTCAGAAGGCTTTCTGAATCTAGGAAAAACATCATACATAAAACATGGATTTCAAAGAGAATATGATTCAAGTGAAGTTTGAACAATTTATAGAAGTAGCAGCTGAAATAGACCTTCATACTCAAGTAATCACGACTTATAAGCTGTTGCCCACCAATGCCATCAACCAGAAATTTTACATCAGAGATGCATGCAGCCATTTCCTCAAAAGGGAATTTCAAGCGCAAGAGTGATTGATCAAGAAATCTGTATATAATCGAAGCTGAATGAGAACTGTATCATAATATACAAGGGCATGACTGATCAAAGTAAAGAAACCAATCCCACACTCAGAGGGAAGCAAGCTGCAACATACAATCTGACACTACGGTCACATCTTGCTGCTTGTCTCAAGTCAGATATACGAATAAGACCCTTTGAGCTGCCATATGTTAGTAGGTTGCAGTGTACTGGATGGAATTCAGCTGACGTTATTATCTCTGGGAGCAAAATTTTTACAAATTAGCTGGTTTACAGAAGAAAGGACACAATCCTCTTGTCGTCAGAACATGAAACTTCGTAAGGGAATTATTAGAGAGAGTACAAGATTTGAATACATTCAACTGGTATATTGAGATGAAATCAGGATGCATTGGATACATGAACTAGAATACGCAAGAAACCGAGGATGGCAAAGTTACCAAAATCGTCCTCCATGTTCGACGGCTTCATGTCGATGATATTGAAATTCCGATCACTGACCTCCAGATTCCACAAATTGATTCTAAATTCATCTGCTGAGATAAATGTCTCAGCATCACTGCACAGGGATCAACAAGTCAGGTTATCTCGTTTTCTAATAACTAATAAAATAATAATAGTATGAAAAGGACAGCATAGTTGACGAGCGAACTGTACCTATTATTTGAAATGGAGTTAATATTAAAGCTTTGATCTTGAGCATACACCTTTTGGCATTTTGCATGGAAAGTGGTGCCTGTATCTGCAATCTAATTTCAAAACGTATTGATGAACAATCTCGTATGTGCTAATGAATGTTGCTTTCCCGCTGAAAAACTGATGATAAACAGAGAACTGCTTTATTCCTAAAAGAACCAACCTCTTCATCGGAAACAACGTCTTGACATGGTGGATCCTCCCGAGATAGGTTCTGTGTCCACTCCAAATTACATCCATTAGCAGAAGACAGGGTTTCTTGCCCACTCATGAAACTCTTGTGAGACAACAGAACATTTTCTGAGCTTAAAAATCGAAGATGTCCATGAGGAACTGGTTCTTCAATTTTTTCTGTTTTACGTTCCTTAATCTAATCCAAAGAAACAAAGAGGAAAAGAAAGAAGAGAGGAAAAACGGTTAGAACAACTATATGATGCAGAATTAACTTACAGAGACAATCTGTGCCCGTGATCATGTAACAGTAACTAATAAAAGAGATTATTTAGATTTGTTGGTGCCGGCTTGGTTTGGCTTTTCCTTGCAAAAGCCGGAATGTTCTTTGTCAATCGGTGCCAGTTTGATGCGTTATCAGTTACATAATGCAGAGAGACTTGTGTTAGGGGGAAATGAATCTTCAAAATCAAAATAACAAAACCATCCGTACCGTCCATAATTTAATTGTTTTATTATTTGCTGAGAGAATAAGCAGCAATCCATTCTGTGCAACACACCAACTCACTTTCCTAATCCTCTGTGTGACTCCCACATTATTTAAGTAATCAATCTACACGAGAAGAACAGAAAAAACACGGAAGTCAGTTAGACGCAGAGAGACCGACAAAATGCTTCCCTTACCCCTCCATCGCCTCTTATATACTACTAGAACGTAAAGATGAACATACTTCAGGCTCGTGACTTTGGAATTCTGACTTGTACCGAAATTTAAAACGTTGTGCAGGAGCGGAATCCAGGCCCTCCAAAAGTTTTTGAGGACATAACGATTCCTGATTTAAAGCATAAAAAATGGACAATATGGAGGGGGGAAAAAAGTGGTTCAAATTCAAATGCAATCGAAACAATGGAAAGAAGATATATTGGTTCGAGATTGTAAAAGGAAGATGATACTCACAAACTTTCTATCATCTCTTTCAAATATAACAATACGCCCTCCATGATCTCCAATGGCTAGATAATCACCACCCTTCTCGAACTGGATCGTTGTTATGATATCATCTAAAAGAAAGCCCCAACAGCTAACATAACAAAACCCAAGTGTACATGCGAGGGGAATATAATATAGGTAACAGAAAAGGGCGCAAATTTTCTAGAATCTTGAAAGATTCAAAATGTGAAAAGAAGGGGAAAGAATTTTTATGAAAGAGACGTACCCTCGTTAAGTTCATCGGCGGGGGCACGGTGGCCTAGTATCTGATAGAAGTTCCAGTGGAAAGGAGATGAAGAGGACTGAGGCATGACTGCTGCTGTGTCTGCGTTATATCGTAGGAAGACGATTCTGATAGGTAAAAGCGATAAAAGATTAGTGAATAATGAATTTGAAGCTTCGATTTTGAAAACTGGGGACTTCACAGTCTATTATTTTTCTTCCTATTCGCCCACATGAATCTTAAAGAACCGGAGGTCGATTTCTTTTCCCGCCACAAGAACCGGCGGTTGTTGTTATGATATGCTGAGAGAGATCCTCTCATATTTTCCTTCTTTAACGTTTTAATGTATTTTCATATTATATCATTTTTATGTTGATTAAATATATGAAAATACCACTAACCATCAATAATTAATAATTAAATATAAAATTCATAACAGCTCATATTATCAATAAATTTTAAACTTTCAGTTCAATCCTGAGATTTTAGAAAATGTACAAAAACCATTATTAATAATATTCAGACAGATGCTATCAAAAATAGTATTTTTCAACCCGCGGCTGTAGTCAAGTGATTCTTTTAGGGATTATCAAAATTAGATACATATTTTTATAGTTGATCACATGCCCAAAAATAATATAACAAAGATACGTTAAGAGTACTATAGGATTGTGAGCGAGCTGGGTGGTTTGTGTTATAGCTCGGGAAGAGTCAAGCTGGGTAACACACCACCAACCAAAACAAAACTCATAAAGATAAAACTAAAATATACATTTAGTCATTTAATTTTATAGAGAGTTTTAATTTGATTTCTTAATTTTGAAAAGTATACTTTTAATCCTTTTACCTTAAAATTATTAACAAAAAATGTTAATAAAATATTTTCAAATACTAATATCTTAATTTTAATTTTCAAAATAATCTTGATTATTGGAAAAATTATCATTTAAGTCTAATAATTTTAGGATTAGGAGGTTAAATGTGTACTTTTTAAAGTTAAGGATCCAAATTAAACCTTTGTATAAAATTAAAGAACCAACCATATAATTTAGCCTAAAAATAAATTCATTATCACATTTTAATTTAAAATTTTAAAATAGTGAGTATGTAAATTTTTTCATTTATATATCTCTTTTCCAATCTAATTCTACTCGACGTGGGATTTCTCCCTACTTATTTTTTTTTCCCTTTTTGCCTCAAAGACATGGATTCTAAATAAAATTATATTATACTTCTAACACAAATTATATGATTATTAAATCAATTTTAAAATTAATAAAAACACCTCCTGAGCATTGTACAAAGATATAAGTTCGAATTGTTGCTAAAATCAACAAGAAGATGAGAGCTCATTAAGTATAGTCTAATTAAGCAATCTTGATTTACATTGGAAAAAACTGATTTTGAAAAATAGATTTTCTTAAAAGTTGATCAATCCAATCCATGACTTTATTTTGGACTATAGTTAGGTGGAATTTCTTATATTCATTATGTTAATTTTTTCAATTATATATGGTCATATGTTACATTTTTAAAATATTAATATTTAATTAAAATTTAATTATAAACGCACATGAAAAAAAATACAGGATTATGTGTGATTGGAGAACTTGACATAGGATCCGTTTGAATTAGCGATTGAAAAAATAGCTTATTGTCAATTTGACTTTTGAAAAAATTAGATTGGATAAAAGTTAAATTAGGTGATTTGAATTATATTTGGATTAGATTTTATAAAAATTAGTTTGTGAAAGTAAGTTGTTTGAATTATAATTGAATAAGCACCAAAATGAGTAAGACTTTTATTAAATAATAAAAAATAAAAAATTATCAATTTATATAATAATAATTTTAAATAATTTATAAGCTCCAGCTGATCTCATATATTTTTTTTATTTTTTATCATTTATTATAAGGGCATATTTGAAAATAAAAATATATTTTTAAGAGCATATTTAAAAATAAAAGTATATTTTTAACTTATTTATTACTTTTAATTAATTTTAACTGATTTTTTATTATTTATAAATTAATTATTTGAGGCTTATAATAAAAACTAAAGGAGGTAGTAAATTTCTTAATTTTTTTCTCTTCATGTTTTAAAAATCATAAGTCATAAGTAGCTAATTTTTACTTACAGCTTATTGTAATTTTTTATACAAAAATCAAATTGCTCAACCATCAACCTAAACACAACAAATTTTTCAAGTGTGCTTTTGCTTGGAAAAAAAAAACTCATTGCCCTCCAAATACTGAGCCAAATAGGCTTATAATAGATATAAATAACTTGACTTGAATATATTTTTTTAAATTTTTACCCGCTAAAGCCATGCCCCTCTAGTGCACCAACGCGTCGCATACGGATGCACGTGTTTTTGCAGTTGCGCCGCCATTTTCTTAGAAGTGCTCTTTCTGCTTGCTAACAGAACTCCACTTAACAAAGAAACAACTTTCAAAATAACAAAATCCTTTCTAACATTTGGTTCCGAATACAGATCATATCCGGGATTCCCCCCATTTCAAATGGAATCCCATCGGTCTGTCAAAATTCCAACCCCGAAAAAGCAAGAAGGAAAGGAAATGCAGAATCTACAAATTATGCATGATACAATATCAAGCAACGTTGGGCGGCACAAGCCACTAAATTGGACGTTGGATGCCCAGCTACATGTAACAGCTTGGAGCTTAAGTTACAATCTAAGTGGCCATCTCTGCCACCACCTGCAAAACACAAAAAGCCCTCAACATCATAATAAATAGTGGTGCCAAGGAGTTAGAGAATTAGAAAATAAGATAGACAGAAAAATCCAACCATTTTGACCAAATTCACATGTCAGGTTGCTTATGGACGACCTTCTGATCATCCCATCAGCCTGAAAAGGCTTCCTATAGCACATCCACACACACATACAAGCATATCAGCATTCATCGTACTCTGCAAATTCCATGTGGTGAAATTAATCTCAAAGTCAACATATAGGAGTTTACCTGTCAATAATTCCAATTGTATCCAGTTTGATGTCTTTCACAGTTCCATTGGCGGGGGAGAATATTCTCAAGAGATTACTGAGAAGTTTGCAGATACAGAGATTAGGACAGACACAAGCAAGTTAATCACAGTACATTCAATATAAATTTACAGTTGTTTCAAAAAGACAGACCCATAAGAACCAGTTGCAAAATGAAGTCGATCTCCACTAAAGCAGCAATCAAATCGATCGAATATGAGTTTATTGCTGAATAACTCGGGTAGCTTCATCAAACAAGCGGAGCTGTCAACCATAGGAATACTCACATTTGCTAGTGGCAAGGTGTGAAACATATTGTTACAAGAAATATTCTGAGTGCACAGCTTATTAATATGCATATATATATATGTAAAATAAATTCACTGCAAGAAATCTCTTACTCTAGGGCGCAGGTGCTCATGAATTCTGAATAACGCAACTGGATGATAATCCATGCGCATGTCCCAAAGCTATAACAAGAAATGAAAGCATAATGTTAAATGTCCAACGCGTTATTGAAAGGAAGGCACAGCAATAATGATAAAACCTCTCCGTGTTCAGTTTGTCAGAGTTTTCTATTACAGTTTCAACGATTTTGTAACTAGAAACAATTCCCACATCTATCCTCTCACTATGGTTCCCTTACAGAGGTCAAAAGTCAATTTTTAACCAAATTCTATCTGAGAGCCATTAATTTATAAGACAAGTCCTACTAAATCTTTTGGGTGGGGGGGGGGGATCAGGGGAGGTCAAAAGTCTCATCTATCCTCTCACTATGATTCAAGAATGAAAATTTTACATCACAGCTGTGCTAGGAAGACCTTCATATTCATGTAATCACGACTTATAAGCTGCTGCCCACCAAGGCCATCATCAAGAAATTTTACATCAGAGATGCATGTAGTCATTTCCTCAAAAACTGATTTCCTGCAAAAGAGTGATCCATCCACAAACCTGTATAATCAAGTTGAATGAGAAACATCAGAATAAAGGCCGGACTTATTTAAGGAAATAAACACATAAAGGGAAGTGAGCTGCACTATACATTCTGACACTATGGTCACATCTTGCTGATTGTCGCAAGTCCGATAGACGAATAAAACCGCTTGAGCTGCCATATGCTAGCAGGTTGCAATGTGATGGATGGAATTCAGCTGATGTTATAATCTCTGAATAAAATTTTGACAAATCAGTTGAAGAGACAAACGAGTGGGAAAAAAAAAAAAAAACTCAAACCATGAGGAATGAGCAACACATCCCAATTTGGGCTTACATCTGACATATATGATACACACACACACATGTATATGAAGGTATAGGAAAAACACAAGTGATTAACCTGGCATGGCCTTACTCATCTACCTTGCTTATGGGTTTATCAGAAAATTTAGCTTCGATATGCTGTGAAATTAAAACTCGAAAACATTTCAGAAAGTGTTAGAGCAAATGCAAGACTTGGAAAAAAGTATCAACTTAAAGTACCAAAATATTTGAATATATCCAATTGGAATAGTCAGACAAAATTAAATTACATTGGATTGTGAGAACATGAATGAGTAAACAAGAACTACGATATGCGAGAAACAGAGGACGACAAAGTTACCAGCAAAATGCTCCATGTTCGACGGCTTCATGTTGATGATATTGAAACACTGATCACTGACCTCAAGATTCCATAAATTGATTTTAAAGTCATCTGCCGAGATGAATATCTCACCATCACTGCACAGGGAGCAAGAAGCCAGGTTGTCTCATTTCTAAAGAACTAATGATGATGACAGTGGTAAAACGAAAGCATAACCAGGGCCAAATATAATTTAGGCCTGAGTGCCAGTGCCTGCTCCCTTTTGTTTTATATATATATATATATATGGACTGGCAGGAAAGAGTGTATTGAAAATACATTATGGCATTACCTGTTATTTGAGATGGAGTTAATATTAAAGCTGTGAGCCGGAGCATACACCTTTCGGCATTTTGCATGAAGATTGTTGTCTACACCTACGATCTAATTTCGAAACATTGTGAAGAATCTTGTACTATAATAAATGTTGCTGCCTGGCATAAAACATTGACAAACCCAGAAACTGCTTTAACCCCAAAAGAACCAACCTTGGCATTAATGTTTTGCGATAGCGAATCCTTGCAAGACATGTTCTCCATCCATTCCAAACGACAGCCGTCGGCAGAAGACAGGGTATCTTGTCCACTCAAGAAACTCCTTTCTGACAAATTTTCTGAGCTTAAAAATCGAGAAGGAACCAATTCTTCAGTTTTTCCTGTTTTACATTCCTTAATCTACTTCCAAAGGAAAAAAGAAAGGAAAAGAAAGAAAAAAACAGTTAGTACCATTATATGATGCAGAACCAACTTGCAAAGACTGTATCTGTGATGAAAATCAGCAGTAACTAATAAAAGAGATTATTTAGATTTGTTGACGTGGGCTTCATTTGGCCTTTTCAAAGGTTCCTTCATTAATCAGTGCCATTTTGATAAGTTATCAGTTACGTAATGCAAAGAGTTTTCTGTTAGGGGGAAAATGAGCCTTCACCATTAATCTAATTAACAACCCGCACCTTCCACAATTTAATGATTTTATCATTTGCTGAGAGCATAAACAGTAATCCATTCTGTGTGATGCACCACTTCACTTTCTTAATCCTCGGCGTGATTTTCTCATTCGCCAAGTAATCAATCTACATTAGAGAACGAAAGAAATAACATGGAAATCTGTTAGACAAGAGAGACTGAAGAGATGCTTCTTCACACACACTCGAAAGAACCCTCAACCCAATCTAACTCAGCAGAAATGCTTCTAAGCACATTAAAAAGGACAATCTATGACACTAAAATGGCACCAAAAACATCACAGAATTAGAAACACAAGATGAACATACTTCAGGCTGGTGACTCTGGAATTGTAACTTAAACTGAAATTTGGGATTTCGTGAAGGGGTGCAATCCACCTGCTCCAAAAGTTTTCGAGAATATTGGTGATCTAAAGCCTAAGAAAGTGACAACATGGAAAGAAAATATGCGTCACATTCAATTGAAATCCAAACAATGCAGATACAGTTATTTGAAATTGAAAGAAGATATAGAATACCCACATTCTTCTGATCATCTCTTTCAAATATTACAACACGTCCACCTTGATCTCCAATGGCAACATAATCTCCACGCTTGTCGAACTCAATTGCTGTGATGATATCATCTAAAGAAAATCCCACAACATTTTTACGGAACAAACAGCCAAGTATATGTGAAGAAAAGAGAACCCAAAAGAAAACAAAAGACGTGAATTTTCAAGAAGGACTGAAAGAATCAATTTGAAAGGGAAAAGAAACGAACGAATATGTATGTTCTTAGACAGACCCTGTTCATGGTGATCGGAAGGAGAACGATGGCCTAATATCTGGGAGAAGCTCCACTGAAGAGGAGCAGAGGAGTGAAGCATGACGGTTATGCTATATCGTGACAACGCAAAGCTGACATGCAAAAGCGATATTGAATTTGGAAGTTGGATTGCGAAAAGCGGGAACTTCACTGTATTCAGTATTTATCTTTTCTTCTCCCCCTTCCTCCCAAACTCGAATTCTCAAGCCGGCGATCTTTACGGTTCTTAAATTTTCAGTTTGTTTTAGTGAGTGGAAAGGTAATAATATCATATTCAAAGATTCTCTTTCTCCAAAACGAAACCGAAAGATTACGCATTTTTGAGCATTGTTGGTTTTTTGCGACTTTGTTCTCCTGTTGGCGCTCTTCCTGATATTAGCCGTAGGGAATTTTCCCTCCTTGCTAAAGACATGTCATGAGTTTTGAAAATGGTGCGGAAAAAAAAAAATGGCGGGAATGCGACCAAGTTAAATGATACTCTTTTGGTTCTAAATATAAGACCATTTTTATAATGTAATTAAATGATCTTATATTTAAAATCAGAGGAATACTTTTGTTGGACATACCAAAAGCATTTTAAATTTCTTCTCATTATTTTAATTTTAATTTGTCTAGAAACTCTAGGAAAATTAAATTTCTTTTACACAAATATTTACACATATATCTTTTTTTAATGGATTTTTTTTTGCTAAAGTATAGGTATCCTCCTATTAGAGACAATCTTAATCAAGACACTGTCAAGTACTAAATGTGGGCACCTCTCCCAGCAAGAATTCAAATCTTAGTTCATCACACTGTGAAGGACTAGTTCTTTTTGTTAGATTTAACTCGTGTTGATTTTTTAACGGAATTTAAATTTTGACTTACCAAATTTACTGTAATGGGCCAAAAAGATTTTTCTTCGAAAAAAATTAACACGGACAGATGGGACACGGACGCCGGAAGCGAGCTGTGTTTGGGCCATCTCAGTCAGAAACTATTTAAACGGACCGGGCTTATGAGACTCTACAGAATTGAACTTTAGGGGGGGTACAAAACAACTCTATTGGGCCACACCTTAAACCCGGAGTACTTGTCCATACCCGGTTATATTGGGCCACATCCGGCCCACCCTGAAAAAGGAGAAAAATGTAAAGTCCAAAACGGGCGGGTAAGATGATAATACGAACACACCTTCAAGCAATCAAGCTAGTCTGCGCACCGCACATCCGTATACGGCATATATAATTTTTTTTAAAAAAATCAATATATTAAAATATTAAGAATTGCTGAAACAACAAGCAATCTCGTGCAATTAATTCTGACATTTATGGTTTTCAGTGTAGTCCAAAGCTTACGAAAGTGTTTTGTCATTGCGCAAGCATCGATCCTATAATCAAGTTTTAGTTCCAGACTTTACAGCCGAAGGCAAAGAGAGATAGAATCATACAAAGTAAGCACAGTACACAAGGGTTAAATTTTCACAGTAAACTCATCCCAGCGAAGCAAAACATCTCCTTGCTGAGCCCTACTTTAGAACGTGAAATTGAGATCCTAAAATGCATAAAATAACGGTAACAATTAAGCAGCTCAATGATTGTTTTCTAGTAGATATGAAATGAAGGGTGAAGAATGATTTCTGAATTAGTCCAAAGTCTTAGTGTGGTCCAACCAAACCATTCATCACTTTCCTTCTTCTGTTATCTTATCCTCTCACGCCATTGCATGCTTCATTTGTATGCATTGTCCTGATAGTGATATATTCATCTGGCGAAAATGTTTGATGCCAAGTGCCACCCATCTCTGGTTCCTCTTATGTAATTCAGTGTCTACTTCATTCACACACACACAACTTTAGCTTTCGGTCGTACCATAGTTCTTTATACGTCTTTGTCTTGTTCATTTACGACAAAACACTGGGTGAAGAATTTCATAAATCGAGTGTAAGAATGGGAATGCAGAATTGTGTGATGAGAATAAGACATAAAAGACGCACCCGTTGGGATGGGAGATAACGTTTGTGAGGTTGATTTTCACGCAGTATTTCTATTTTTTGTCTGCACCTGAGTGAGAATTGAAATTTCTTCAGTGTCCGCTGCCCTTCTTGCTTTCCGTTTTGTTTGTTTCTCCTCTTTCTATGTGTGTCTATGTGCATATACAGTGAGAGAATTTAGATCGTTTAAATAAGGGGTATTTAAAATGAGAAAATTAAAGAGGAAAAAATAGATAAAAATTAAATGCACAAGACTCAAGTATGTTTTCATTTATTTTGTCCCAAGTATCCATATCCTAGAATGATGTTCAAATTATTGGCGACAGAAACAGTGAAAGTTATTCTTCCTGTACCTTTTTTTTTTTTTCATCTTCATGATCAATAGCAAAATTACCCGTGAGTTCTCTCTTAACTTATGTGTAAACGTGCTTCTCTTTCTCAATTTAGAACGCCAAGGCCAGGAAAAAGACCATTTTTCCACACTCACTTTCATGCCACTTTATCCTTAACCCAACCATCATCTTCCAAATGTGCAGCAAACTCACTCAAACCATTAAGGCACTTCCATTACTCCATTAATTCTGCAAATTTCCCTCTTTCTCTCTCATACACTCCCCAGTACTGCATAACTCCATGTTCAAACACCATTTACACAATATCTAGAAAATGTTTCTCTCTTGCCCATAAGTTCCAACTGCTTCATGTTTGAAACTTCCATTTGAAGAATACTTCAAGATGGGTGTGCTTAGAATCACGCGCGTCAGTATACTCTGTTGGATGTTTTTACTACTGAGTTCCATATCAAAATGTGGTAGTTCAGAGGTCTTTGTGAAATTCTCGAGGGCTCCCCATGCATTCTCGCACTTGAACTCAGCTACATTTGCTTTTGAAGCTCAGGATTCTGGAGGTGGCAACCCCTGCACAAACTGTTCTTTCACTTGCAAGGTTTGTGCTTTGGTTTGACATCACAATAATTTTCTATCCAGGTTCTTCTGTAATTGTTGGCTTTTATGAAAATTCGAAAGACCTATTCACTCACTCACACACACACGCATGCAAAGACAGATATACACAACCTTCAGGTTTCACATACGCTCTCACTTGGAATTATTATTCCAAGATTTTAGGATCGAAGAATTTTCTGGGTATTCAAAGTATGTTGTGTACGCAGCTTGATGATGGGATCACATCAGTTTGTAAAGCAAGAAGAGTTATCTACTCAAGCTTGAGGGATGGAAATCATAGTTTTGAGGTGTGCGCCAGTGGACCTCAAGGACTTGGCTGTGCTAGCTATAATTGGACTGTCGGTTAAGAAACTCTCCCTTTTATTTTCAGCTAGCTATTTATCAGTTCTCATTTATGAGCATTGGCTTCTATTACTTTCTTGCTGATGTGACACTGATGAAGCCTGTCATAGCTTCGGTAAGGAAAGGGCATATTAGAGTCTTTTGTCTATGTAATCAACTACCATAAATTGGGTACACAAGCATGTTTTAAAAATCACTTGTATAACTAGGGAACAATTAATTTTCCTAATTTTAGATGCCATAACTAACTTTTGGTTCATCCTCTTTACGTAGAAGACCAAATTTATAATGTCATGAATGCCATTAACTAACTTTTGGTTCATCCTCTTTACGAAGAAGACCAGATTTATAATGTCATGAAAATGAGGCAAAGAGGAATGTTACTCCAACTATCTCTGAGTGAATTGATATTCTCTCAGCTTTTTCATTCTTTCGATGCCAATCTAAAACATTTTCTCTCTGTTTTTTTTTTTTTTTTTTTCAGATACAGTTCCCCCAACAGCATATGTTACTGCCTCAACATCTTTCACAAGCGCTTTAAATGTTTCAGTTGATATAACTTTCAGTGAGCCTTGTATAGGTGGAGAAGGCTTCGGGTGTAAATCTGTAAATGCTTGCAATGTAAGTAGGTGACTCTTTGTTTATGTTTTCTCTTCTGTCATATGCCAATTGTGTGATTCTTTTTTTTTTTTTTTTTTTGGTTCAAAAATTGTACGATTCACCTTCACCATGTTGACTGTGCCCTTTCCCTGCCTGTATCCTCCACGTGGAGATTGCCTTACTTCCCTATTTATATGCCCTTCCTAGGTAGTATATACAACCTCAAAGTCATGTCATTCTAGAGCTTGTTTCCAAATTGTATATTCAATCTATATTTTTGGGCCAAGCTAATAAATCAAAAGATTGAAGTGTATAAAATAACGTGATGTGGGCATTTGTAGAAGTAGCATTGTGTAACATAATGCTGGATCAGTTTGTAACAGATTGTTGTTATATCTCTCTGCAGCTTCTGGTCTATGGTGCGGGCCAGGTCATACCATCTTCCTTTACCGTTTTGCAGCCCAACCTGAAGTATTCTCTTCTCATAAATTTGTCATCCGCAGTTCAATATGGACGGGCTATCCTTGTAATGGATAAAAATTTCTGTACTGACATGGCTGGTAACAGCTTTACAAGAACTCCGAATTCTAGTGTTTTTGTGCACTTTGGTGAGTGTTAACATTTTACAGTATCTTGTTGGCTTATAATTTGAATACTTCTTGATATATTTTTCCTGTGATTTTTAATTGATATCCATGCACATGCGTGTATGGGATATCATTAATCTAAAATGAGATATCTTTAGTACCAGGATCTGCACTTTAGAACAACACCAGCTGAGTAAATTTGCAATGTTTTCTTATAAGAGATACCTATTTTTCTGAATGACTAATGTTCAGAAACTTCCCTTCTCTGGTGAAAATTTTCTATAGATAGAAGATGGGACTATGTCAACTTGAGGACTCGTGTACCAGAAAGGCTACTTCAACTTAACAGTGAAACTAGAACAGTGCTGGCAACTAATGACTACAATAGGTTGAAGGTGTTTGTGTACTTCTCTGAACCAGTTCTAAATTCCTCTACAGAAATCGTAAAACATGTCAGCATAAATCGGGGTTCGCTTCTTCCAACTACAGGAAAAACTCGTGGAAATCGTAGATTTGGATTCTTGGTTAGTTTATTCATGGAGTTGATATGCTACAATTACGTAATGCTTTATTTGTACCTACTCTCCTTACACCTGTTTTCTTTCTGGCTGCCTATTACCATCTCAGATTGCTAATATATCCTCGAACACAATAATCTCAGTGAGCTTCAATTCAACATCGATAATTAGCAGGCAAGGGATTCCAGTTGCTCCAGTTGCACCGGTTACTTTCCTTTATGGTACCCTATCCCCCTCTAACTCCACCGTTAAATTACATGCAAAAGAAATTCCAGTTGCTGCAGTGTTTTTGTAATTTCTAAACTTTCTTTTTTCCTTTTTCTTCTACCTCTGTGACAACCACACAATAATGAACCTTACTGAAATCTCATTACTCTCCCCTGCTACGTGCATGGATGGAATTCAGATTCTATGCGGCCTTCGGTAAACTTGAGCACATATAGCACAAGGACACAAGAGCACAATGTACAGATATTGATCAAGTTTGTAAAACCTGTTTTTGGCTTCAATTCCTCCTGCATATCGTTAACTGGAGGGAATTTGAGAAGGCAAGTACTTTCTATTTTCTAACTCTGCACATTATTGCACTCTTACGCAACTTCTCTCTCAATATTGAATTATGAAAATGGCAATGTGAATTTAAAACTTATCCTTTCTCGTACAAATATCTTTGTCCAGCTTCCGTGAAATTAGTAGAAGCATATACATTATTGAGCTACAAGCAGATGACAATGTAATATCTATCAATGTTCCCGAGAATGTAACTCATGACATAGCTGGAAACAAAAATTTAGCATCCAACGTTCTACGAGTGAGGCATTGTAAGAATCATTTTTTTGACTTTCTAGTTACTTTTCTACTACTGATCACCATAATTAATCTGTGTATTTTCTTAATGAAGATTTGTTATTTAATATAACAAACATAAATATTTTGAATTATGCAGACTCAAGCTCTCTGATCTCTATAGTGATTTCTACATTTACAACTGCTTCTTTTGTGTTGACATCTCTTGCTGCTGGGCTGCTTACCATCTCTACCGCTAGCCTTCAATATTTTGGCGCCTTTTCAAGATCATCTTCTTTCTTGACCGTTGATCCAGCAAGGAGTCTTTTTGTGAGATATTTAACCTTTTTTTTTTTTTTGCCAAATTGCCCACAGATATATTTAACTTGCCTGAACCATATGCTGTTCATCATTTACCATTAATCCGTCAAGTAGTCTTCAATCACATGTTTATGTATTATTTTTCATTTGAAACGGAGGAAAGATACTAGAATCTACTACAAATACCTGGAAGATGAGTGTCAGGTTGGATTTCGGAGTTCATGACAAATTGAAATTTTTGCTTAAGAAAGTCACTTTTGAATTGAGGATCTGAGAGTAGGGAGATGGGTATATGGAATTTACATGACCTTAATTTCTTTTTATTCCGAAATGTTTAAAGTATTGGGATCTTTAGTTTCAATTTTTTGAATATCTGTTTAATCATATCTTTATAATTTCCAAACCCTAACAAATTTATGTCCGTGGAGAGGATACAACACTGATCAAGCCAATTTTGGTTAAACATGCAGAGAATTATTTGCTACATTCAGGTCTTTGCACTATCTAAATGGTTGTCAGTTAAGTTGCCTATTGAATTTTATGAATTTGCCAAGAATCTGCAATGGACTATACCCTATTTATTGGTGCCATGGGAAACAAGAAATATGCACCTGCTCTTGGTAGGTTCTAGTCCTTTTGGGAGCTCTGATCCTTTTGTCTCCAAAGTTCCAGCAAAGATTCCAAACATGAAGTTAATAGATAATTTGAGTAATTCCGCCTCAGTATATGGATCGCCTCTCACTTCTTCAGAGTATCAGCTCTATTTTGAGGTCAGATTATTGTAGCTGACATTTTGTTTACATTTGTATCCATGAAAAATGGCCAGTCTAATTGATAACATCACATATCTGCAGAACCCGAATGTGCAACCAAAAGCTGAGTTTATTTCGGATTCACAACATTCCAGTGGGTGAGTTACATGAATTTCATACATCGTACAAAGTCCATAAGTATAACTCAGTATATAATTTTGAATATGCACTAAGCATTTGTTATCACTTTACTTGCTTTTGTTTCACTTCTGACCAATACTGGAGAAGGGTTCCACTGAATAAATCAAGATGCATATTATGTTTTCAAATTATAATGGGTTTAGTCATTCATAGATTCAAAGTTCAGATGCTAGAGCAAGGTTTGCTTTATATAAGTTTTCTGAAGGATTAAGTTGCTTTTTTTTTTTTTTTTTTCCTTTTTCATTTTCCCCTAAAATAGGTGGACGGACTTCTACAGAAGCATGTTTTGGTTGGTTGTGATCTTGGGTGGTTTGATGATTCTACATGCTTTTCTCCTACTCATTTTGAAATTCAGGAAGAGAAATTCTGAAAAACCAAAGAAATATGGGGCACTCACTTTCCCAAGATTTGAGATTTTTCTTCTATTTCTTGCACTCCCTGGCATTTGCAAGGCCTCTACTGCCCTTGTAAGAGGTAAACTAAATGATATTGGTCATTTTATAATTATTTGTTATCATATTATAATATTCTATGCAAAAAAAAAAAAAAAAAACTTCACTCGAGTTAGCCTCGAGTAATAACATCACATCTGTTATCATTACTTTAGTCTATTTCAACTTTTCTTATTTGTCTGGCTTTGGTAGGAAGTTCATCAGGAATGGTGGTTGGCATTTTGCTATTAGTTTTCGCGTCATTCGTGCTTCTAGCTTTGTTCTTATTCCTCTCCGTTGGAATTACACTCGGGAAACTACTTCAGTACAAGGAAGTTCATCGAGAAGGCCAGAAATTTCACTGGTATCAAGAGCTTGTCCGGGTAACACTAGGTCCAGGTAAAAGAGGCCAATGGGCTTGGAAAGAACTACCAAATTCTGTTCGTTTAACCATCTTTGGCCCTCTATTTGAAGATCTAAGAGGCCCTCCAAAGTACATGCTTTCACAGATTGCTGGTGGGCATCCTCAGAGTCAAGGTGATCGCATCATGGCCTCTGAGGATGAAACAGAAGATGCAGAAGCACCTTTCATTCAAAAGCTTTTTGGGATTCTCAGAATATATTATGTGCTTCTTGAATCTATAAGAAGAGTTTCATTGGGGATTTTGGCAGGTGTTTATGACAAGAATGAGTCGTCCAAAACTCCAACAACTATTATACTCTCTATTTCTGCATTTCAGCTCTTCTTTGTTGTGCTAAAGAAGCCATTCATAAAGAAAAGAGTTCAATTAGTTGAGATTATCTCACTAACCTGTGAAGTTGCTCTATTTGCGACCTTCTTGGCAATCTTGAACAAGGATTTTTCTCTCAGAACAGAGACTAAACTTGGAATCTTTATGCTTATTCTGTTCCTTGTGGGGTTTTTGGCACAGATTATGAATGAGTGGTATACTTTATACAAACAAACAAGGCTGCTGGACCCTGAGGAAAAGTCATTCTTCAGAGGTCTAAAGGTCGCTTCCATTGGGTTTCTCCTTTATTTCATTCCTCAGAGATGCATCAAGAGCTTGGAAAGTAGGTTCCCTAAAAATCATGGTGGGAATGAAGAAACAAGGGATATTACTTTCTCAGAAGAGAGATTTAGAAACTTAGGGAGTAGAAGTTCAGGCTCAATTGATAAACCGTGGTTGAAACAACTGAGAGAACTTGCAAAGGCTAGCTTTGGAAAAGAAGGAAGTCCAAATGATCCCTCTACTAGTACCACCAGGTGGAGCGGGATATGGGGAACTAAAAGAAGTGGGAGCTCTTCTATGAATTCATCTTCTGATTTCAAGTCAAAACCAAGTGGGTTATACAAAGATTTGGAAGCCATTTTCGCGTCCAAGTGAAAGTTTATGATATATTTATGTTTGTATTAGTTTTATTAATGATGTAGCATTATTGTTTGCCGAGTTACTCAGAGTAGGTGTGAAACACTCAAAACACATAGAAAAACATCGTCAGCTTTCTCTACTGCCTTTGAATTCATCATGTTTGACGCGGTTGAGAAGTTTATAAACGCATGTTTGCTAGACAAACCATTTCAATTAATGTCTTTATTTTCATAATTGAATTGAAGTTAGTTAGACAATCAAATGTTTCTCTAGCAGATTGTCTGTATGCAAAAAATTTAAACTATGGCAAAAATACTTGATCATAAAAAAATTATGCAAAACTTCGTAACTTCTTGAATGTAACTTTGAAAACTTAAAAACTGAACTAATGTGTTTCGGCCAACCATACCCTATAAAGAGTCTCGTTTTTGCCGAGTAGTCTGAAGCTTCATTCACATGGCGTCTCCCGTGGTTTAGCGGCGCCACCCATTCTCGATGCATCCTCGTCTTCCCTTCTGAGATGAGCGCATGATCAGAACGAGAAGAGCCAGTTTCAGATTGTAAAAGTTCAACGACCTCAGTAGAGTCAGATTCTACCACGATCTTCCTCTAACCGGTGTCTCGTGTCCCAAGCGAGTGTAATACCAGGGAGGCAAGCACACATGACCATAAGTTACCCGCTTTTTCAGTTGTTCCTTTTCCCTTGAAGAAAAAAGGTACCCATTTTTTGCGGTGCATCATCTGGACTAGATGAACATCTTTAGTAGGAGTAGCAGGCGAGGATGTAGGAGTGATGTTAAAGCTTCGAAACCCATTTCATCTTCTTCACCCGTTAAAGCAACGATTTTTACCCCCTTGTCGCTCCCTCACCGCCATTATTCAACCGTCACCGGCGACGCTGCCGCTGGTGGAGGAGGACTTCGCAGTTGCCAAACTCATTCTCGACTCAGATACGCAATCCCTATCTGAAACCCTACAAAGAACGACTTTCCAGTGGAATCCAAATCTAGTGGACAAGGTCCTCAAACGCCTATGGAACCATGGACCCAAAGCGCTACAATTTTTCAAGTACCTTGAACGCCACCCGACCTATACTCATGCCTCGTCATCATTTGATTACGCCGTTGACATTGCAGCGCGCATGCGTGATTACAAGTCTGTTTGGAACCTGGTTGCTCGTATGCGAGCTTGCCGTGTCGGACCAAGCCCTCGAACTTTCGCGATCATTACTGAGAGGTATGTCGCTGCTGGTAAAGCCGATAGAGCTGTTAAGATTTTTTTGTCAATGCACAAACATGGTTGCCGTCAGGATTTGAATTCTTTTAACACGATTCTTGATGTGTTGTGCAAGTCCAAACGAGTAGAAATGGCTTATGATTTGTTCAAAGTTTTCAGAGGTAGATTTAAGGCTGATAGTATCAGTTATAACATAATTGCTAACGGGTGGTGCTTGATTAAGCGAACGCCCAAGGCTTTGGAGGTGATGAAGGAGATGGTAGATAGAGGATTGACTCCAACTTTGGCTACCTATAACATGTTGCTTAAAGGGTATTTCAGAACGGGTCAACTGAAGGAAGCCTGGGATTTCTTTTTGGAAATGAAAAAGAGGAAATGCGATATTGATGTTGTGACCTATACTACCATGGTTCATGGGTTTGGTGTTGTGGGTGAAATCCAGAAAGCTAGAAAGATTTTTGATCAGATGGTTAGGGAGGGTGTTCTTCCCTCAGTGGCGACATACAACGCTTTGATTCAATCTTTATGCAAGAAGGATAGTGTGGATAATGCTATATTGGTATTTGAAGAGATGGTAAGAAAGGGCTATGTGCCTAATTCAGTTACTTACAACGTAATAATCAGAGGGTTGTGTCATAGAGGTGACATGCAAAGGGCCATGGAGTTTATGGTGAGAATGGAGGAAGATGACGTTCAGCCAAACGTTCAGACACATAATGTCATGATACGATACTTCTGTGATTCCGGGGAGATTGAGAAGGGTTTAGACATGTTACAGAAGATGAGGAACAGATCATGCTTGCCCAATCTAGACACGTATAACATTCTGATCAGTGAGTTGTTTGTGAGGAAGAAATCAGATGATTTAATGTTAGCTGGGAAGTTGTTGATGGAAATGATTGATAGAGGCTTCCTGCCTCGAAAATTTACTTTTAATCGAGTTTTGAATGGGCTTCTGTTAACTGGCAATCAAGATTTTGCTAGAGAGATATTAAGATCACAAAGTAGATGTGGCCGGGTTCCTCGGCATTTGAAGCTCTGAACGCTGGTTGATTGTGGTTCATGTGTGATTTTATTGGTCTTCTGCAAGAACTGTAACTGGCTCCTTAGAGTTCCAAAATGAGAATGGAAATTAATTTAATTTGTTGGAGAAATTGAGGAAGAAATGCAGATTTAGCAGTCTCTGAAATTTTAGAGGATTTGAAGGCTTGATGGTGACTACATTATGAATCCAGTGTGCTGCACTGTGTGACTTCCATTGCTTCTTGTTTCGATTAAACTTCATGAAAAGTTGTCGACTAAATGTAAATTCTCTTGTTGGAATGATCAGTTATCAACAGAGTTTTCAATGTAAATTTGTTCAATTTATCACCTATAATAGAGGTTTCCCACTGAATAAATAAAGAGCTGCCCTATATTTTCAAATATAATTGTTTTAGTATTTCATAAATTCAAACTTCATATGGTAGGACAAAGTTTGCTTTATAGTATACTATCTGATTGTTAATCCCCCTTTTCATCTTAAATAGGTGGATGGACTTTTACAAAAGCATTTTGATTGGTTCTGCATGCTTTTCCCCTGTTTATTTTGAAATTCAGGAAGGGGAATTCTGAAAACTAAGAAAATATATGTGGATCTTGGATCAGATAATCCATAAGTCAGAATAAAAAGAGACTTGTAATATTCTTGGACTATGATGGAACTCTATCCCTAATTATTGTTAAATTTTTTTAACACATTCTTTGGCCGGTCAAAAAAAAACACATTCTTGGCAAAAAAAATAAACTCATGTTTTAAATTCGATCCCATTTTAACCACATAAATGTTCTAGTCCAATAAAGTACTGAAATCATTCTTCATGATGATTATTATCCTTTTTCCGTAAGATACTGCGCCCACATTTATATCAGGAATAAGGACAACGTTTCGTTAATGTTTTGAAGAAAAATAAAAATACTCCTCTAGTCCTGTGAAAATAAATTGGAAAGTTAATGTTAGTCTATGTAAGATTTATTTTACATATTTATTAATTTTTTAAATTAATATTATTGATATTTCTTATCAATAATTAAGTAGGAAAGAGATGGAAAAATTAAGAAAGATACTTAAAGTGTTTTTAAAAAAAAATCATATTAGTCCCTTTATTTTTTTTATAAGCAATCTTATATTTTATCACGTAGATCAAAAAATTAGTTAAAAACAATAAGTATGTAAAAATTAAAAGTTTTTTCTTCAAAATATCTTTATTTATGAGAGGAAAGGAAGAATATAAGAAAAAGAGTAAGAAAATTATTATAATAAAAAAAATTTGAAGAGAGAGAATGTGAATGGAGAGAGATAATGGTTTAGAAAATAAAATAATAAATATATTGGGCATTAAAATAAGTAATTAATGTAAATAAAATAAGAAATATGCTGTAAAAATTTAAGACAACTTACAAATATTGCTTATATTTAGAGATAAAACGAGAATAGTAGTTGTTGCTTATAAAAAGGGACAGAGGGAGTAACTAATTTAACTAATACTTTTAATCTATTCAAATTAGTTAATTAAGTCCTATGTTAGAGTAGTTCTTTTTTGGATGAAATGAAAGAGAAATTGCAAAAAAAATTGTGAAAATTACAAAATCTCAAATAAGATCCGTTACAAGATTTATATAGGTTTTGAAAGTACTCCTCCGGTCTTTATTATAAGACCCAATTTGACTTTTTATTTGGTCCTAATTATAAGACCCAATTCATTTTCTCTCTTATATTTATGCATTTTTTTCCAAGATAATCCTTCTAATAATGATAGTTTTAGCCAATATACTTAATTAGCAAGGATATTTTAGGAATAACAAACACTTATTTATTATAAATAACCAACCTAACTTACTTCCTTAATCTCCTCAAATAAGTCAATTGGGTCTTATAATTAGGACCGGAGGAGTAAATGATAATAAATTTTTGAAAAAATAGCTTATTCATAATTTTGCAATTTTTACTATTTTTTTAACCACTTTCCCTTAGATCAATTCATCCATCCGTTTAAACTTTAACAAGAGAAGTGTCATCTGGGTCCCCTTCTCCACGATGCACATGCAGGTGTCAATGTGCCATCACCAACTCTAAACGGCATCATTGAATGGCCGCCTATTTAAACAACAAGGACCTGTTATATAAATATATATACTACTCCGGTCCTTAATATAAGACCTATTTAACTAATTTGATTAGATTAAAGAAGTTAGGTTAGTTAGTTAATTATAAGAAAAGTGACACATTTTTCCTAAAATACCATAATCATCTTTTTAATACCTTCTCCCCCTCTTCTACTTGATTATGGTTGAGGGAGTATCCATAGGGGTAATTTAAAGAAAAATGATAAATATGAGAAATGGGTCTTATATTTAGGACCAAAACTAACTCAAGAATTGGATCCTATATTAAGGACCGAAGGAGTGTGTGTGTGTGTGTGTATATATATATATATATATATATATAACAAATGGAAAAACTGAAACTGCAATTATGAATACTGTAATGGAATTCAGTTTCATGCTCACTACATAGTCAGCTAAACAGAAGTTTTAAGCGGAATAGTATTGAACCTCCCATACACAAAAGCACAGTGTTCTCTTCTCCATAGCCAAGATTAGTTAAGGCAATGGCAAGAGCTCTATCTCCTTGTTCCACAGTTTTTCTCTCATCTTCTACCCATCGCCTTTTCTCTTCCACTCTAAAAGCCCCGAGCTTTTCATTCGCTCCAATCATCAAGCCAAAGAGCTTTACCATTGCCGCTTACAATGCACGCACACCGATCAATTCAGTCCACAAGGTTCGGCATTGTTCTCCTATTTATGTCTTCCTTGTGGATATTTTTCTGCTTCATTCTTTACCTGTTGTCCATAATTTTCTTCAGGTGATCAAGGCGTTGATGAGTCGTGTTGATTTAACGGAAGCAGAAGCAGAAGCATCTCTTGAATTCTTATTGACTGAAGCGGATCAAGCGCTGATCAGCGCTTTTCTTGTGCTCCTGAGAGCCAAAGGAGAAACTTCTGAAGAAGTAAGCTTGCTGCTTTATGCTCTTCCATTTGCTTGCTGAGAAGCTTGCTTCTGCAAAAATGGCTGCTTTTTTTCTTCCTACTTTAGTTTCTCTTCTTATGGGATTTTTATGTGGATAGATTGTCGGGCTAGCAAAAGCAATGATGAAACGTGCGAGGAAGGTTGAAGGTTTGGTTGACATTGTTGGAACTGGAGGTGATGGAGCAAACACTGTCAACATATCAACGGGGGCTTCAATACTTGCCGGAGCCTGTGGTGCCAAAGTTGCTAAGGTGAAGATCACTAAAATACAATAATAATATGATGTTAACAATTGGTGATATCGCTGCATCGTTTTGAGTATTAAAGTTCGATTGAACGATTTTCATTTTGCAGCAAGGAAACTGTTCAAGTTCTTCTGCATGTGGAAGTGCCAATGTATTAGAAGCACTGGGCGCGGCTATTGACTTAGATGCTCAGGTTAGTGCTTTTTAAGTTATGAAAACTATTTGCTTCGTTGGTTTTCTTGAGTCTCAAATGTATGAATTGGTTCACGCTGGCCCTATTTATGATGTGGAAGATAATTACTAAGGATAAAAGTCGATTGTGCTATTAAGAGACTTGTCAAGACTGTGTTCGTTGTCATTATCAAATGAAAGGTCATTGTCTTCGTCTTGATAATGCTATTTTTGGCCATCAATGGAACATAATGGTGGCAGATATTTTGCTTTCTTAACTTTGATGAAACAGCAAAATGTAAGCTCTAGTATGCGTATTTCACTTCTCCAAGATTTCGGGAAGAATCTTCCGGATTTCCTTCTATGGTGAAAAAACCCTCAAACTTTCAGGTAGATGAAGGAGTCCTTCCATTTCAGAGTAGGGATGGCTTAGGAGCGAAGGAGAGAGTATTTTAAGCTTATATTTTTATTCAATTAATACTACGTATTAAAGAGCAACCGTTGTCATTGATTTTTTTTTTTAAATGCATATACTAATCTAATTTTTTACTTCCCTATTGTGATGAAAATCAGGGGGTAACAAGGTGTGTGAGCGAAGCAGGAATTGGTTTTATGATGTCTCCGAAATACCACCCAGCTATGAAGATTGCCAGTCCTGTTAGAAAAAAGCTAAATATAAAAACTGCATTCGATATTGGGTCCCATGTTAAATCCAGCACAGGTACCTTTCGCAGTTATTGGAGTATTTACGGAAGGCTTGGTAATTTCCTTTATATGAAATGTTTAGCCCTGAAACCTAATCATCAAATTGAAAAATAGTATTCATAGACATAGATGTGGAAATAAAATTATCTGATTTCTTTGAGACTTTGGCCTCTTGTTTCTTTCACAATCTGTGGACACTAATCCTGCTAGATAGAAGTAGATTCCAGCATACGAATGATCCATTACTCTATGCATAAGCAACTGATGAAGTAATTGGTCTAGGTTGATCGTGTGACAGGACAGGAGTCCAGACTAGTTGAAAATTCTGGTGTTTTTCTCTGTGTACGTCAAGAAGATCTTTGTTTTTCTTTTAACAGGTCTTCAAATGGCTAAAGCACTACAAAGATTTGGCATGAAAAGAGCTCTGGTTGTGCACTCTGAAGGTTTGGATGAGATGAGTCCTCTTGGTAAGATCTCTTGCTTTTATTGCATTTCTAGACATTGTTTATTCGGTGGGAGATATAGATAGGCATCTTACTTTGCATTTGACTGGGATTTCTAACATCCTTGCTCTGCATCACTTACAGGACCAGGGCTGGTATTTGATGTCACTTCGGAAAGAATTGATGAGTTCTTATTTGATCCATGTAAGGATATGATATGATAAAAATATTTGCTTTTGAAAGTCTCCTTCTGTTATGGATTAACTTAATGCAGCTCACTGGCAATTAAATCTGAATGTTTCTTGAAACAGTGGACTTCGGCATTCCTAGGTGCAATCTCGAGAGCCTGAAAGGTGGTGGCCCAGACTACAATGCCGAGATTCTGAAGCGTGTTCTAGCTGGAGAAAGGGCGCCAATCGCCAATGCTTTGGTAAATATTACCTCTGGTGCTAATTGTAAGAGCTAGTTAACTAATTTTAATTAACTAATTTGAAGAAATTAAAAAATAAGTTAAGTTAATTATTTATAATAAATAAGTGTTGTCTTTTCTAAAATATCCTTATTAATCAAGTTTATCGACTAAAACTACTATTATTAGATTGATTACCTTGGGAAAAAATGCATAAATATGAAAGATAAAGTGGATTGGGGTCTTATAATTAGAATTAAAATAAAATAATTAAAACCAAAATAAAAATAAAACGAGATCTTATATTAAGGACCGGAGGTAGTATCTTGACTTCTCTGAGAGAGTGACACGTGACACCTCTATAAGTGATGGGGAGAGACTGACTTTGAGTAGCAATAAACATATTAGGATGCTTTGATTTCAATTGCATCTAGGATCTTATAATCTACAAGCTTAGTCATTCAAAATGATTATGTACTTGTCTATTCATATCCATTTTTTTTTTCCTGTGAAAAAAAAAAAGGCTAGATTCTGAATGCAGCAGCGGCTCTCATGGTCAGCGGCTTAGTGAAGAGCCTAGCAGAAGGCGTATCTGTGGCTCGTGAAACACAGCAATCAGGAAAGGCCCTCAAAACTCTCAACTCGTGAAAAGATATATCAAATGTCAGTAAATTATGGACCTGAGTTCACTTCTTTCCAATAGCCACAAGTTGCTGATTTCATCTCATTGCTCAATAATTGCAGAAATCTAAAGAAGACGATGCCTTGGAATATGCTTAAATCTTCTAACATATTGTCCTGTTGCTGCACACGAGTGCCATTCGTGTCATGGCTTGTTCAAGTAATAATCCTGGATCGATTACTCTGAACACAACAAGTTTTCGAATGGGAAAATGATCTCAAATTAGATTCTGCGGACAAATATCATGCACGGCATTTTAAGTCCATCAATGGGAATAGGAAGTACAGAAACACCCGTCAAAACTCAATCTGAGTCAAATACCATGAATATAGGACTGACACAAAAAATATGACATTTACAATATGGGATTCATGAGTCAGGTTTTGTTGGTACTTGGTAGACACTATTCAAATCTGTTTGCTTGTCAGCCACACTAGTGTATACGTCAATAATCCTGCGGAAAGTTTAAAATGACAATTATACCCCGATGTCCAAATGCCATAGAACAAATTATACACTCGGGTCAATATAGTAAAATACCTCCAACCATTTTTGACATCATAGGCCTTGTCACTGTAGATGCTTTTCCTGGAAATCCCCCCCCCCCCCAAACAAAGAAAAATCTTACTGCCAAAGTTTTTATCAACGTTGAATTCAGAAGAAGCCGAAGTAAGCTTTGATTTAACTTACTGACCTGAATCACAGTTGGAGGTTGAATTGGAGTTCCCACACATACAAGCTTGCCTAATTCCATCTGAACCATACCCGCACGTGCCACCTGTGGCCTCACACGCTCCGCAAAAGTCATCGTCGTTTCCTTGCACCGAATACTTCACTCGGATCCCATACGACCACCCGCCCGGCCCGTCTAGTCTCAACGGTGCAAGATTGTAAGCACTGCTATACCCTTCACACTGAAGCCTGGTCAGATTAATAGCCTTAATCGCCCCGAATGGTATGGCACAACATGCTGGTGGGCCTGACCCAAAGTGTGTAGACCCGAGCCGTTTGTGTCCCACCCGATCCCATGCCGGGCACCCGTAGTACTCCTCACAGCCCATTCCCGAAACGTTCCGACATGGCAAGTGCTTCTCTGGGAAACCTTGGAACAGAGGTGACTCAGCTGAACAACCTATGAGCATGAAGACGTTGTCGGAGATCGGATTCATGTAGGCCTCCCGCCACGGCTCCACCGAGAAGCCGTTGCCGGTGCGGCCGAGCACAATTGTGTCACAAGTTGACATGTGAGGCTCGTGAAGAGTGAGAGACTGGTACGCGTAGTCTATTTCCAGAACTCTGTACGACCCTGAGCTTACGTGAAACATGAGAATGTCGTTCATGCAGAAAAGAAGGTCCCGAAATCCCGGGTGCCCGCACCCGTATTGGAGCCCGAATGGGTAATCTATGGTTATGTTTCCACAGTATGATCGACATGAGTTAGCGAGAGCAGAACTTGGTGGGATCAGACATGTTGAAAAGATAAGGAGACACAGAGTTGTGAACAATGTTTGCATAGTCGTGAGAAAGAGAGAGAGAGAGATTAAGAAGGAAATGAGATTGCAATAATGCTTACGATAGTTGCTTGAAGAGATAAGCAGTAGATGTGCATTTGATTGTTGCAGGACAAAATGATTTATTTGATGATTGCTTAATAGCTTTATTCACATGTGGTGTTGAGTTGTTTTTGGGTTGTCTTTTACTTTTTTGCGCTGCTGGGGGCGGATCTTTAGTTTTCTGAGTTTTATTTTTTTGCAGCTTTTGAATTTCTGTTTGTCAAAGGTTAGGCTTTTGTGGGGATGGTGAGAAAAGTAGTTTGATTTGCGAATCCGATGAGATTAAAGCATAACACATATATTAGCTGTTGGAAGCTTTTTACATCTGAATTCAATAAGAATCCATCACAACCGGTTCACTGGCATACGAAGCCCATGATTATAAGCAACCTTACGAATTGCTAACATCCAAGCTGTGAACTCGAACTCCAAGTATAATGGTGATTAACCAATTACCAAAAAAAAACGGAAAAACAAAAAAGCTAATTCAGACACTGATTGGCATATGTTTGCTTTGGTTTCTTCTTTTTCAAAATAATTTTACGTCCTTTAAGTTTACTGATGGTTCTTAAAGTGTCAACTTCGATGTTACACTTTTCCATGTCCTCTCACTTTTGACAGCCAATTAGTTAGAACAAGGATGCATAAATGATTTGGATGCTTGGGAGCGCACCAGGTAAAAGTGAGCAATATCAATTGACGAGAGATGCAACAGAGAAGCGGTTCACTCGAGTTACTAACTATATATTATCTGTACTTGGTGCTGCATTTTGTTTTCCTCTAGATATCATGTTTATACGTTAATCCTTGATTATATGGTAGTTCTCTATACTCCCATTAGTGTGGTCTTGTAAAAATTGATAGGCTTGCGGAAAATGAAAATAAATGGAAGCTAAATTTTAGGAGTAAACCAACAAAGAAGCGAAGAAGGGAGGGAGCATATGAAATTGCATTCTTTATGCCTTCAAAAGGGAAAGATATATCATACAAGTGTATCATTCAATTTGACTATAGAGATCAAATTCATTAATAAATCGGGAGAAAATACAAGAAAAGTTTGAGACCCCCAGGGCCGAGTTGTAAGTTAACCACATCTTTCTGCAGCAATGGGCAGACTTGTATGAACTATAAACTAAATCTAGAAAAGTATAATATAATTCCACCAAGATGCTTCCTCCCGTCTAATTGTGGCAGCACAGTAAAACGTAAGTCATTGGAGAACATTAACAATTTGGCGGCTTTCAACAATCTTCATATGTCATTAGATCCTATGCTAGATCTCATTGTTCTTGGCCTGCAATTTCAAGGAACGTCCAAAGTTAAAAGCTACGGCGTACCATCTTATTTTCTACTAAATTTCAGAAATAACTATAAATTGATATCGCAAACGTCCATTACATTTTTTTCAAGGGATAACAGCAATCCCCCCGGCACATTTGGTTGGATAAAATTGCAAGGGTATCCCCCTTAAAATGATGTGAATGAACGCACCTCTAGGATTACCGCAATTCAAATCCGAACATTATATATAACAAATGATCCGGTTTTTTCTTCTTCTTTTTTTTTTTTCAGTCACAAAGGCAAATTGCTCCGTTAAATATTTGCTCCCATCAAATATTTGAAAAAAAAAGTAACCAAAATTAGAGTAATTTTATTAAACCTAGAGTCTTAAAATCATATAATTAAGAAATTACCATCAGTTTGGCTAGGAGCTGTATTATGTCGTGCCTTCATTGACATCTTTTTCACTGTTTCAGCTGTAATTAAGATGGCCAGAACTCGTTAGCAGTGAGGAAGAAATGAAACAGTTGTTAGGTTTCCCCACATGATATGCAACATTGTAAAACCCATGAACAGCATGATTGTGGAAGTGTTGAAAAAACGGCAGATGTAGGCTATTGACCACTCAGATTCCTAGTAGCCTCGCTGATTTTACCTTTAAATTTTCTTTTCTTATTTGCCCTCCTTCGTTTTCTCTCTGCCTTTGTAAGCTCTGCTTCTTCCTTGATATCTCCCTTGCCAGCAAAGACCTCCTCAGGAGCCAGCATAGCTGCATCTGACACAGCCACAGGCGCAATCTATGCATGGAAAGCATCAAGGTTTTAATTAATCAACAATTAAACAAGGTTCACCTAAGAAGGTTTAAGATGAAATGGAAATAGCTCTTTACTTCTTCCATTGCCAGAGCAGGGACATTAGCTTGTATAGACATGTCCTCTATAACCTGTTTAGTTCAAGACAAAGCAAACATTACAAGACAACAAATAAATTTTCAAGTGCACGACACCAATTTAAAAAAAAAAAAAAAAATCGTGTTAACTAAATTGAATGTCATACAGGTTTTGGAGCAAAGTTGAAATGAGAAAGAGCATCCAGTTTCAAACAGAGTCTCTTGAACAGCGTGCTTGCCTGATCACAATTAAATGGCACAGTTCAGCATAGTTTGAAAGCTTCAACAGCCAAAAAGAAAAATAGGAAAGGAAGGTTATACAGGCCATTTGAAAACCAGCGCCTTATCATCCTATAAATAAGTGAAACATAGGACAGATGAGAAATATAAAATTGAAGCAGTCAATTAAAACATGTACCTCTTTTTTCTGTTCATCCTTGAATGACAAAGGAGCAGAAGAGGGGTCTGTCTTCTGAACATATTCTTCCTGTACACGATTTTACAATAAAGGAGAATCTTTAGGGAAGCCATAAGCAAACACAACAGGGGTTTTATTGGGGGATTTAGATGTTGAAATGCATGATGGTAAAAAAAAATACGGACCTCATAAACTTCTGCAAGACCCTTCTTGCTTTTATTCTCATCCTGAACTCATCACAGAAAATGATGATTAGCTATTAACTATGCTATAAATAGTGCTAAAAAATCAGTTAAATTCAATATTCTATTTATTTTATAGAAACAGTGCTTACCAACTCCTTTACTTCCCTGGGTGCTTTTGCTGGCAATTTGGGAGCCCTTTGAACGTCATCAAAACGTCCCTATAATCAACATAAACATAAGTTACAAAAAACAAATATGTATGCTTGCTCTGGAGTGTATTTAAAGCATACATAATATAAGTCTCATATAGTTAGATATATAACCCAGTAGTCAGTGGCTCAGTGCCCAGGTCAGCTTAGCACACAACCAACTTTTTAGATAAATGGCCATTCATTAAAGGGCTCCCACCACAGAATAAAATAATGAGCCACTGTAATAGAAGTCCAAATTGATGTCAACCCATCCTTTCAATTTACCTCAAGGATCCTTTTCTGGATCATTTCCTCAATCGAAGCTGTAACTTCCTCAGTAATTACAGGAGCTGGTCTCATATTTTGCTCAAAGTCAAGATCAACTTCCAAAGCACTGTTCAAGGGTCTCTTAGTCGCAGTCACCTGTTACTAAAAGCCAAAGTCAGTGATCTAATATATAAAGATTAAGCATGAAGGCCCAAAGGAGGGGCCCGGGAGGGGGGGGGGGGAGCAACTACTACGTCACCTCTCCCTGCATGGTCCATGTTTTTGGCTCCAAGTTAGATTTCTCCATCTGCTGAATCTTTGCTTGGATCTTTTGCGTTTGTTTTTCATGGGTAGAAACAGCCTCTTGATTCTATATGAATAAAAAGGGCAATATAAGAACTTGAATGTCATGCATGCATAAATCCAACAAAATACAAAAAAATATACTTGGCCATCAAATTCCATGCCATCTTCATCAGAATCTTCAAGACCCTGAGTGAACTTTCCTTTTTGATTTACTTGCCCATCAAGTTCCATGTCATCTTCATCAGAATGTTCAGGCCCTCCATCAAATTCCACGTCATCTTCACCAGAACCTTCAGACGTCCCAGTTAACCTTTCTTTAAGTTTTAATCTTTTTTCCTTTCTTCCTTTTTCTTGCTGGGATCTCCTTCCCTTTCTCTCACGAAAGAAGTCTTCGTAACTGCAAGAATAAAGATGAGCCGCATGATTGCATCCAGAATAAAGAATACACTAATAAAAAAGGTCCAGCGCGTACCATAACTGAAAACCTAGGTGAGTGTACTCGACTAGTTGCATATCATTTTGCATCTAATTACATTCAAAGGAAAAGCAGTAAAGCCAAAACACAACAGCATAGCAACACAGAAAAATACTGGACATTTACGATCAAGCAATAAAGACGAATCCTTAGGCCAATAGCAGTCATGCTTCTTCATGTTCGTCAATTGTTGATCAATAAATGATAGATGTTGTACTCGAAAGAAAAGAAAAACATAGAAGGAAATTATTGCATCAACCTGTTGTGCGTGTGTTATGATAATAATGAAAGGAATAAAGAAGTGAGTTGAGTGATGTTCTATAATCTAGAACATGCCACAGATCTACAGCAATAGTAACGATCCTTCTTAGAATCTGACTCGTTCGAGTTAGTTAGAGATATCAGTTTAACAGTTACTAGCCGTTGCCCCATTAGCCTATACAAGGTCACGCATAGGATGTGTGACTAAGCTTTCGTATTACGAGAATGAGCCGAAAAGAAGTGAAGATAGAAAAATGGTTTATGTAGTGGAAGGGTAAAATAATACGAACATTGCGTATCTAAAGTCATCTGCGTCTTCGTCTCCATCATCGTCATCATTGCCAACCCCAAATTCACCAGCCTGCAGCAAAAATAATAAGAATGAGCCAAAATCATAAATAACGGTAACTGAAACAACGCGTTATGCATCTTACAGATATAGGTAAATGATTAAGAAGAAAAACGAGAGAAAAAACAGCAAACCTGTAGAATGACGAACCGATTACAAATCGCAGGGCTCACAATAAATGAGATAATATCGAGCAAATCACAGTAACAGAAAATCAAACCAAAAAAGCCAGAAGCAGTCTCACCTCATCACTTTCATCATCCACTTCCTTTAACTGTCCTGCTTCATCGTTCTCCAAGTTATTCTCCTCCTGCACCAGGAACTTCTCCAAGTCCTTCATTTTCAGAAAATCATCTTGAATACCTCCATAGTCACCTTCCTCTTCATCTTCCTCGTTCTCAAGGCCTTCCTCCTCCTCCTCCTCTTCATTCTCCTCATCCTCTGCCACTGCTTTCCCTCTTTCCTCGCCTTCTTTTCCTTCCTCATCTACGCCTTCTTCGTCGTCGTCGTCGTCGTCGTCAAATTCATCTAATTCCTCATCAAACCCGTCACTTTCTTCGTGCCACTCCTCTTTTGTTTTCCCCTCCACCTTCTTTTTACCCTGTAGAGCTCCTTTAATCCCAGAGATTGCTTCCGGACTCTCCTCCAGCTGCTTCAACCGCCGGCGAAGAGTGGAGAACAAAGGCTGTGATTGGAGGTCAATTTGCTGCCATATCTGCTCGGCATCGAACCCGTCCACCAGGAGTTCATCCAATGGCGATTTTTTGGAAAAGGGTCTGAGAAAGGAGAAAAGATACTGTGAGGCAACACGAGCAGTTTGAGTGAGCGATGGATCTCGTGTGAGCCACGGCACAGGATCCTTCGCCTGCAGACGATAAAGAGCTTCAACGCCGGCTTCGGTGGAGCTAGCCATTGAAGGGGTGCTCTGCGTGAGATTTTCTCCAGCTGAATGGGTTTAGGGTTCTAGGAAAAGAAAAATGCCGAGCGACGATTTTTTTTTTTAATGTCTAAGCAACGAGATTATTTTAATTTTAATTTTAATAAATACTCATGTGTGTGTGTATATATATATATATAACTATTGCGTAAGACAGTAAGAGGCTGTTCCCACCTTTTTTCCTAACCAAATTCCCGCCTTAAATAATAGTAAAAATTCAATCTTCACAATAACAATCAAATCAAGTTTAAATGGCACTGTGCTCTTCAACACCCACCAGCGACAAAGGACGTATTCATGCCTCTTGGCTGTGCTTCTTGTAAAAAACAAATTTTGGGCAAGTGCGTGCGGGTGTGGCCAGGTAATCACATCATTTTAAAAAGTCCAATCTTTCTGTGATTGTGAGCTTGCCAACTCTATTCAGCCATGTGTGGCAGAGTTGATTAATGGTCTTTGGATTCGAGGTTTTTATTTTCTGTCTTTTTCAGCGCTAAAAAGTAACGTAGCTCCCGCATCCTGGAATGAAAATTTTGAAGGCTTTCACTATTTGTAACTTTGAGATTGGAACCCTTCGCCGTAGAAATCCCGATCCTCTGAGTTCTGAGTCTGCTGCGCCGACAGGTAAGGAGCTCTGTGTCCGTTTCTCAGATACTTTGATTGAACCGAATCAGCCAATCAGGGCTATATCCCGGATTTGTTTCCTTCTTCCTTTTGATTAATGATTCTAAAAGATTCGATTTTTAGGATTTATTGAGCTTCAAATGATCCATGGGGATGGCACTCGCAAGGCCGCCTGCGAAGCCGTCTCTCTCGATCGTTTCGATTCGCTCCCTGCCTTGCAGGTTCCGCCATTCCATGATGGTGATGTTTCTTCTCCTTCTTCACGGTACTCGTCATGCGGAGAGTCCGATTTCGAGCGCTATTGTAGCGCGAACTCGGTCTTGGGCACCCCAAGTGTGTGCAGCACGATTACTGTTTTCAACGATTTTACGGAACATGACAAAAATGATCTGGAGAATTTTAGTTTAAGAGATGGAATTGGTATTACGAGCCAGGATCAGAGGATTTCATCCACTGGTGCGTCGAGCAGAACGCCATTTTCACGAACTGGGATTCGCAGCGATGATATCCAGACTCACCAGAACTTAAAATACAGCTCCATTGCGTTAGAATTGTATGATGATGACAATGACGATGTGCGTGCTGCGCCCATGCTTCGTGCAACGGGTCTTATGGGGACCAACCAGTTGGGCAATAATTTGGACCGGAGTTCCATCCGTAAAGGTTCTGAAATGTGTGAAGGACAATCATTTGAGAACCTTGAACCAATAGTGCCTTCTGCAAATTGTGAAATGAGGAAAACATTAGACAGTTCTTTCACCTCGCCAAATCTCTGTAAGAAAAGTCCTGTGACATCAAAGGTCAGTAATTACTTCTGCTTAATATGTCAAATAATGCGCACTTGATATGCCCCTTGTAACTCCGGAACGAACAAATCATATGCCTAGTTATAGACTAGATTACTGTTTTGGAAGATGACGCAATCTTTTCTTTTTTTTTTTGGTTGGAGGATTAAATTATATTTTTACATTTCCACGATTGTAACAATCAACTAAAAGATGCCCTGTAATATGTAGCGCGAAGTGTCTCATTTTGACTGTAAATATACTAGACCTTTGATATTTTTTCTTACCAGATCAGTGATAGATCAGAACTCTGGTGGTGAACTGCTTTGATCATATTCCTATTGAAATTATTGGACTGAGTTGTCTTAAATCAGCCTTGCTTGATTACTTTTTGTTTTAAATTGCCGCTTTCCTTCTTGATGCATTTTTGTTTTGTCCTTGTAGTTTGTAAACCTGTGTAATTGTTTCACAGTTCTATAATATTGTTTGATATGTGTGTGCATGTTGATCATTTTGGGAACTAAGAGTTGCTTGTCTTCATCTGCTTGTGTTGTGGGATGATTATTCACCTGGATGGTTTATCTCTTGGGTTTATGATTCTGTTACATATTGCAGATGAAGGATTTTGAGCAGCATGGATTGTATGATGATGTTCATGAAATGGAAGAAAGTTTACTAGAGTCTATTGATTTCGCTGGGTCTAGGCTTGGTCAGAGTAATAGATTTCGTGAACCACAATTGTTTAAGCCTTTAAGAGACGGCGGGTTGACAGCCTCAACTTCTGGCACAGATGGTGCTTGCCTGCCTGTTCAACCTCCAATGAGATTAGATAGGGTTAAAGTTGTAGGTGCAAGGCAGAAGAGTGGAGATGTTTCTTTCAGCAGGAGATTGGTGGGGATAAAGGAATACACTGTATATAAAATGAAAGTGTGGAGTGGCAAAGAGCATTGGGTGATTGAAAGACGATATCGTGATTTCCTCACTCTCTACCATTGCATGAAAACCTTATTCACAGAGCAAGACTGGGATTTACCTTCCCCTTGGTATGCTGTAGAAAAAGAAACTAAGAAGATATTTGGAAATGCATCTCCTGAAGTTATTGTGCAGAGAAGCATTCTCCTTCAGGAGTGTTTGCAATCCATTCTTCATATCAGACACTTTTCTTGTCCTCCAAGTGCATTAATTTGGTTTTTATCCCCTCCAAGTGCATTGATGTCTGGCTCTTTTACAAGTGTGACAATAGAAAGAAATTATTCCACTTTAGGGAAAACCACGCCATTTATATTTGAAATTCCTCCATGTAAATCCATTGAACAGATGTTGGCAGCACAACGTAACTGTTGTGCTGGATGCCACAGGCATTTTGATGATGGAACAACTTCGATCTGGGATATTTTACAGAGGTTTGGATGGGGCAAACCTCGACTCTGTGAATACACTGCTAAATTGTTTTGTTCTTCTTGCCATACAAATGAGACTGCAGTCTTGCCTGCGAGGGTTTTGCATCATTGGGATTTTACTCCTTATCCAGTTTCTCAACTGGCAAAGTCTTACCTTGATTCTATAAATGACCAGGTAACCTGAAAAAATAAAACATACATATCTCATTCATTGTTTAACCCTTTTTGGGCTCTGCTTACATTGCTAGCCGGAAAGTATGCATTTATTTGTAATCATTATGAGCATTGGACACTGTGAGAAGCGATGCTGAATTTTTTCCTTTATATAAGGGTGTTTGGATTAGCTTTATAGAAGTGATTTTACAGTATAGAGGTAAGTATGTAAGATGAGTTTTGTCTTGGCCTGTGTGAAAACACTTTTTTGAAGTGCTTTTAGGGGGTTGCCAGGTGCCTGTTTAGATTTTAGTTGTTAATTCTAACTACATGTTTTAATTATTGTCTAGCTTTGGGCTTGGACAAAAAATATTTGCATAACTTCAAAAGAAATTGGAACATTAAATTAATTTTGCTTTTTCTATGAGCAATAAATTTATTATATTTTAAGGATATCGCCTACAATGGACGTGAAATTCTCTTGACTTGAAATGTTGGAAGTTTACTTGCTTGTCACATGGCTGTGGATCGACGAATGCATAGGTGCACATACATGCTTCTTATTCATTTTAACTTTAGATATTTGGGAGTTACTCTTAATGTTCTCAGTTTTTTGATATAACTATCTGATATCCAGGACTATGGGTTTTGAACAAAGTAAGACATTTTGTTTATGGATTTTCTTGTGCAGCCCTTGCTTTCTGTCACTGCAGTTAATCCCATCGTTTTGTCAAAGGTTCCAGCCTTACTCCATGTTATAAGTGTCAGGAAAAGGATAGGGACTATGCTTCCATTTGTTCTCTGCCCATTCCGGAGGTCTATCAGTAGTGCGCTTGGAGTGCGGAGATATCTTCTAGAAAATAATGACTTTTTTGCTCTGAGAGATTTGATTGATCTTTCCAAAGGAGCCTTTGCTGGTTAGTTTCTATTTTCAGTTTACTGCTTAATTGTGCAGTACGTGCAAGTTTTTTTCCCCCCATGTGCCCTTCCATGTGCCCTGTACAGTACAAATTTTACCTGTTCTGTTGTTTTTGGATTGTGGGGCTAATAAATGATTTACTTTAAAGCCAACATGTAGCATTCGCTGGGTCAATTATCCCTGATGTATGGTAACTGTTATTGCAGCACTTCCTGGCATATTGGAAACAGTGTCAAGGAAAATCCTAAAACACATCATTGACCAATGTATCATATGCTGTGATGTTGGAGTACCCTGCAGTGCCCGACAAGATTGCCGTAACCCATGTTCTCTTATTTTCCCTTTTCAGGTGTGCATCTGTTGGTAACCTTTATCATGGTTTTTTTTTTTTTTTTTGTGGTCAGTGATAGAATTGTTTCTTTTGATTTATTATGCTAAGTTACCCTTTTATCCTAAAACAGAAGTGTACCCGTTGTGTCAGAAAGCAAATGATGGATAACTATTGTTCAATAAATATATGGTTTGTATTTATATTAAATACTTGCAAATTATCAGTTTCCGACTTTCACTTTAGTTTATAAATTGTATGGGGTACTTTAGAGGATCTAAACTGAATTTTGAAAGGCTCCTTTAAGTTGTTTTAAAATAAGGCTGAGCGAACTTTCTGGTTGTTGTTGTAGTGGTTTGAACTGCAGAATTCCAGTTTGCAGAGATGTTTCCAATTTTAACCTCTATGCCTTTTTCTGGAACCTTTACATGAATAGGACTTTTTAATGTGTGTTTTGTGAAAGGAACTGGACCCCCACTAGCTTTACCCTTTAGTTGCTTGCGTGCAAGGCAACTTCCAGATGTGCACCCACTAACTTTGGTGGAGCGAATAATAGGGATTTGGATTACTACATGCACAGTCATACTGGAGAGGGAGACCCCAAAAAAACAACTTTTAAGATAAAAAGGTCTCTTTGGTAGGATTCGAATTTGGAAATAGGAGAGCTAGGATTGTCATGTCCCTAAGGAGTTAGTTATGTTCATTGGAACTGTTGGTTCGATATATTACTTGGAATATATCCACAACATGCTAGCAGAATAGATTGGAACACTGTTTTAAGAAGCTACGGCTCCATATTTTACCGAAAAGTCCTAAGTATTGTCATTCTCTAATAGGAAGGAGTTACTCTAATCTAACCAAAATTTGAACAGGAAGACGAGATTGAAAGGTGTACAACTTGTAAGTCAGTTTTCCACAAGCCTTGCTTCAGAAAGGTTCTCAGCTGTTCTTGTGGAGCTCACCATAACATAAGCAACGGTGAAAGGCCAGTGAGGGATTGGTGAAACAGTAAACTCGGCTCTGGCTTCGATCAAGAGTATTCATAGGTCAATTTTTTGGTTGTCATTCTTTGTAACGAGTATTGATGTGATATATATGCTTCTTCAGTTTTCTTTCGTATGTTATTTCCCGTTCATGTAATTCATGTCTGTATTCTTTCACTTATTGAATAGAGAACTCGAGTTTCTCCACCGGGACATGCATTTCAACTTTCGATCAAGATAGACAGAGTATCTCACAAAAATAATAAAATTCAACAAATTTCTTCTTGGAACTAATTTGACAATTCTAGAATCGTTTAATCAGAACTCAGTTTTTCTTCCTAGAAAGCCTAGTTACTTACATGCATAATGGAGGAATAGTCAAGCATACTGATGCCAATTTGGGCCATTGAGAGAATGAGAATTCAGAACTTGCTCAGAGTTCTTGGAATGCCTGAGTAATTACAACTGAGCAGAAAGTGACTCTGTAAAGCCAGGTTGCCCGATCAACACAGCTAATCATTCCCAAAAAAGAAAAGAAGCACTATATATTTGCTTTGTATTTGTTCGATGTATGAATCCAACAATGCTGATTACATTCTACCCCCTTCCTTTTATCTACTGAATTTGATATTCTTCAGAAAATCAAAACTAGGCTATTTCTGAACTCAGCTCATCTCCTACATTGATACGAGTTAGGGAACCGCGTTGATAACACATGGTGTTTCAGCTTTATTATCAAAGCGAAGATTCCATAGCAGGGAATATGAAGTAATGCCACCGAGCAGTACCTACAGGGCACAGAAGAAGGGTCAGCAAATCATCTCAATTATATTATTATCATGTAAATATCATATCACATGGCTTTACTTGGGAAGAATGAATGGACAATAATCAGCAGAATATGAAGGCAAATGCTAAGAATTACGCACCAGAGCGGAGCATAGGAAGATGACAAGTCAAGAAATGGATATGGCCACCTGTTTTAGGAGGAAAAAAGAAATCGATGTTACAGATGCAAGAAGTTTTCAGAGAGATGAGATCAAAGAAAATTTATTACGATTTTTACCAGAGCTTAACGCAAGCATGAAGAATCCACTGGAAAATCACATATGTGACTGTCCACATGCAAAAGTACCCTACTCGGAACCAGGGGAATCGCTGGAGAGGAAAATTACAAGTTTCCGTTAGAAAATTTAATAGTACAGTTCTTTTACCAAGGGTTTGTCATCAATTTTCGGACGAAAATATAACATGTTAATTTTTTTTTAGAATCAACATATGAAGACGCATACCAGGCAATTTAAAGCCGTGTCTCCAAGAAGGAAAACAGCATTGACACTGTGCATATTGATAATCAGCTGCCACAGGACAATTCAACATACCGTTATTGAATTATTCAGAAAGACAGTTAGAAGTTTGAAATCTTCTCTTTCTTTGTTAAGAGCAGAAGTGAAAACAGATAGAGACAGCTTAATGCCATAAACGAATGGTACTTACAAAATTCAAGTTGTAATCTTTAATGGTTAGAAACGGAACAATTATGAACCAAAATACGCAATCTGTGAGCATTACAGCGCCGGCATTCATCTGTTCACAGGTGAAGAAAAAAGAATCAATAAATTAGCCAGTGTTGAAGCAAAGAGAAAGACACTTAGCATAATGGGTAAGAGGACAATGTACTTAAAGATATAAACTCGTTATATTCCGCCATTTGAAGAAATTAGAAGGGGGGGGGGGCTTAAATAAACCAGTGAGCTATGAAAACGTACCTGGAAAAGTATTTGAAAGATGTAGCCCCAAGTGCCAGCAGGTTGGCGACCAGGATCTTCAACTGGAGGGTTTAAGGTTTTCTGGTGGTTAGAGCCATTAGAGGTTTGTGAAAGTCCATGAACATCATAAATGCCCTGTTCTGCATCTCCATCAACATTATCAACTTTGTCACCACTCGCTTTCTTATGATGTCTGTAACATCCATGCATTGACAGCAAAGACCCCAGCTGCAATAACATCATACAATGGCAGTGTTTATGAGAGATTTTTGCAGTAAGAAACAAACTAGATTCTAAAACAAAACGACAGATCCATTATGTATAGCAGTTGAGCAGTACTTACCCCAAAATAAATGGTGATTGAAGTAAATGTCCACCTGTTTTGAAACCCCAAACAGAAAATGAGATATTAGGAACCAAGAAAGAGACGACTGAGAACAGAATTTATCATCTTTTTCGTCATAGACTTTTTGTTCTAATGTTAAAACGTAGGATGATGCTAAACTAAGGCTCTAATAAATGCGATGTCGCCATCGAAAGCAGCCAAATTTTGAGATAACGATTTCTTTCCAGGCCATGAATTTTGAGATGACGATTGAAATCAAAAGGGAATGAGAGGCCTTACTGAGTGTAAAAATAGAAAATGCTTCCTCCGTCTGTAACAGCAGTGATGATGAGCAGAACCAAAAGCACAATAAACGCGATAACTCTAAAGACCAACAACCAGACAGGGTGAACTCCCTTTAGACATGGCCTCCATGTTTCATCCTCGTACAAAACTCCTAGTGTTTCTTGTTGCTGGGTTTCTCTGCTACCTCTTCTCGAGTTCCTTAAGGTTTCATTTTTCCATATAAGAAATATTGAAGACATGGCTGTGATTAAAACCCAAGCGGCACAAACCAGAACCCTCCAATTTAACCAGTAACCTGTCGTTGTTGTATCTGCAGTCATAATGGGTTGCCAAGAACTTTTGGGAGGGCCTGTTAAAAAACTCATGGCGTTCGTTACTTCTGATTTCTTGGTCTTGTTTCCACTTCCCAAATTAATGCAGAGTGGAAAAAGAATGAGCCAAAAACTGTCAGGAAAAACAATAGTTGAAGAATGAACAAATTGAAATGGTTATATATATGTTGTAATGAGAGGCCTTAATGCCTCGCAACGATAGAACTGACTTGCCAGAAGAGGCGAGAAGACATTTAAGCAGTGAAGCGAGAAGGAGAAGATGAGGTGAAGGGGAAAGTGGTCATGGGTTTCTCATGCACTTTTCAAAAATGGGAACCTCTGAAAATTTGCCCAGGGCAGCAAGAATAAAAAAAAATGATAAAGTTAAAACTGGATGACCCATTTTGACCACATTAAAACCCCTTAGATTACGTAGAGATTCCAACCTTTGGGTGGATTTAAGCACAGAAAGATACACCGACAGGTTTAATATTAGAATAATGAGGTCTATAAAGGAAAAGTAGGAGCTAATCTCTGTAAGCAAAGAAAAGGTTATAACTTACAAGGGAAAGCAACGCGGATGTGGAGGAGTGAGGGGAAGAGATGCTTTGCTTCTTTGCTTTGTTCAGAAAACTATTAAAGACCAAACTGAGAGAGAGAGAGAGGGAGGGAGAGAAGGAGAAAGAAAAGGATGGTGTGCTTTGAGCATAAGCTTCTCTTGGTTGCTTTTCTTATTATCCCAAACAATATCTGTTTAAATAAGCGCCAGAGACAGAGTGCTCTGTACTCTTAATCTTCCACATTCCCATGCAAATATAAACTTCCAAGACACAACACACGCATGTTTTTGTGGACATTTCTTGGAGTAGCTGACAATCTTGCCATTGCAATACTTTTTATCATAATATAATTTTTTTTTTATTTTGTTTCTGAATCTCTAGAGAAAGAGGAGAGGGACCAGAGAGAGCACTTGTATTTGGATTTTGTATTGGACTGCTTGGAACGAAGATGCTTCCTGTAACCCAAGAACTGTTGTGCTTTGTATCTGTCCTGTGTTGGTGATAAAAGGAATAAAGTGCTGACCGAGAATGAAATGACAGCGCCCCAAAAAAAAAAAAAAAGGATGCTTTAAGGATATGATATGTTGCATTCAAGTACAGGAGACCGCCAGTTGGGACCAATGATTTGTAACATGATGATCAGTTGATTGCCCATTGTGCTACGACATGATTCGTTCTATGAGGGAAGTTTAATACTCCTGGCTACCAACATCTTGAGCATTTTAATTATTCATTAATAATGAGTTTAAGTTACCTTGATTAAATCTGAACTTGGTCAATATTGTATGATATTTAAAAACAAGAACAAGTTTTATGTGATAGAATATTAAAAAATAAATGAACGTTTATGGGTGAGAAGCAAAATAAGAACTGGTGAGTAAGATGGATTTTAAAATGATAAAAAAGAAAAAGAATGAATAGGGTAGTTAAACATGAAGGAGAGAGGGAGATATGATGAAAGGGTTACAGTTAAAGCATGAGATTGTTGCTGCTTTTAGGACATCAGACGGTGGGCCCCACCACCCTTCTTGACCTGGACTCCGAGGAGGAGCCCTCCAAGCTGACGGTGGTCTCCGGACCTGACATGTGACAACTGGAAAAGCAACCACTACGGTTACCCATGTTCCGTGAGCCCAAAGCATGAAAATGAAATTACGTGGTAATGAATTTTTGTTTTTTCTAAAGATATTTTCTTAAATTTAATACTACGTAAAAAATTACACGTCAATGTAATTTTTGAAAAGCATGCATAATAAAAGCTCAGAATAAAACGTGACCCACCAGATTGTGACGCCTGCCCATTATTTTTTTTTTTCTTTTTGGTAATCCCACTCTTTATGGTTTCTTTTATCTGGCTTTCTAAGGCATCAGCTTGGTCCCCAAGAAATCAATCGCCGGTTTGAGCAATCCACGAGAAAATGTCGGGCACAGTTTCCTATGATTGTGTAATACTCATCTCTACATGATGGTGACCAGTTTCGGTTCCTTGCTGCCATGAAATCCACATTATTCAATATTTAGATACAGTTTTAATTGTTAAATTTAAAATTTTTAATTAATAATTTTTTTAAAAAAATTAAAGTTAAAAATTACATCTATTTTCGATTACCTATCTATTAAAGAAAATAATTTTAAAAAAATATATTAAAAAATTTAATCTCGACCGTTCATATTAAATTTAAACAATTGATATTTGATGAGTATCATGATGCTTGTCATACTATAAGTGCTAAAAATGACTTCTAACTCCTTTTTTTAATATGAGAATTGTTTCATTGATCTGAATAAATTAAGAAAATTAATCACATTGTTAATAATATTTGTGTTAGATTTTTTAAAAATATCTTTTTTATTAACATGCATTGTAGCTGTTATTGATGAAAATCTGTTATTATATATAATCAATAGGAATGCTTATTAAAAAAATTATAATTTTGGGAGATATAGTTAATTGAATTCTTATATTAAGGATGAAAACAAACTCATGCCTAGCTATCATATTTAAGACAGGAGGTAACATATTATTTATGGCTTATAAATAATATGATTTATTAAAAAAAATTTTAAGTTATACAAAATTTAAACCTATTTTAAAATTTAAAAAAACTTATGCAATTTCATCTTTGCCTCTTAATCACTCTAGAATTTTATATTAAATTTGATAACATATAACCACAGACATCGACTCTAATTTTTTTTGGTATAAGCTGCAAAAATTCAAAAAAAAAAAAAAGGTAGAAACTACGTGTGAAAAGCTCATTGTACATACAAACTAAATTACGAGAGATTTCTGTATTTTATGAGCGGGAAATCCATCATATCAAATTAAGTTATCGACATTATGTTCATTAAAATTTAAAAGCTAACAAGTTTGGCATTAGCTTCCATGAAAATATAATGACTTGTAATGTTCATTTTATGTAAAGGTAGGAATGAATATATGGAATTTGTTCAAATTCTTTATTATTTGTGAAAATATTATATTATAAAACAATAAATTGAAGGTCCAAGTTATCAGATCTGGCTTTATATTGAAAAAAATGTGGTGTAAAATAAATATAAAAAGCGGGAATAAAGGAATATACCAAAAATCCAACTTTTCTTAGCATTTGATGCATTTGAATTCGATAGGTATGAAAGGGAGAGTGAATTAAGGAAGCAAGGCTTGCACATCAAGCAAGTTAAAGCTTCAACTTTTGTTTTGGGAGGGCTTTCATTTTTGTCTATGTTGAGGGAATATATCAGCTCTATTGCTATAGCGACAAATGAAAAATAATTTTCTCATTCCTTTGACAAGTTGCGACCAAAGGCAAAGACCAAATTCCAAAATCCCTTTTGCAAGATTTTAATTTCTTTTTTTTTTGTCTTTATTTTTCTTGCATTTGATGATTATTTATATTTTCTCGATCCGCTCATTCTAACGTTCATAAATGATTTTTCATTCTTAAAAAGAATCAATTTTACCAGATTTATGAGTTGTTATAAGTAATTTGGAAAATAAAAAGCTTGAAATATGTTATGAAAGCAAATCTTAAGAGAGAGTTCAATACCAAGAAAAAACCAAAAAAACTACTCAATGTGAAAACCAAACATTTCAATTGTGAGATTTCTCAATAAGAAACTCGATAATGCACCCTTTTCAAGAGATAACATCTCTAATAGTTCCATATATATCATACCCTCTCCGTAAACATCACCTCTTAATTAAAACACTTTTGTTATAAACACAATCCCAAAAGAAATAACTTAATTTCAAGAGACCAAATGTATTGAATAAAAGAACCCATTAAAATTATAAATCGTATTCTACGTGCAAATCTTTGTTAAAAAATAATGACAATTAATTGGCTGTTAAGCTATTAATTAATAGCGATAAATGATTTAGAATATTGACACTATCTTCCATCCATGCAAAGAAATGTAGAGATGATACAGACATACACATAATTTGATATTATACGCATGCGCCGGCGCTTTTTAATTAGTTTTGCATGATAACGAATGGACTTAATGAAGGTCAAGAATATCCTCGTAGTGACGAAGGGTTCCCTTTTTGTTAATTCCTTACAAAAAGTAACCATTCATTAAACAATAACCTCAAGTAACACATTGGGAGCTAAAGTTTTAATTCGAAGCTTCTTCTTTGAAGCACTATTCAATTCACAATTAATGAAGATCACAAGCTTTTGAGCTAGCTCGTGATTAAATTAAAATGCCCATTAAAAATATACGGATTTTGATGAATTGCCATCAGACAAATATGCGGGAAGTATCGTTGCCTCTCTTATTTGAGGAAAAAAGAATCGAATGGACAAAAAGAATGTTGCACAATATACCTGTTTCACGCAATCATACATCGTCCGTTCAAAATTATATGCTAGTCGTATAGAATTAGTTCCAACGTTTGCCTTTAGATTACTCGCAAAAGTTTAGGTTCATTTTCAGACCACGGGAATCATCCCAAAAATAGAATGAATGAATAAATAAATGAATAATCAGCCAACACGAAACGCAGAATTAATTATCAGCAACACACTTGTCTGGCAAATGTCGATCGAATATGCCAAAAGCTAAGATTCGGATTTCAAATCATGTCATCAACAAAGAGTGATGAAATTACAGAAACGCATATAGTAGGACGTACCTTTCATGAGAACCTGTGCAGTTGAAAATTTGAAATAAGCTTGAATTAAATGAAGCTCTGGCATAAGAGCACAAGCTTTAATAATATTAATAATATGATTTAATAAAATAATGACATTTTAATTTTGAATCTAGTAAAATAGAGATACATTGAGCGTCCCTTCATCTTTTTGAAAGTTTTCTGGTTATGTAAATTACGGATTCTACTATCTGCTGTGAGGTTTGTTATTTGATGAATCAGAATAGCTGCAAGTTTTAACTTTTAACCAAAAGGTTACTTTACTTGATTATTGTGGAACTTTATTATTTTAAGAATAGAATACAGTGACCAGTCTTCCGTATGGTTAAAATTACGCAGATTATCTTTCTCAATTTTTAATAATTCCGTTAGAAATATTCCGCTACATATCCTGAAATGTTTAAATTTTTATTTTATAATTATGTTAACTAATTGAAAATTATTAATTCGTCTGCTTTCTCTGTGTCTAATGTAAATTAGTTAATCATTCAATTAGTTTTTTAAAAAGAAAGAAAGAAAAAGAAACAAGGGGGGTGGAAACTTCAATAGATTTCATGAACCTTGTGTGAATTGGACGGGTACGAGAAAGGGCTTTCTGGCCTATGTTGGTCGCCAAATAAACGTTAGCCCACGATCATCATTCAGCATCGTCCTCCCCCACAACAGCTGTGCAATTCCAATTATGTTTCAAGTTTGGACGAATCCCATATCAAACCAAAAACCAAAAAACAAAATAAAACACATTACAGGTTAATTTTCTAAAGCAAAAACATGGTTGTAGTATACTTATATTCCACGAAAAACTTTCAAGTTTGGGCGCAGCATTAGGTACAAAGCACAGTAGGGTTTTTCCCGTCCTGAGAGCCAAACTAAACACACACCTTTGCTGATAACAGAGGAAACCCACCCCTACACTAAAACTCACTTGCCAAAGCGTGCATGTGCCATTGGGGCCCCGGGCGAAACACAGTATTTGAATGAACTGTAATATATACGTTATGTACAGACATTATTCATAAGAGTCAGAGATTTTACACTTCACAGAAATGCGTATTTTAAATGTTCCGGATGCCGATCTGACGCATCTCCGATTCGAGGATGATGCCGCAGCCCGCTCTCAAATATAATGACCATCATCATCTCCCAGTAGAGACAGAGAGAAGGGAGCAACAGCCACGTTAAACGATGGTGACCCTATTCTATCAACATGTATCATCTCAAAGTCACCTTCCTGCATTATGACAAAGATAACCAGACTTAAGGCGCTTGTTTTTCTGATGAAAGGAAACATATCTGTAAAAGGTCAAAACTTGACGTGAAAATAATCGTGCTTCATGAACATAATAAGCAGATGTAACCAGTGGATCCGAATCAACTTAGAGGTGTCCGATATGGGGCTTGATTTCAATTTTCCTCCCTTTAAGCCAAAATCGCGGCGTCAACTCATTCTGTGGTAATAAACAAATCTGTCATGACATTGATTCAGTTATACTTTTACTTTTTGGTTTCCTCTATCTAGGTGACGTGACCGCCAATTATTGAGCGGGTAATGGTAGTTGTTTGGCTTCAAGGGGCACTGACTCAAACATGATGTCACATATGGATATTTCAGAGGAGAACCATTGCAGGTTTCCTAGATGAAGGCTTTTACGGAACCTTGCTATGCCAAGGTGGCAGTAAACAGTTTAAATACGAAAATCACAGCTTGATGCGATTCAGTTTTAGTATGACTACGGAGACTATACCTGTAGAAGATCTAATTTAAAGAAAAATATTAGAGATTAAATCATTAATTTATTTTAAATTTTGCATACAAGAACAAAGGATACAAATTAGTCTTACCATTCTGCCATTTGGTGTGCTTATTGGACATGCTGAAGAGTATTCAAAACTAGTCCTAGGAAGCATTACAGGCTGTTCGCCAACAACCCCCATCCCCCTGTCATGATGGAAAACAGTTCAAGACTTGTATGTTGAACTTGAATAATCACGGATTCAAACAATAAAAAACACCAAGAAAGTTTCAAGAATAAAGATTGCCGAGACAAGAATAATCAACTCACCAGACATTTTCTGTCTTCCCATTTGCATCCGTTATAATCCAATGCCTTCTAAGAAGTTGAACAGGGCGGTCAGAGTTGTTCGTAATTCTGATTCTGTATGCAAAAAAGTAAAGCCCCTTTGAAGGCTGACTTCTTCCCTCTATATATGCACTTCTAACTTGAACCCTGATTCCCTGTGTAAAGTGGATATTTAACTTTAGAAGCTTGGACTTATTTGGTCATAGGTATGGAATTTCTTTAGATGTAACCATGCACTAGAAATACTATTTAATATTCAACAAAATATGAGGTCGGAGAACAAATACTTGCTAATTGAAGTAGTAGTCATACCAAGGTTGTTGCAGTACTTGAACATTTTAAGAGACCGTGTGGACCAATTTCTCTAAGCTCATCACGATATTTTGCTGCATCCTATTTGGGGAAAAAAAAAAAACGAAAACAGAGACTCAAAAGGTGGATTTACGATAAAATCATTATGCTCTGTCACCGTGAAATGAAAGATGATATATAAACTGATTTAAAAGAAAAGGAACAATGAATGAGATTGCCTTCTCTATAATATTTCCTTCACAGAAGGAACCAAAGTGTAATGTAAACCTTCAAATAAGGTCATGAAAGCTAAAACAAAATGCACAACATAGCATTTCGATCAGCCATAACTTAACTTGACAAAATAAAAAAATTACACTGGCTGCATTGAAAATTTAATCAGCAATATATAATGGTTTAGTTGAAGCTTGGCAGAAAACAACAACTCAACAAGGTCGGGTGACAGGTAGATACCAGAAACCTCTCCTCAGCAATGGCTTCTTTCATTAATCTCCGCAGACGCAAAACTGGCTCCTCCTCTTCAAATGATCTAATCGAATCACGAATCCTCGCAGCTTCCTTGTAGTCCTACAAGCCAGCATGAAATTTCAGCTAAAATATATTGCCATCTGATGCGAAGGAAAATACTCAATGAGAAAACTAACCAAACACAGACCTCGGACTTCGCAGCTAGCTCCATTTGCTGCTTTAAGAAGGCATATGTGTGGCTCCGAGACAGAAACGAGCTCGGACCTGCACTTTGACTCGCACTCCGAATCTCCCCTCTGCCATTCTCATTCCTGTCTGCAATACAGGCCACGATTCCATTCGTTCTCTTCAGGTTCCTGCAATTTACCCAATGCCTCCTTCCTCGCAAATTGTTATCGCAGAAATCAGACCCTCCGCGACCCGGCAGACGCAAATTCAAGAGAGCCTTAGAACTTAAAGATTGCATTGCCTAATGCTGCAACTAGTCTCGAGAATTTTTCAGTGATTTCAAAAAATTTCCCGAGAACAATACGATAGAAATCCTATCGTATCGGCAGCTTTCTTTGTTGATTGCTCACAGCGATGCTGCTCCTATTGGAGGGAATCCAACATATATAGTTATAGCTTGGGAGATTTTCCTGTTATCTTTCTTGAGGCTGCCAACGATATTCCCGGGCTTCGCTATTCTTTGGTGGGTTTTTGCCTAGATAAGCAAATTAGCCATTATCCATTTAAGGAGATTTAAATCAATAACGAGCAGACGAGGCCATGGCACGGACTCAATATCCGCCTTGGATTGTGTCTGAACTCTGAACCACAACACAGGTATCGGAATTTTGGTGCCGGCCGCAAAGACGCACGTGTCGCTTTTATGTTGGCACGAAAATATTTCCCCTCTAATAAATACTAAATGCAGAAAGGCAAATAGTAACTTCAAACGTGGCGCAATTAATGCCCCTCTTTCTATTTTTAATTTAATGGACGAAGAAGGCAAATTACTACTCGTTTTTATCGTCTAAAGTATCAAAATTGGGTTAAGGTCTATTAACACTCCAAAATATTTTTTTTGTGTCCATCTAGTATTTTGAAATACTTTTTTGCCTTGATATTAGATATTGAGTATTAGACGCACCTAAAAAAAAACTTTGATAAGGTGTTAGATACATCAAAAAATAATTCGCAGTACTGAACGTACTTAAAAAATATTTTTAGGTGCTAGATAGATGTATCTGAAAAAATATTTAGAGATGATGGATACACATTTAACCTTATTAATTTCAAATAATTATCAAAATTAAAAAGGTCAAAAAAAAATTTTAAGGTGTTCAAATGTAAATTAAGACCGTACTTAACTTTCTCCCCGAGTTTTTCTCCCACATTTCCTTTTCCGTCTTTTTTTGGAAGCCCATGGATCTGATTCATTGTCTGATCGAAGCAGTAACAAAACAGCAGTCTCAGTTGGCATTATGGGCCAATCAATGGTTTTCCTGTCAATTTACAATACACTTCCTCTTACCTCCGGTTCTAATATAGAAAAGTTAATTAATTAATTTAAATAGTTTTAAAAAAATATTTAAATTAATTATTTATAATAAATATGTGTTATTTTTTGTAAAATATCCTTATTAATCATGCGTAGCTAGAATTATTATTTGATGTAACATTTAATATGTGCAACTATTATAAAAATTACCGTAAAAATAAACAAATATAAGAGATAAAGTAAATTGAGGATCTCACATTTAGAACCAAAATGAATCTTAAACTAACTCTTGTATTAAAAACATGAGGTAGTAATAAAAAGGGCCAATAAAAATTGGTCTGATGATAGGTATCGAATTGGCTTATAACTTAATAAGATTGTGGGTTGAAATCCAAAGACTTTGTTAACAGATGATTTATAAGTTGCTCATCCAAGGCAATCCAAATGAAATGAGAGGATGTGACACGTCCAGGAACAGACATTGATGAGAAAATGAGCAGTCTCCTGCAGTTGCCTGACATGAGTGGGAGGGGCATTTTTATTAAAATACTGCAAACAGTTAAAAAAAATTACTAAAATGCTACATATTTAAAAGAATTTAGTCAAATAATACATCACAGGTCCTTCACACCAAAAACGAGTTTCAATTTGTGAAGAACTCGTTCACGCTGAAAACTCCTTGGTGAAACGACTTGTAATGTAGTTTTCAACATGAACGAGTTCTTCACAAATCCAAACTCGTTTTTTGTGTGAACGATTTGTAATGTAGTATTTGAGTAAATTTTTTTAAGCAGGTAGTATTTTGGTTTTTTTTTTTTTACTGTTCGAGTATTTTAGTAAAAATGTCCCAGATTTGATTTTCCCATCGTGAAAAGCAACATTCTTTATTTTTCACCACATCAAGCGTAGTAAAATGATAACTCCCCGTAAGGGCCAGGTTCCTTTTTTGAATTGTAGAGTGCAGCAAAAATGGACTTGATCCAGTTAAAAATGCCAAGATCAGCAAAGTGAGAAGAGTGCATGGATAAAGCACTAAACCAGGTTTATAAAACATCAACTGATTCACTATCAGGAATTGGGTCTATTGAAAGGAGCTAGTCCCTCATAGACGAACCAAGATTTGAATCCCTACTAGAAAAGATGCTCACATTTTGTGTCCGACAATACCTGAAATAGAATTGCTTTCAATAGAAAGATACCTATGTTTCAGTAAAACAAAAATATCAACTGATTCCTTTTTTTTTTTCACCAGCAAAACTGATTCCTTTTCAGAGCATCCAAAAACACCCCAATAATTTATTTTGAGATGATGTCTGATTAAAATATTACCCAGAAATATGAAAAGCATATGCTTTTTTTTTAATAAGATATAAATGCAGTTTCCACATGAAATTCCATATGTCTACCATGTTATTCCTTGGGAACACTAGATATGTGATGCGTTCTTCGAAGCCCTTTTTAAGCGTGATGTATTTGGTGAATTTTAATGATTTCAATAGCTACTAAAAAAAGACCTCATAAAACAAAACAAAAAACAACAACATAAACTAAAAGGGGGAAAAAAAAAAAAAGCGAGATGGAGGATTCGTACAGAAAGTAGATGCACCACTTGAAGGAAGGAGGCTAGCACCAATAATGAACGAAGCAACCACATGCAAGCTGCACCAGAACACATACACTACCTCTGTCTTACTTATAAAAAATATCTTGTAAAATTCTATATTTTGCTACCTCTGATACTTAATATAAAAACTAGTTAATTAATTTAAATAGATTAAAAAACTAGTTAAATTAGTTATTTGTAATAAATAAATATTATTTTTCTTAAAATATCTTTACTAATCAAGCATATTGGTTGGAACTATTATTATTACAAGGACTATCTTGAAAAAATAATGGATAAATATGAGAGACAAAGTGGATTGAGATCTTATATTTATGACCAAAATAAAAATCAAACAAACTTTTATATTAAAGATCAGAGGTAGTAATTAAAATCACTAATCTTATACTTAACAAATAATTAATGATGAGCACTAAATAAGAGTAAAATTGAAAAAGAAAAAAAAAATTCTTAATTCATTGACAAAAGGCTTCGATAGTGTACGATGAAAGCAATCACAACTTCTATTCACTCTTTTTAATTTTTTAAAATCATAAAATTATTCTGAAGTCTCAATAGATTTTTTTGCAATAAATTTTATTTGTTTAATTACCAAATTGCTCTTATTATTTTTTTAAAATTTGCATTGACAACTGAAAAAGTAACCGTTGACAACTTAAGATGCAAAGATTAATAACTATCACGGCGGGTATTGACAACATATTTTCTCAACACATCAAAAAATGTAATACATGAATTGTCAATACTTGCCGCAATAGTTGTCAGTTCTTGCACCTTAAATTATCAACCACTACTCTTTCAGTTGTTAATGCAAACTTAAAAAAAGAAGAAAAAGAAGAAGAAGAAGGGTAATTTATTGCAATAAGGTCTTTTGATACTTCAGAATTAATTTTATGATTTTAAAGAATTTTTTTGTATTTAATTTTCTTGATTGGGACGCAATTGTAATTTTTCCTTTCTTTTTCTGTATGTTCTTGAAGCCATGGATATGATTCATTTTCTGATCGAAGCGGTAACAAAACAGCAGTCTCAGTTGGCATTATGGGCCAATCAATGGTTTTCCTATCAATTTACAATATGCTCCCTCTTACTTCTTCTTGTTCCAGCTAATTAACTAATTTAAATAGCTAAAAAAATATTTACATTAGTTATTTATAATAAATAAGTATTGTTTTTTATGAAATATCTTTTCTAATTATGTGTAACTACAATTATCATTTGATTAACTTTTAATACATGCAATTATTATAAGAACTGTCTTAAATAAATAAATAAATATAAAAAATAAAATGAATTAAAGGTCTTACATTTAAAACTAAAATGAATGTCAAATTAACTATTATATTAAAAACGTGAAGAAGTGATAAAAAAGGCCAACAAAGATTGGTCTAAAACGCATCAAATTGGCTCATAACTTGTAAGATTGTGAGTTGAAATCTATCCTCTTACTTTGTTAATAGATGATTTATAAGTTGCTCATCCAAGACAATCCAAATGAAATGAGAGGACGTGACACGTCCAGGAGCAGATACTGACGAGAAAATGAGCAGTCTCCGACAATTGCCTAACATGAGTGGGAGGTATGATTTTCTCATGATGAAAAGCAACATTCTTTATTTTTCACCAAATCAAGCGTAGTAAGATGATAACTCTTCGTGGGAGCCGACTTCCTTTTTTGAATTGTAAAGTGAAGCAACAGTGGACTTGATCCAGTTAAAAACGCCAAGATCGCGCAAAGTGAGAGGGGCGCATGGATGAAGCACTAAACCTGATTTATAAAGTATCAACTGATTCCTTTTCAGGGCATCCAAAAACACCCCGATAATTTATTTTGAGATGATGTCTGATTAAAATATTACCCAGAAATATGAAAAGCATATGCTTTTTTTTTTTAATAAGATATAAATGCAGTTTCCAGATGAAATTCCATATGTCTACCATGTTATTCCTTGGGAACACTTGATACGTGATGCGTTCTTCGAAGCCCTTTTTAAGCGTGATGCATTTGGTGAATTTTAATGATTTCAATAGCTATTAAAAAAGACCTCATAAAACAAAAAACAACAACATAAACTAAAAGGGGAAAAAAAAAAAAAAAGAGCGAGAGGGAGGATTCGTACAAAAAGTAGATGCACCACTTGAAGGAAGGCGGCTAGCACCAATAAGGAACAAAGCAACCACATGCAAGCTGCACCAGAACACATATACTACCTCTGTCTTACTTATAAAAAATATCTTGTAAAATTCTATGTTTTGCTACCTCCGATTCTTAATACAATAGTTAGTTAACTAATTTAAATAAATTTAAAAAATTAGTTAAGTTAGTTATTTGTAATAAATAAGTATTGTCTTTCCTAAAATATCTTTGCTAATCAAATATATTGATTAGAACTATCATTATTATAAGAATTATCTTAAAAAATAATGAATAAATATGAAAGATAAAGTGAATTAGGTCTTATATTTAGAACCAAAATAAAAGTCAAACAAGCTCTTATATTAAAAATCAGAGGTAGTAATTAAAATCACTAATCTTATACTTAACAAATAATTAATGATGAGTAGTATTAAATAAGAGTAAAATTGAAAAGGAAAAATAACTCTCTTAATTCATTGACAAAAGGCTTCGATAGTGTAAGATGAAAGCAATCACGAATGCTATTCACTCCTTTTAATTTGTTTCCTAAGAATTTTCATATTTTTGAAAACTCCCCAACATTTTATTTTATTTGGAAAATGCATCTCGGTGATCATGTATAATTTGTTTTGCGCAGGCATGACACGGAAAATTGTTGTTACGTGTTTGAATTTTGTAGCCAATCGTGTATCCATGAGGCCTGCCACCCAGTTCTCATTTGCACTATTTCTAGAGGGAAGTTTCTGAATGAGATAAATGTGAGAAACTGAGCATGGGTTGAAATTTGTGTGGAAAAATAAGTTTAATTTGTACAATTTCTTAAATTTTTTATATTTTACATAAACTGATGGCCGATGCTCCAATATCATATGTCATTTATACACATTTTGTTATTAGTTAATGATTTATAGAATATTTTTAAGAGTTACTCCAGGTTAGACTCATGATCCAATCAATAATGATATAAAAAAATAAGTTAGCTTTTTTTTTTTTTACCTGAGATATTTTATTACATTTGCTAATGGCACTGTCAATAGAAAATGGGTATCATCTCTCCTAAAATGTTTGCATCATAAAAAATGTATTAAATGTGTAAATGTGATAAACAGAGAGTGAGAAAAACTATAAAATTAATTATAGTAATATGAACAAAAATTAAACAAGGGAAACAAAAAATATTAAAATCCTAGATTTAGCATTAAAATAAATCTCTCAATCAGGTTTTTATATTTAGCACTACAGAGAATATTATTCTTCAACTACAGAAAAATGCAGCTCCAAATATATTATACTTGTGTTAATGTGTGGGAAGGAGACTGATTTAATATTTCTTATATATCCATCGATTTCACCATAAATCAACACATATATGTAACAAATCTTGTTATTCACAAGCTAGGAATTCAAACTTAATCGCAACCGTTGTATATGATGCTCATGATCCACGTCTTGTTTTGATCAATGTAAATATCATTAATATCAATGCACACATAAAATATTCATCAACATTAATCTATAAACAGCCCAACTCTCAGGTCAAAAAAAAAAAAACAGCCCAACTCAATTTGCATTTCATACCATGCATAAAACTTTAAAAAACAAAAAAAGTTGTTAATTATAATCTGGCAGTTGCCAGTTGCCAGTTGCCTAGCAAACATTGCGCTTCTAGCATCACCTTTATTTCAGAAAAATAATATTACCTCCGGTCTTAATTATAAGAGCCAGTTGACTAATTTAAGGAGATTAAGGAAGTAAGTTGAGTTAGTTATTTATCTTAAATATGTGTTGTCTTTCCTAAAATATCCTTGCTAATTAAATGTATTGACTAGAACTATCATTGTTAGAAGGGCTACTTTGAAAAAATATATATAAATATGAGAGACAAAGTGGATCGGAGTCTTATATTTATGATCAAAATAAAAGTTAAATAGGGTTTTATATTAAGGACCGAGGTAGTATTTTTAATGTATTATAGTTTTTTATTGTAGTTTAAAATGCAGACCATAAATATTTAATTTTTTTTATGGCAACGTATTATGTAATCTTTTAATTCTTTGGCGGGTGATCTAACCTTAGGTCGAGTTGTAATAAATTAGTAAATATCCAATTAAGAAATCGTATATATATTTTTATGGTGATATTATATACCTAACAATTAAACATTTCTGGTGTTACACAAACACTAGGGTGAGCAGCATTTTCCTTGACTTATAAATATCTATAAATAGTATAATTTTGTTTTATTAAAATATTTAATCATTTATCATCAAATTTCATTTGGTTTTTGCATCTTAGTTTGTTTTGCATCAATAGGCCTCACCTACTGCGTCACCAACCCTGTTTCATGAACGGACGGAGGCTTCGAGGGCTGCTCTTTTCTCTTTGAAAAAGGAAGATCCTTTTGCTCGCCCCAACCTTTCTCCCTCATTTTCTGAGTCAGATCTTCCAAGTTCCAACATGCAGAGCTCAGCCTTCACTCTTTCTCCTTCTCTTCCTCTTCTCAAGTCCCGCTCTCGCAATCCTTGTCGCTTCGATCCCATACGCCTCTCTGCTTCTTCCTCTTCCAAACCCAATGTCGCTTGCTCCTCCACTTCTTCCACGCGCCGATCCTGGTCCCTTGCTTCTTCTTCATCCCCTTTTGCTTTCAGGCCCTGGACATCTTTCACCACACTTTCTTCCTCCGATCCTGATGCATCTCCTTTTGAGGCCCGGGCTGCTTCCGTGCCTGAGAGCAGCAGTGAGGCATCCAGTAGTATGGCCAACACGTTGGTGCTTGGATCCTTATTTGGTTTCTGGTACCTCTTCAATATCTACTTCAATATCTACAACAAGCAGGTAATCAATTGTACATCTATCTCTTATTTCTTTTCTTTTCTTTTCTTTTTTTTTTTTTACGTGTTATCGATTCGGGATCTGTGTGGAAATGTTATGGTTGAATTCTGCCTTTCTTCGGGGTGTACTCGTCTCCTTTGGCACGAAATGGTGGAACTTTATACAATTGTAAGGCATATTCAATGTAAACGTTGGTTCAAAGTCTCACATTCCAACGTGGCTGGAAAATCTTGCGCAGTATTGTGCATTATTATTCGAACAGAACGGAAGTGAGTGACCGGCGAGTGTTCAGCTGAAGGCGGATGAATGCGATATATAATCTAATCTCTAGAGGCTTCTTCAGGATATTCATAACCTGCGAATTGCAATCCTTAGTGAGCGAATCATCACACAAATGAATTCTGCTTGTTTAAAACATATATTTGTCTACGAATAGTCTAATTCTGTTTATAACCTTGCACTATTCTTCACCTTGTTCACAGGTCTTGAAGGCGTTCCATTTCCCAGTCACCATCACTGCACTTCAATTTGCTGTTGGGACTATCCTTGTATTATTTATGTGGGGTTTCAATCTGTATAAAAGGCCTAAAATCAGTGGTGCCCAGGTATTTGGACCTGTGCAGAGTTAGCTATTCGGTTTCTGATGTTTGCACAATTTGTTCATTGTATTATTGACTGCAAGTGTTTTCTTGGCAGCTTGCGGCAATACTTCCACTGGCTTTTGTACATACCTTAGGGAACCTTTTCACAAATATGAGTCTTGGAAAGGTAGCCGTATCTTTCACTCACACAATCAAAGCAATGGAGCCCTTCTTCTCAGTGATCCTTTCTGCTATGTTCCTTGGAGAGGTGAGAATGCTATATATTTTTGCACCCTGTCTAATACAATAATCTGAGCCTGATGTCTTAACATAACTAAAATTTTGATGGTAAGCAAAATATTGTCATATTTTTCTCCTTCATTAACATAACTAAAATTTTGATGGTAAGCAAAATATTGTCATATTTTTCTCCTTCATGTATTTTGTTAATTAATTTGTTCAATAGCTTTATCGTTTTGAATTGGAGCTCATTGTGGATGGATTTTTTTTTTTCCTCATCTCAATCCACCATGCCTGTTTCTTACAGTTCCCTACACTTTGGGTAGTTTCTTCCCTAGTGCCCATTGTTGGTGGAGTGGCACTTGCATCAGTTACTGAGGCCTCCTTCAACTGGTAAAACGACCTCCGCCTTTAACCTTTTAGGGAAAAATAAGAGCACATGTAGCCTGATTTGAATAGAAGATATTTGGTCATTTAAATTCTAATAATTTGTTCCCCTTTTCTGTGGCATTTTTTTAAGGGCTGGATTTTGGAGTGCAATGGCATCCAATTTGACAAATCAGTCTCGCAATGTTCTCAGCAAAAAAGTCATGGTTAAGAAAGATGTAAGCTGATTTGTCAATTCTGAGAGTTTTTGGTCTATTTCATCATTCAAAATATTCTTTTTGCATTATAGTAGTACTTTTGACAGTTTTTTCTGTTCTTACTATATTGCCTGAACAAACAGAAAATGACATGCATCTTGTTCTTCTCAGGATTCTATGGACAATATAACCCTCTTCTCAATAATAACCGTTATGTCCTTCTTCATGTTAGCCCCAGTGGCTGTATTCATGGAGGGTGTTAAACTCACCCCTGCATATCTGCAATCTGCGGTGAGTGATTATTGTGGAATTGCTATTATGATAGTTGCAGGTTACGTTATTATTTTTTAAAATAAAAGAGGAAAAGGCAAAATAGAAATCAAGTTCACAAGCTGTTATGATAGTCGCAAGTTTCAACCAAATGACACCTTTTGGTGACCAGAGTGCTAATTGGTAATCACATCATCTTTATGACAGGGGTTGAATGTAAGACAAATATACATCAGATCACTTATTGCTGCACTGTGTTTCCATGCATATCAGCAGGTGAGTTTTCCTCTAATATGTATAATTGTTTCATCTTGCAACGTTTAGGTTTAAACATTTATTTTTTTTGGGTTTTCTACTTTTCTAAAATAATAGAATAAGTCCTTGGGCATCCTCTCTGGTTCACTGAAATCTCTGTCTACATAGTTAAGATACATTTAAGAGACAGTATGAGAACCATGCTGTCAAATCTCACTGGGGTAACTTACACCACCCCCCCTGGGGGCCCCGCGGGGGGGACAAAAAATGGCAACTTTGCAGGCGATATTTTACACTAGGTGATGGTCAATGGAGAGAAGGGGAAGCTACTCTATAGTGTAATATAAGGGAAGAGAAAGCAAAGCTATGCATAGACAATTCTACTCGTTATTACTAACAAAAGCCCTCTGGGTTCTCATCCATTATAGGTTGTGTTATTTGATGATCCTCTGTAAATGTGTCATGCAGGTTTCTTACATGATATTACAAAGGGTGTCACCTGTTACCCACTCTGTGGGTAATTGTGTGAAGCGGGTTGTGGTCATTGTGAGCTCTGTCATCTTCTTCCAAACACCTGTTTCACCCATTAACGCTTTTGGTAAAGTTGCTTCATTTTGGTTCCCATGGAAACATGTAAAACTCATTTTGAGGTTTGCTTGAACATTGACCTCACACCCCTATTATTATTCTTACAGGGACTGGCATAGCGCTTGCTGGCGTTTTCCTCTATTCAAGGGTGAAGCGAATTAAGCCAAAGGCCAAGACAGCGTAATAATTTTCTGTAGTATAGTTTTGCTAGTTGCGTATGAATTGTATTGTTTTTGTAGAACAGGCTGGGAAATTGAGGGTCTTCATTATTTTCCGCTCTTCTTTCTTTATTTAGCTATTTGTGATTTTTATTGTTTGTGGTGTAGCACCAAATGGTTCTGCTCCAACAAAACTTGAGTTTTTTTTTTTTTGGGTTTTTCGAGGAATCACAATTTCTTATGGGTCAAATGTATAATGTCCATCTGGCTACGCTTAGGCCCGTTGGACTCTGTAGGAAACGAGCCTGGGTCATAAATTGGGTAATAGACTCATCTTTCGGATCTTTTGAACTTTTTTTTTTTTTTTTTTTTTTAACGATGATGATGCATTGGTCTTTTTTATTTATGGTGGACGCAACGTAATTTCCCCAAAGCTTAATAGGAGCTGCCCCAAAAAAAAAAAAACAGAAAAAAGGTATTGATGGTGTGAGTAATCGGTTGGTTTCAATTTTAGATTAAAAATAAAAATATGGCATTTCCTAACAATCAACAGAATGAATATATTCGGTAAAAAAAAAATTAAGTATAAACAGCAACCAAGAATTTTAGTTGCCAATGCCTTTATCCAGAGCCAAGTTGTTCCTGAGAATGTAACTTGTGGTCCTTCAATATCTGTGGGCATCGGTGCCATTGAATCAAAATATAACAATTCCAAAATATCATTGCATCAATAATACCAATCTAATATCTTCATATTATATACTTATATTTGAAGATAGGACGCCAATAATTAAAATTCTACTCTTATTTCATTCAACACGTAATCCATTAATTTCTACGAGTCCCTTCTTTCAAGTCTTCTTCATCCTATAACTTCGTATGCATTACGAATTTTAATACAATAATGAGACGTGAGTTATTTATTTATTTGTTTGGTTTTGAACAAGATATGAGATTTTTTAAAAAAATAATTCGACTTATTTAGTTCACATTAGGGAACTTTATTTTTTATTTAAACACTTTATGTTACCCAAAGAAGAACCTTTACAATTGCCTTTATTACAGTATTTAATGAAACCAATTGAAAATTGTTAATTCTAGTCAGTTTATTTCACTCAAACTTTTCAGTTATTTTAGATATTACTGCTCTTTGATGCTCAAAATAATCCCTGCTTCCAAACCATTCAAGCTCAATCATCAACCTCACACGAAAACCAACATCAGCCACATTGATTTGTTTCCGGTTCACCAGTTTACAAGCTTGTTCAAACTTTGACCATCACTACTTAAACCCAATAACTTCACCAACTTATCTATGAAGTCGCACGTACTGTATATAATTTACTCATATATGAACGAATGTTTGACTATAATAATGGTGAAAACATAACGGCAAAGATATTATACTTGTTCTTTATTAACCTTAATGACGCTTACCAACGTAGTCATCAAATTAAAATGTAAACAATATCAATAATGATATAATGCTGGATTAGGGCATCATTTTTTTCGCTCTGTTGTTTCAAAATATGAAGCAATTTAGGCCATTGGATGCATCAAAACCAATTAATTGCGATGCAATTAATGCATTCTCATCCTCTCCTATTAAGGAAGATGGACTTGAAACGCTGAAGCTGGCTCTTACCCTCAATATTTCTGTTACTGTTTCTGCCATGGATCTTCACACGAATCTCAGAGATAGCTCTTACACCTCATCACAGCCAATGCATCTTCAAGAAACTTACTTGAGGCCTAATATGACGAAATTAGATGAATCTCCTTTTGGGGTTCCTAATTCATCACAGGGTTTCTTGCAAGATTTTAATTACCACGTTGATCATCAGCACCATCATCATAATCAGTTTCACCTTAATGAGTCTTCTTCATCCAACCCAGCTTTTGGAGGGATCCATACTTTGAGTTTTGATTCTTTTGATAACTTTGATGTTTATGAGTGCAAGCCTATTGTTGAGATCAATAATAATGGGCATGCTCAGGTTTTGGATGATTTCCAATATGGAGCTAATTGTAGCTTGAACGTCCCTCAGAGAAATGAAGCCAACATGAACCAAACCTATGTGCCTTTCAATAATTCCCAGGAAATCATAAGGCCTGTGAATTTTGTTGTGCCAGATGAACTCTCATGCATATCCCCTTCGGTGAATTATTACAGAAAAGTTGGCTTCAATAAGAAAAGTAATAGGGTATCATCATCTCTAAGAAGGACTAGTCACAGACTTCGCAAGAAATCCAACGCTGTAAAGGGCCAATGGACCATAGAAGAAGATAGGTACATATATATACACTTAGTATTTATCTGTCATTAAGCAAGCTAGCAAGCTGTTCTTTTGTTAATTATTTGTCCCCTTACAATAAGTTACATGATATCTTTGTCCAAGTTTTGATTCTGCAAATATATATATATATATATATATATATATATGGGTGAAAACAGGTTGCTGATTCAATTGGTGGAACAATATGGAGTGAGAAAGTGGTCTCATATTGCTCAGATGTTGCCAGGAAGAATAGGCAAACAGTGCAGAGAGAGATGGCATAATCATCTAAGACCTGACATAAAGGTTTTATATTTAACACATTAATGTGTTTAGTAATTCTGATATATATTTTTCCTTGCTCAGATCTATAAAAGGCTTAGACCCTATTATAAGAAAATTAAATCAAATCACTTACAAAGAAAGTCAACACAACCAACGTAACTTTTCTTTTCTAATTAATTAATTTGTATGGAACTGATCACAACCCGATTTCTCTCTTTAACTGCAAAGTTTATGTGATCAAATTCCTTCTTCTGATACATTAATTCATTTACAGTTAACGTATTGTATATCTGTTAAGTATATGCGGAATTCATGATGATATGATTTGCAGAAGGAGACATGGACAGAAGAAGAAGACAAGATACTGATAGAAGCTCATGGAGAGATAGGAAACAAATGGGCAGAGATAGCCAAGAGATTGCCTGGAAGAACAGAAAACTCCATAAAGAACCATTGGAATGCGACAAAGAGAAGGCAATACTCCAAGAGAAAATGTCGCTCAAAGCACCCAAGACCCTCTCTTCTACAAGAATATATCAAAAGCTTGAACTTAGACCAAAACCCACCATTAGACTATCGCAAAAGATCATCGTCATCATTTTTATCCGCTGCTGCTAATACTAACACTGCCACAATCATAAACCAATCTGAAGCATCTCAGTCTCAGTTAATAATACGTGCTTCCCATGAGGATCCAATATTGGTGCCGAATAATTATGGGTTTAAGGAGGCCCAAGAGTTTTGCTTTGACCAGAGCTTGCTTCGAGAAGGAGGTGATGGTGAAGAAGATGATGATTTGGGTGATGACAAGTTTGAAGAAAAAATGGCAGAAATGGTAGAGTTTGAAGAGAAGAAGGAGCTGGATTTGGTGGAGATGATGTCTCAGGTCAATCAAGCTATTATTGATATGTAACGTAAACGTTTCGTTGACCTATACGTAGTAACTTTGCATTATATTCTAACTCCACATACACTGTCCGTTTAATAACACTGTTCCTCCCCCCCCCCCTTTCGAAACTTTAGCTCACTGTTTGGTTTAGTATTTGTGTTTCTTATCATTGCTGGAGAAAATTTAGATGGAGGCAGAGGAATAATGGGTTCTCATTATCGTTCGACATATACACACATACGAGTAAATTATATTTTTTTTTTTTTGGGTACAAAAGGCAAGCTCACGCTTGAAAATACAAAACGTCAATTCGTTGTGGGACCTGCCCTACGTAGAAATTTTCGATCTTCCATATACCTTTCCCTACAGGCAGGATCAACCTCAGGTACAATGACTAACCTCAGACCTACTTGGTGCCCTGTTCTCGCCATGTTGTCCGCGCATCCAATAGAGTCCCTGTTGCTATAGCCAATTCTAACATTATGCCACTCATAAAGCAGACTCTTAACTTCCTCTATCTCATTATAAAAAGGATGGTCTCCTCCATTTGGTCGCGCTAGCATATTAATCGCTTCCAAGGAGTCTGAACAGAGTTGTATATTTGGTAAGTTTAGTGATCTACAGACCTCCAAACCCGTATGAATCGCCAAAAGCTCAGCAATTGTAGATGGCAATACTCCTAGTCCTCTTTTGAAGCCTGCAATCCACCGACCTCCCTCATCTCTAATCACTCCTCCACAAGCAGCTTGGCCATTCTCTAGAACCGAAGCATCTACATCCACTCTAACTGAACCTTCTTCTGGGGGAACCCACTGACTGCTCTCCAGTTGTTGATTATTAAAAATTCTATGCTTCCACTTCCCATCCTCGACCCCTTCCAACAGTAGGAAGTTACATTGATGTATGATTTCCTTAACTGGGGCCTCGCGTGTCTGAAATATTCTCTGGCATCTACACTTCCAGATTAACCAGCATAATATTCCAAACACCCGATTCCACGCAACGTCTGGAAATTTTGTCCTCTTTGGCTCCCTTTCCACATTCCAGTGAATCCATTCCTGCAAATCACCAGAAAAAAAGACAGTATAGGAGTTAGGATGAATAAAAGCTTTCCACACTTGTTTCGCTCTATAGCAATCTCTCAGAAGGTGTATTACACTCTCCTCACTGTTGCACCCAAAAGGGCATGTCTCTCGATCACTCAGCCCTCTTTTTGTTCTTAGGGAATTTGTCATAACCCTCTCATGGAAAACATGCCACATGAAGAATTTAACTTTCTCTGGAACTTGCCAACGCCATAAGCTCCTCCAGAACCGGTTTCCCGCACCAGTCCTTGTATTAGACAGATATTTGTAGGCTGACTTCACAGAGAATTCACCATCATTTGAGGCTCTCCAGCAGATCACATCAGGTTGGTTCGTCACTAAGGGACCAGATTGTAAGACTTTCTTAACCGCCCATTCAGGGAGGAAATATCTCAGCTTTTGAACATTCCATGTTCCCGAATCTAGAATAAAATCAGCCACTCGGTCATCTGGATTGATGTCTTCCCAATGCTGATTTGCAATCTCAATGAGAGGTTTATCTATCTGAGTCCATGGCTCCCACCAAAACTTTGTGTTGTTCCCGCTATTAATTTTTTTCCCCACCGCTGTCATGAAAGTTTCCCAGATTGCTGAAATAGCTTTCCAAGTACTCGATATGTTCTTTTTCTTCTCCACCAGTGGTATTTGCTCCTGTCCACATTCATAAATGGATCGCAAACATTGCACCCATAGGGAGTCCCTTTTTGTGATCAATCCCCAACATAGCTTCATTATGAAGGCTTTGTTTTGTTTTTCCATATCCTTAATTCCCAGACCTCCTTCATTCTTGTTCTTGATGACCTTTTCCCAAGCAATTAGGTGCGTCTTCCTTTCATTTATATTCTGACTCCATAGGAAGGAACAACTAAGCTTCTCTATCTCTTTTAAAACACCTTTTGGAAGCAAGGAAGATTGCATCTGATACGAGGGCAGGGCTGATATTACCGATTTGATGAGCACTGATCTCCCTGCCATTGTGAGGTGCTTGCCCTTCCATCCTGACAGGCGACTCCTAACTCTCTTCATGATATGGCCGTAGGTAGCTTTAGTAATTCTCGCGTGGATAAGAGGCACTCCCAGGTACTTGCCTAGATCTGGAGTAATTCCAATGCCTAGCTTTTGACTTAAAGTTAGAGCTCGATTGATGTTGACATTTCTAGAAAAGAAAGCTTTGGATTTCTCCAGGTTAATTCTATGCCCAGAAAATAGGCAGAATCTTTTCATTATCCTTTTGACCTCTTCTACTTGCCTTGTCGAGGCCTCAGTAAATAGCAGCAAGTCATCGGCAAAAAATAAATGAGATATGGGTGGTGCTTCATTATTAAATCTCAGTGGTCTCCATCTGCCCATGCTGCATTCCTCCAAAATGATATGATTCAGCCTTTCCATGCACAACACAAATAGATAAGGGCTAAGAGGGTCACCCTGCCGGATTCCTCTAGATGGCTGGAACATAGGACCCACCTCCCCATTTATCAGAACTGTCATGGAAGCTGTTCCCACACAAGCCATTATCACCCTTATGAGTTCCTGCTTTATGCCAATGACAGACAGAGTATCTTGGAGATAACCCCAGTCAAGCCTGTCATAGGCTTTTTCCATATCCACTTTGATCGCCATGTAGCCACGTTTACCCGGCTTTGTCCTCATTTTGTGAATCGCCTCCTGTGCTACAATGATGTTATCACAACTTGATCTGTTTGAAATGAAACTACCTTGTTGGGGACCCACCAAATGATTCATGACTGATCGGAACCGATTTGCCAGCACCTTTGTGATGATCTTATAACTCACATTGCAGAGGGAGATCGGTCTCATTTCCTTCAATGTGGTTGGATTCTCCACCTTCGGTACTAGCACGATATTTGTTTGATTTATCTCCTTGATAACTTGGGGATTCTCAAAGGCTCTCTTAACAAAGTCACAAATCTTTCCCCCCACTATATTCCATTGGGTTTGAAAAAAGTGGGGCTGGAGTCCATCTGGTCCTGGGGCCTTAAAGGCACCCATTGCAAAGGCTGCATTTTTAATCTCGACATCAGACACTTCTGGTGTAAGAGTTCCATGTGATGCTGCTCAAGAGCGGGAAAGCTATTCGGCCAATTTATATCTACCCCACCGTCTCCCTCCTTGGTGTACAGGGTCTTATAGAAACCGCAAGCCAGTTGTTGTATTTGACCCTTCTCTTGTACCCAAACTCCATTATCATCCTTCAACGACATGATATTCTTTTTTGCCCTTCTAGCAATCGAGGTGGCATGGAAATATCTAGTATTCTTATCTCCCCACTGCAACCACTTGCAACGTGATTTTTGATACCAGATCAGTTCTTCCTGGAGGAGCACTCTATTGTATTCTTCCCACAGCCTCTTCTCCAAACGCAGCAGACCATTAAGCCTTCCTTGGGTTTTGCATTTCTCTATACCCTCTAATCTACGCATAATTTCCTTCTTCTTCTTTGGTATACTGCCTACCTTCTCTTTATTCCATTTTGTCGCTAGCTCTTGGAATCTATGGGCCCCTTGTATCCAATCATTACCCCTCCAGGCTTCTTCAACAACCTCCTGAAAGTTATCTTCTAGCAACCAAGCTGAATGGAAGTGGAATCTCCGTGATTTGTCTTCATGTTTATCTCCCTCCTGCCATTCAATTACAACAACCTTGTGATCCGATTTATACTTTAGATCTAGCTTGACCTTCGTCCTCCTATAAGTATCTGCCCAAGCCACATTACAGAAGACCCAGTCAATTTTTTCTTGTAACCCCTCCTTTTCCCAAGTGAAAGCCTTTTCAGGATCAGATAATTCCAATAAACCCGCTTCATTCACACATTCATTGAACTGTTCCATAGAGAGCTGGTGTGGTGGAGCTCCCCCCTTTTTGTTACTAGGGTCCCTATATGCATTAAAATCACCCATCAAAATCCATTCTTCCTCAACGGTTTCCGCCACTGCTCTAATTACTTGCCATAACCGATTTCTTTTGGAGTAACAAGTTTCCCCATAGACAAACATCCCAAGGAACGAACGCTGAATTGTCACGCAGGTAATCTTGCAAAGAAGGAATTGTTCGCTCGAGGCTTTGTACTCTACTTCAAAATCTTTATCTTGCCAAAGAAGCCAAATTCCTCCAGCGAAACCGGTGGCTTCCACCCTTATCCAATTTGAGAAACCCAGTTTCCTAACAATCTTTTCAGCCTTCCCGCCACTGATCCTGGGTTCAATAAGACAAAAGAGGCCAATCTTATTTTTTCGCACAATGTCCTTAATCAAAACAGGGAAGGACCTACTCCCAGCCCCCCTACAATTCCAACAAGCTATATTCATAATTAAAGGAAAAGCAAAGAAAAGTGGGGAAAGGAAACTTATCTATTCTCCCCGGTTGCAGGCACAAACTCTGCATCTACCAAGTTATCCTCTGATAGCGAAGCCATCTCCTCCTCCCATATCGGTTCCTCAACCATTTTGTAACAGGTATTCTGGTCTGGGGGTCTTATTTCAGCACCGCAAGCACTTTCGGAATTTTTGTCCCTATCTCGTAACACGGGTGTTGGAGTTTTCACCTCCATCCTCTTCACAACTATTTGGTTCTCTACTGTTACTTCTCTGTTCTGACTGAGACCACTTCCTGCCTCCCTTACTAGGACTATTTCCTCTTCTGGTTTTGAGTGCATATTCCCAGCTACTACGCAATGTCCCCTCTGGGCCCTTGTTTTGGATTTGGGTGTCTCCTTCGCTTTTTCACTGGACTGGCAGACCAACTGCATTGACTGCTTCGGCCCATTAACATCTTCCCTGATCTCTACATCTGGCATCCTGTTTTCTTTGCCTTGGCCTGACCCGTTAACTTTTGTTTTCTTCTTTGTGGACCCATCTCCTTTCCTTCGGTTTTTCAAATTTTCCCTCCCTAGTGTCTGGGCATTTCGCTCTATCTGGACGCTCCCTTCCTGATTACCTTTCTTAATTCCATCTGAGGCAGTCTGCACCTGTCAGTACTCACTAGATCTTGTTCCAGCTCTCCCTCCTCACAATCGAGGTCTACTAATGTCGCGAAACGAGAGTTTTGAATTGCTTTTGTATCCTTCCTTTCCACTCTTCCCATTGCTCTCTGACCACTATCAGTCCCGACTTGACCTTCCTGCTTGGAGCCTCGAGCCTTACGGTTCCTTGACACAAACATCCACGGACCAAATGGTTCCTTCTCTGCCGGATTTTCTGTTTCCGGTACCTCTCTTCTTTCCGATGATCTATCATGCCTCACTTCTGACTTCAGAGATTTACCAGCCTCTTCCCCTTGTTTATTTTCTGTGCACTTTTTCCATGGACACCCTTCTCTTCTGTGACCATACTTCCCGCATGTAAAGCAGATTAAATTATATGTACAAGTTATGTTGAACTTTGATGAAAAATCATATATTTCTTAAATATTTATTAATTTATTAATATATTAAACCTACTTGCGATCTATTTTAAAAGTTACAATGGCTGTTTTATTTTTCCTTTCGGCATTTTGTTTGATGACGGTATATTTACATACGGTTCCTATGTTTTTGGCTAAACATAAGGTCCCTATTTATTATGCACAAATGTCAGCTTAAAATAAAAGGAAAATACATGTAATTTCAAACAAAACAAATTGGGATACTAAGAAAAATGTTTTTTCCTTTGTAGAATAAAAAAAAACAATGCTTTTTACTCTAAATAAAAAAAAAAGGAATCTAAATGTATACCAGAAAGTGTTAACATTTTTATTACTTTTTAATAATTAAATTATGAGAAAAATATAAAATGTTTAACTACAAATAGCCCGTTAAGAAAGTCTATCAAAGTTCAGAGTTACTTTGCCGTTTTTATTGGAAACGTTAGATTCCTAATTGATTTTGTCAAACAAGTATTTATAGCTATAAAAATTGCAATAAGCGGCAATATATTGGACAAATAACTTTACAATTTACCAATATCGAGGCATGTCGCATTTCACATGCTCAACTCTTCGGCTTCCCCAAGGTTAAGGAACAACCCCGGGTATAGCTTTTTTTTTTTTTTTGGTTCAACTAAGGCATAGGTATCTTTTTGTTGGAGGCAATCCTATTTAAGGCATCGTCAGGCACTAAATGTAAGCACTTCTCTCAACGGGGATTCGAACCTTGGTTCACCACGTTATGAGAGACTAGGCCCTTCCATTAGATCCAACTCTTGTTGGTACCCAGGTATAGCTTTTAATGTTCTTCTGTTTTTCAAAAACAAATAGCTGGTCTGTTGGCCTTAATTTGAGCCCCCAAGAAAAATAGACAGCAGCAAATACTACGAGGAAAAATCTTTAAAATAATAAATTGTCTTCCTATCTTTGGAAGTTCCAGTATTCTCTCCCTTCTATTTTCCCCTCCATTCAGACCAAGTTTTCAGATAAACGTGGAAGAAAACTTGATCCAAAGTTGAGATCATTTGAGGAATGTCCTTCTATGAAAGAAAATTAAAGATAAGAGTTACTGGTTACATGAATGCTTTCAAATCTCAATCTCAATATAACACGTTGAAGACACAGCATGGTGTCGTATCTGCAGGTAGATATGTGAATGACATCACTAGAATTTGATGGAGCATATGCAGAGACAGTGGGAAGAGAGTGTGCATTCCACTAACTTGTGTTTCTTATCCATCTTTCTATATGGGTCCTCTCTTCAATCTTCACTCCTACACAATGTTTGCCAGTTTCCATAATGCACAAAATATGGTCACCATGCTCTGTCAGATAGCATTCATTATGCTATTTACACATTTTAAAGAGTTTAGTTATGATTATTAGTTTATTACACATAATTAAACAACTACGTTTCTGTTTTGTTCTGAAAGAAAAGTAAAAGAGGCTTCAATTCATTGGTAAATTGTGGTCCCAATAGTTCTAGTGTTTTGGTCTTTTACCAAAAGGGAAAAAAGCATCAAATTCAGAGTGCTTATGGATACTACAAGGTAAATATCAGATTATCAGTGACTGATGTCACCTCTGGCCACTAAGGCAAGGCGTGCCAATAAAGTCATTATTTAAAGAACAAGATTTACCTAAATTCTGTTAAATGTCTTCTATCAGGTTTTTCAGTACAAAAATCTCCAGAATTATTTTTTAAAAGATCCTCAATCATGTGATATTGACTGATTAAGATATTTACTTTAGTTTCATCCATTATAACAGATAATTAACTTGATGCCAAATATCTAAAATTCGTACAAAATTTTGTCGGTATTGAAAAGTAGGAGATGCAAGTCTGTCTTCTCCGTTCGGAAGGACTATTTACCAGCTTTGAAAGGACTGCTTAGTGACTTAGTGCTTATCAGGTAAGAGGGCTCACCTTGAGATAGCATTAGAGGACACGGAGGATTACTTCACTTTCAAACTTATACTTAGGTTCGTCAAGATCTTAACGTCCTCATCCTGAACAGCTAAAGCAAAAGCACAGTGAAAAGCAGATGTTATACATGATGGCTTTGAACACCTTCATTGCCACCAACTAGAAATCACTCCCTTCTAAGCAGCTTTACTACATACGTACAGACAATTCAATGTGTGTCGTGAAAAGCCATTTCAAAGTTACCCCATTTTCATTTTTAAAGCAATCAGTCAGACTGTCAGAGTAAAGGGGGATAGGTGATGGAATTCATGCACTAAAAGATACTATCATCATCTATGTTTTCCACGAAAATAATGAAAGTAAAAGGGAAAAAAGTTTATCGCTTGAAGTTCTGTCAAGGTCTTTCGCATATTTGACTTTATGATCCATCGAAAAGTAAATTTGGCACTAAACATTTATAGGTGAGTTCCTTTCGCCAGACACATAAAGCAAATAAACTCTTTGTTTCTGTATCCCCTTCTTGCATAGCAAGGAACATCAAAATTCAACCAACACAGATAGATTTAAATATCATGTTTCCATGAACATGACAATACCCTGCCCATTTTACATTAATAAGGAACAATGCAGTCAAACAACAAACTACAGTAAAACTTCACAAAGGAAGAGAAGATATAGACACGTAGAAGATTGCCTTTCATTACAGGTATGAAGCAAATGACCTCTAGCGCACCACCTACAACTATTCTCTTCAGTCTTAAAGATACCACTTTAGCTCGAAGATGAACCTTTAGGATCTTGTCTAGGAATCGATGACCCTGGACTAGGAGTTTGCCTTAGCATGATCTCTTTTTTGGCTGATACTAGGCTGCTTTCCCCTCTCAATTCAGTTACTCGAGGGCTGTGCACCCTTCGCACTAGCTGTGGACTATTAGCAGGTCTTATATCACCAAATGAAGTTGGCGTCGAACTACTTGTTTTTGGGCTGTGGATGCCACGAATCTCCCCACGGCTCCTTGTAATAATTTCATCAAGAATTTCCCCGCCACTAATGTTAACAGTTGTTGCTTGAGTTTGACAACTTGGATCCTGTCAGACATCAAAACATCAACCTAAAAGCTTTGACAGACACATGATACAATACTAAGTTGTCTAATGTCATTCTATAATGGTCAGTGAAATTATAGTATAAACACGATCTACTTACTTCAAATGCCATGTTGAAAGCAACAGCAGGGGATTCCTCGTAGGCTGCAGCATCCAACTCTTGAAGATGTACTCCTTTAAAAAACTTAGGAAGGACATATTGGCGTGCTGGGACAAGAAGCATGATTAACAACGGGAAAAGGACCCCGGCAATTGGTATCCAAGTTATACCAAAGCACGCAAGCAAGTAAGCCGTTTGTAACAAGGTAAACATGGCAACTGTTTTGAAGGGCACAGTCTCAAGAAAAGTTGCGTGCATTTTCTCCAGCACCCTAGTAAAACAAGTGGAAAATAAGAATCATTATCACCTCTGCCTTCTTTAGTAGGAAATGGTCGTATGAAATGCAAACGTAGATACAAATATTCATGGGTGTGTCTGTGTGTGTGTGTGTGTTTGCATGGATCTATGATCTCTTCTCCCTGCATGCACTATTTTCATCAGCTATCACCACAAATATTGATAAAGAAACAAGAGATAAAGATGCATGTTCATTATGCACCAAAACTAGGAGGTTGATGTGGGAGGGAGTTTTTGTGACGCTACATAAGTTCACAAGTCCTAGAAAGTCTGGATCAGTAGCTATGAAAAAAAAACCAATTTTGAGTATGTACATACTTGTATCTTCGATTTGGAGCAGTTAACAGAAACAATACTCTCTCCCAAAACTGATTTCCCGGCAGACTCTCTATAGCCATGAAAGCGAAGTAGCCCCATAGGACTGAAGTTGGTATCTTCTTCAGAACAGGCATAGCAGCAACACAACCACCAACCATCAATGCCTGCAGCAGATTGCTGAGGCGCTGTTCTTTAACTTCAACAGGCAAAAGATCATCAATATCCTTTTCCACATCAAACACAATCTCATCAACAGGGGCATCGACGTATCCTTGACTAGAAGCAAGTTGGATGGTGGACTCCTTCAGCTCTTTCAACCTCTGCTTGGAAAGAAAACCAATGGTTGAGAGAATATCACAAGCTTAAAATCAACACGAATTAATACAACCGCATTTACCAGTGCAGGTGGCATTTGATGGACCAGTGGAGTGTGCATTTCATCATATGCTGCTTGCATATTCTCGTACAACTGGCTGAGGTTCATATTTTTCTGCATACTTTGTCGTGCAGTTGATCTAAGCTTTCTCCTCAGAAGCTATTTCCAACAAAAAATAAAATAAATAAAATAAAATCAGTCTGGGATATACATCTAGTTCAGCCATAAGTAAAGAGTAGCAAAGCGGATGATAGACTTTACAATGAAGCAAGTGAAACAATGACAAGTGAATCAGATCCCTTTTGTTATAGAATGAAGACAGTTGGCAACAGTTAGGATGAATAAGAAGATGATATTACCTGATGTTTTAGAGTGGCCAAGCTTTTTGTATGCATTGGAGATTGTGGAATGACCCCATTGGAAGGAGGGATTCCAATAAGCCCACACAACAGAGTCTGGCAAGAAATATGAAAGAGTCCAGTTTAAAACCATTTTGTCACATGTAACATAAAGGACATTCATTGCTGTCAACTGGAATTGCAATAAAATTTATTATCTAAATTAAATGACCAACCAAAAAGCCCAAAAGAAGAAGGTCATAATGATAGGAAGAAGGTTTTCTTAGATTGAACTCCTTCTGCTGTGCAAGTTGTGATGCAACACTGTGATCAAAGTAGTAAAGTACAGCAATCATAGTTGCTGGTATAAATGCTCCAATAATATACACAGCAGGAACATCCAACATTTCCTGCAGAACAGAGCAAACAAGAGCACCCAGCGAAACTTTTGAGAGGAACAACTAGAATGTGGTTTTTCATGTAGTTAAAACATTGACTGCACTCAAAGAGAAATATGTACACTTAAAGCTTCAGAATCACCTTGATAACTGTCCAATTTGAGTATGCACCAGGAGACCATGGGTTTGGACTGAAGAGTCGCCTGGGGATTCCCTTTGGGACCTCATTGACTGGTATGTAAGATACAGCGGTCCATACTAGCACCAATAGTGGAACTCCATAATCAGCTATAAATCCCCTAAGCCAACCTATACGACCACATTGAAAAAGATGGGAAAGTTAAAAATAATAAATTATTATGCTGCAGAAACAAACTGACAAAATGCATAGAGTAAGCAGACCACAGAATCACTTCCACAGGACATGAATGTGGTTAAGTTTTAGTCATGTCAAACTTATGGCCTATCTTGTTAAGTATAAAAGTTCCTTTCGAGCTTGTTAAATAAGAACAAGTATAAATTATACCTGTCCCATAGCGCCAAGATCTAGCTTTACGACTTTGCAGTGCTGTAAAAATAAGGCCAAATGACAAAACCAAAGCAAACATCCCATTGCCAAACAGCCAAGATGGTTCGAGTGCAATTGAACTGGTACTTTCTCTCCGGTTCTTGGGTACCCCAAACTCTTCCACAACTCCCTTTAAGATGGACATTATAAAAATTAGAAACTCTTCCTTGTTTGGTGTTTCATTTGAATAAAAACTAGAAACTAGCTCCCATCAAAAACCATGTCAATTGCTTGAGGATACAGGTTACTGTTTGTGAGTGGAATATCAAACTCAGACTACTCAACAACAGTTTTTTCGTTGATGTTCTCTATAAGAATTACAGCAACTGTTGTTTCATTAAGAATCTACCACTTGATATGGATGAGCACAAAAATTCTCACCCTTATGGCCTGCTGCATAAAGAGCATTGCAATTAGCAGACCAAATAATTCCCCAGCAATGCGTGTGAACCTGTTGATTATGGAGCATGCACCAAGAACGGCCAACAAAAAGAGCAACAAGGCTGTCCAAGCACACACCCTAATCAACGAATCAAAGAGAGTTACATCAGTTCCCTGTTAATTTCATTTAAATTATACATAATAACCATCAGATAACCACAATAAAGCTCAAAAATACCATCCAGTCCAGGGAAGGAAGAGTTTATGACCCAAATCCTTTCGATCCTTAGCAAAATTATACATAAAGGTATACATTAAAACCGTCGGCTCAGCCACACCAAGAATGAGGAGAGGTTGCCCTCCAAGGATTGAATGGATAACACCACAGAGTGCTGTTGATGCAAGAGTCTGCACTGCAGTCAGAGTTCCATCTGTAGAATATAACCCAATAAAGCATTTTTAGATAATGACCATCAATATACCAACAGGGCATTGTCATTCTGAAGATTGACCTTATACCTGTATTTCTATCCAGTTGCTCTCCAAAAGAAATAACTGGAATTGCTGAAGCAAAAAATATGTATGTGGTCGGGGCAAGAATCCTGTTTGACACGATATGAATTAAGAACCTCAACAAAACTTTTCCGTTGGTGATTCATAAGCAAATATGAATTTGTATCTTTGGAAAAAATCAGAGTATGCAAAAATATATTATGTACTTGGAAATCACAATTATGCAGAATAAGGAAAATCACAAACCTGATACCAGCTCGGAAACCACTTGTCCAATCTTCTTTGTAACATTCAATTCTTGCTTTGAGGTCATTCTTGATCCCTTCGAAGGGAACAAATGTTTCTTCCATACGTTGTGGTATAACAAGTACAGATACAAATTCTTAAGTTTTGGTTTGAAATAAGTGCGTGGACTCCAGAGGCAAAATAGTGATTAAATTTGCATAGATAAAAATATCCAGAAAACTAAGGGCAGGGAGACGTGAATCCCTATTGATCATCCTAAGGTTTGAATCGGAAAACTGCTAAAAAGGCGTGTTCATTTGTTAACTGCGCTAGTCCATCAGGTCCTTGAAGTGGAAAATGAATAAAAGAATCCTAATGGAGAATTTACATGTCGGAGAACTAATGAGGATAATATCTTGATATTCTGTTATCAAGGACCAAAGAATAAGTTAGACAAAGAATCAACACTACTTGGATTGCATATTCGGATAACTATTGAAGTTAACGAGATGAACATATGCTTTCCGCCAGCTACAATGAAGACTACCCATGAAACATGACAGAGCCTAGATCCAGAGTCTCCTCTTTCTGAAGAAAACCAGGCAGGCCTTCCATTAATCACCAAGGCAGAACAAATGCGTGGCAATGGTAGCAAAGAAGCAGTATTCCAGTTACATGGTACACTTCACTCACAGAAACTGATGCTAATCGAATTCAATCTCTAGAGCCGTAGCTTCGGAGAGAAAGCAAACCAAATTAACGAGAAGACATAGTAGCAACCTGCATTTGATTTGACTACATCCACTTCAGGAGAACAGGAATTAGCGGATGAAATATGACGAAGCTGGACCCATAGGAAAAAGAAGCAAGATTAACGAGATTCCATGACTCAAAAACTCTGACGGGAACGATTCAGAAGACTTTTGCTGAAGCAGGCATTAATCAAACAAAGGTGAGTTACATTCTTCGGCAAGGAGCCTTGAAGAAGGAAGGAAACGAAGGGATTGTTGGAGCAGTCAAGTAAAGATGAAGAGAGATTGCAGTTACACTAAAATGAACTACAATAGAAGAGAAGTACTACTGCGGTAAATACTCAGAAATACCCGCGGGGTAGAAGGGAGAAGGAAGGATTTTCCGAGGCAACAGATAATGAGCAAAGCGAGAGAAATCAAGAGATCTTACTCCGCACACAACCGTGAAATGATAGGACTTCCCAGTGACAATGAGCATGGGAAGGCCGATGTTATGTATATATATAAGTGGCCGCGGGACGCAACAAACCGTCCTCAGAGGCCATGAGACCGGAAACATACGGCCGGAGTAAAAGATACAAAAACAGGACTCAAAAAAGAGTTTTTTTTTTTTTGGCCAACCGAAAAACGAGTTTTCTCTTCAGGTGTTAGTTTTTTTAAAAAAAAATCATCTTTGAGTTTTTTTACTGTCAAAACTCAAAACAAAGATGAGGAAAGGCTACAGTTAATTTAAATATTTAATTTACGAAAAATAGCACAGTCTATGAGCATTGAGCAATCAACTGAGAAGTGTGAGTGCAGATAACGAAACCAGTTGGAATTTTGTTCTTTGTTTAGATACGTTCAATTGAGAAGCTCATAAAAATTAAGACTACAAGAGCATTAACTAAGGAGGTTTTAACAATCAAGAATATGATTCAATTCAAATATACATGAAATCTAGTTAATGATGAAAAATCATAAATGCAAGGAATACTCAGCTGAACCCAACACATGTCCAGCTTGACAGGGGAATGCTGACAAGTAAGAGAGCGATGCTCCGTACCTCTTTCACCTGCTATCTACCCATTTGTCACCATTATAAGTTATTTTTAACATATTTTATATATGTAAAAAGTTCACTCTTATTTATAAGTTAATAATTTTTCAACATTATTCTCATTTAATTAATATATAATTATATATTATTACACGTGAAAATAAAATTAATATAATAATAAATTAAAGATAAAATTATTTATTTGTATGAAAATTTTCTTTATCTATCCTATAAATATGGCAAAAAAAAATTTACTTTCTTTTTACCTTATAAATAAGATCATAAGAATATGTACAAACTCACCTAGATTAATGCTTTCTCTAAATATAATACGTATTTTTAATTTTATGATTTTTTTTAATATTGTTTAGTTTCGCTAGATTCAGGAACAAATGGAGGAGTACAGTGATATATTTGAGATGGAGGATAATGATACATTTTTGCATTCGATTAACGTCAACAAATCGTTAATTCAATCACATTTTAATTTTTATACTTCACATTTTCTTGTCATTCTACTAGCCGTTTTTGGTGTAGTTAGCATTATACATGCGCGTATTCTTGTGGGAGAAAAAGAAACATAATATTCTTTCCGGTCCTAAATATAAGACTCATTTCATAATGTAAATTACACTATAAAATGAGTCTTACGTTACAAAATGGGTTTATATTTAGAACCAAAAAAATATATATACACGCATTAAATTGAAATATTTAAGAAGAAACATTATTTGTAAAAGTAAAACGTGATAAATGTGATATATGTTCACAATCTATTTTTAGTATATTTCAATAAAAGAGTTAAAATAAATTATTTTGAGTCTTATGAAAAAAAGAAAAAAAAATACTCAAGCTTTTACAAAAGGCTATCATATGTTGGTTAGTGTTTTTTTTTTTTGGTGCCTTCCAACAATCTCTCCTAATGTTTCTTTCGTCACTTGATAGAAACTTTTTAATCTTGCAATTTTTCTTCTTACCATGTTGATATAATTTCTAAAAATATTTTTTAAAGGTTGCTAGTATAGATTATCTGATAATTTATAATATTTGAACTCGTAGTTAAAAAAATGGATTAAAAAAAAACTATTGGCCTCCACGATTGATCTCCCGAGGCGTTCCCAGAATAATTAGATCATCCGTTCATGCATTGCAGCCTTTTATTCCATTGCCCTTTAACACGCACCCATCAGTCTCGTATTATTGGATGGCCAAAATTTCTTTTAAATTTTGGTTTTTAAATTTCTTTTTTGGGCTGATGTAATTGTTTGGCTTCTGATCAGTTGTTCTATCCGAGACGCACAGTTAAAAAAAAATTGGAAGATCAGTTTGAGTTTAAGAATCCAAAGGCTTAATTAGAAATAAGATGAACGATTTAAATTATCTAAAAGATATTTATATATTGAGCTTTAATTATTTGCAATTGAATTCCTACCTTCTGAAAGTCAGACTTCTTAAGCTTCCAATTGACTAGAGGGATTTTGATCCATGTGATGATATCAGTAAAGGACCTACGTCTTAACTACTAGTACTATTTTTCAAATTCAACGTCGTTCTCTTTCATTATTTCCATAAGAGGGCCATTCTATATCTCGTTTTCTATGGGATTAATATGTTTTAGAGGTGCTAATAATAATTGGTTCAGTTGATATCTAATCGCCTCATAGGTTATCAGTTCGAATCTTCTTGTCAAAATGAAAATTTTATTATTATCTCTATGAGAATGACCTTATTTGAACAGCATTTGTTCTATAGGCTCGTATCCCCGTGTCCTTGAGTATCAAGGAGACAAGATCCGTTATTATTATTTCTATGAGTGCTCTTTTAACCTAAAATATGCGTTATGATCTTGATCTTGATAATGAGCTTTTGGAACTGAATTCATCTAAATTTTTTTATAAGAAACATTTTTCAGAGCCTGTGAACCCGATGCAAAAGGAATAAAACGTGCGTCTTTTTTTTATTTTTATCTTGTTTATGGTATTATAGGTTCAGATTCGAATATCATCAAATCTGTTTTGGAGTAGTTCTTCTATAACGCGCGTCTGTGTTTTTCTTTGATAGTAGTTCTGACAACTAAATTTTAGCCTGGCTGAATATTTACATAAAATATTGTTTTAGTTTTTCACGGTACTGTATAATTATATAAACTTAGAAAAACAAGCAAAATAATCACCGACTATGCATGATAAGAAATACTCATCTACTTCTCAATATAAAATTTAACTAATTTGAATAGATTAAAAATATTAGTTAGATTAATTAATATGATGTGTTTTTTTCTAAAATACCCAAATTATTCTCCTCTCTGTACTGTTGAGGAAATATTATTAGGATTAATTTGAAGAAAAAATTGATAAATATGTAAAATAAGTTTTAGATATATAATCAATATTAACTCTCAAATATGAGTATATTGGATAGAATTTAATTACCACATAAAAAAAAGAAAAAGTTTACAATGGAAGTGAAGAAAAATTCTTGGGAGAGGACTTTCCATATAAAGATGGATGTAATTTTCAGAAATATACTGCATGATTACCTAAACATCGATCAATAAATGACGAAATAGCCAGAAATCATCCCTGTTTTTATGTGTATACAAGAGTAACATCGTCAATATTAAAACTTTACAAACATTTAAAATAACAAATACATAACAACATTACTGTTAAAAAAACTAAACTGAAAATCTTGTATAAAGTTAGAGAACAAAATGTATATTTTTAAATTAAATTTAACTATATATTAAGCCCGACAAACCGTTTTCGTGATGGGGTCATCCTCCATTATTATCACTTATCAGGCTTCGTTAACAATCCCTTTCATATGTACGTGGTCCCATCGTAGACCTGCCCAACAATTATTGTTTATTTATTTTAGGTTATTCTTGTTCTTTTTTTTTTTTTTTTACCAGCAATAATACATATAGCTCAACTTACTTTATTAGCTACTTAATTATTTGGTGAGCCTTTTACAGATATATTTAAATATAAAGGGTTTAAATTTGTGGCTGAATCTTTTTTTTCTTAAAATACCATAATCATCTTTCTTAATACCCTATTTTTCTCTTCTACATGATTATGGTTGAAAGAGTATCCATATGGGTAATTTAGAGAAAATTGATAAATATGAAAAATAGGTCTTATATTTAAAACCAAAACTAACTTAATAATTGAATCTTATATTAAGGACCAGAAGAGTATTATATTAATAACTAAAAAAAGTAATTATGTGTATATATTTATTGGAGCTCGCAGGGATTCTTCCAACTTTTTTCTTCTGCCTAGCACAAATCCCCTGTGAATGTCATAATCGTTTCGTTTTAAAAAGGGTT